ACTGTAGCAAGATTACACAGTGCAGCAGACTGAAGAAAACTCTCAAGTTCTGGTACAATCTCTGCTGGCTCCTCCTCTTGTTCTGACGACGGGTTCTTTCTTTCATCTCTAACCGCTTTCTCGGCTGGGATATCAAATTTCAGAGCAGCAGCACTGCGCTGAGTATCAAAATCTATTTTGGCAGTCTCGCTGGGAGAATCTGGTGTCTGCATACCTTCGGACTTGAGTGGTGCCTTGGTAACAGTACCTTCGGTAGGATTGTTGGGATCCATAGAATGATTCACGGTATAGATTCCGATTTTGGGAATCCACACTTTCTTGACGATCATGGCTCCCTGGGTAAGTGTACCGGTTTTGTCGGAGCAGATATTTGTAACTCCTCCAAGTGCTTCAAGTGCCGATAGATCTCGGACGACGACATTAGCTTTGCGCATGACGGTCATGCCAACAACCATTGTGATTGTCAATACGCTAGATGATGTTAGCTGTTTTTCGAATTTTAATTTTGCATCTTGAGTAGACCATGGGTGAGTACACTTACGCGATCAAAGATTCAGGAATAATAGCAATACCAGTTGAGATAGCATAAATAGCCACCTCATCTGTGACGATGAATCGATTTACACCAAACACCACAATTGCCAGTAGAATTGCGCATCCAAAAAGGATATACGCAACCTTACTTAGTTTTCTCTGCAAAGGAGTACCTTCAGTAAGTCCCAAGAACTTTCCTACAAAGTCGTAAGTACGTCTAGCAGCTCCCTTAACCGGCTGCGCTTTTCCATATTTCTTATAATTCATCGATCTCCCCTGCTTGCGTTGTTTCTTCGTCGTCGAAGCCGCGATCTTCCCAACCTCAGTTTGCATGCCCGTAAATACAACAATTCCTCTTCCGCGGCCTTTGATAACCGTCGTGGTAGAATATGCCATGTTGTTACGATCAGCAATGCCAACTTGCTCTTCTGTCGTCGCTCTCTCTTCAGTACCAGGCACGCAGATCTCATTCGAAGTAATCTTCTCAACTGGCTCAGATTCTCCCGTCAAACTCTTCTCTTCACAGGTCAAATTCATAGCTTCGAAAATGCGCAAATCGGCTGGTACCGTATCTCCAGTTTTCAAAAGTACGATATCACCAGGGACGACTTCTGCACTGGGAACCACAATGACGGACCCATCTCGCAGTACCGAAGCCGATGGCGAGGAAAGAGCTCTGAGAGAATCCATTTTTTTCTCTGCACTAAACTCTTGAAAGAAACCAATCATAACATTTAGCACAATGACGGCAACCAAAACTCCCCCTTCAATGTAATCACCTACGCCAAAACTAAGTGCCATAGCGAATACAAGAACGAGAATCATGGCGTTGGAAATTTGTTTTATGAGGATTCTATACCAAGAGATGGAACCGCCGGTATCAAGCTCATTAGGTGGATGCGAAGCTTGTATCGATTGGACTTTACTGGCCGTAAGACCCGTTTCGAGGTTAGTGGATAGTTGGCTGGCGGCATCTTGCGGAGTGAGAAGGAAGGCGTGCGGACGGGTGGTATAGGATGTTTTCTCTTGAGAGGCCATTGTTGACAATTGTATCAGACAATGTTTGGGATAAGTGTGTATCTTAAGATGTGTATGTGTGTATGTGCTGTATGTATATGAGATGTGATCAAGTATTAATATTAAACAAAAGGATATCGTCATCTATTCCTAATCAAGGGAATAGTAGGGAATTAAATCGTGATAATCAAGAGATAATTGTTAGGTGAATACATCCAGACCCAATGCGGGGTAACACATCCTTATATATTCCTTCCAGAAATCCAAAAGATCATTTATCTTACTCTTTCCCTCCGTATCAGCCTATGGTAGACCTTCCTCCAAGTCATAAGGAAGCTACATTGGCGGAACAGCCAAGAGCCTTGAAGCCAAATATTGGGAAACTTGTACCTATCATCGTAAGAAAGAACGACGCGATGAGCTCATTAACTCATGGCACTTTCTTAGTCCTACTCACACAATCTCTATGTATGGATAGCATCATAAAGCTCCAAGAGCCAAGACTTCTTGGTTTGGGCAGTCTTAGCCGGGTTTGGCTTGGTCCTCCCCGCATCGTAGATTCCGCTCGGAAACGGAGTGGAAAATTGTCATGGGAAGAAAAGATAAGATGCCATTGGATATAATTTGATCACGTGACTACTTGGCGCACGTGCTAAGCCTTTGTTTGGTGGCGAAATCGGTCGAAGACATATTTTGTGGAATCTTGGCTCGTATTGACGAATGAAAGACTATATTTCGGTCTTGGTACTCTTGGTGGTGATAAGTGAGTGGTGCCGGTTTCCGCCATTAATAATGAGACTTCTCATGGCGGAAGAGCACTTGAGGTTTGTTGAGGTGATAGATGACCATTAGAGAGTGATGTCATATTGCTCGCTTATCACGCTCTTCTTCCTACTTTGTACTCATATGTATCGGCCAGTTGCGATTGAGAGGAATTCGCAATTGAGGAATATCAAAACCCGTTCTAGAGGCAACAGATGAATATGTCGTGGCTGGAAGGATTCAACAAGTTAATGTAAAAGAGGAGTTCGGGCCAGGTCAGAAGAGATCAGGTCAGGAGAGATCAGATTAGACTTCGAAGGAGGCATTCGTCTGGAAGGAAATCGATACACTATATATCTCTATCATTCAAGCATAGACAATTACCCGAATATAACTTTGCGGAGAGGGGGATTCATGGACTCCATACTAGGAATATTCCATCCATTCGGGAAAAGTTTCTCCGTCCCCTTCCCCGCATTTTCGACCCCTTCATTCTGAGCCCAATCGGAGCTTTCGGCGAGGCATGCATACCGCCATATATACTTTTCGGAAAATATCTCCAGCGAGAATTGATGATCATACATATAGCTAGGGGAAAGATGTACGGTGAGGAGGTGTGGTGTGGAAGGGGTTTCCCTTTGTACATATGAAGAAGACATCGATTGTTTCAAGCTCGTTTTGACTACAAAATTAGGATTTCTCATGTTCAATATGAAGTTACTGAATACCATCTGTGTTATCTCTGGGTTAAGAACCATATGGGCATTTCCCACGAAAGATGTCAAATCCTCCTTCAGTTGGGAAGATACCAAATACTTGTGAGTGAACTAAATATACAGAATACCCGGAGAATTCCATGACTCCTATTTCCACTCGTCGAGAAACTCCCTGTGAATGGCAACTCAATGAACTGCCAAAATTCTAACCTTCCATACCAGTCTCGCATTCGGTGATTCCTACACATTTGTACAAGGAACATACGGCCGACAAAATTACTCCTTCATTGGCGATCTTCAAAATTTCTCATATACTCCCGCCCAAATCTTGAGTAATAAAATAATCCAAAATCAAGTATTTATCTCCTATATCTCAATTCATACATATCTCTAACACTACAATCAGCTTGGAACATCGGCAGGAGGCCCAAACTGGGTTGAATACCTTACATCCTGCTTTTCCGGTCTCCCATCCCGCTGCAGCAAAAAACAACTTTGGGATTTCGCCTTTGCCGGCTCCGACGTCTCTACAACCTAGTGAGTTCTGTTTTCAAGATCCCCCCAAATAGATCTTCATATGCCACAAACAATCGATATGTACGCAAATCGACTAATCCACAACCCCTACAACCAGCACCGCCCTGCACCACAACTACACCGTCTCCCTCGAAAACCAAATCCTCGGATGGTCCACCTACGCACAACCAATCATCCCCATGGAGCCCTCCAAAACCCTCGTCGCCATCTGGATCGGCATCAACGACATCGGCGACACCGATTCCTACACCTTCCCCTCGCACAACGCCACCGACTTCCCCTCCCTCTACACAAACATCATCACCACCGAATTCGCCGCCATCGAAACCATCTACAACGCCGGCTTCCGCAATTTCCTCTTCATGAATCTGCCCCCCTTACAACGCACCGTAAGTCCCCCACACTACTACCCCACACCACACCCCTACTAACCCCCAATCAGCCCCCCAACCTCATCCGCGCCGCCGGTCCCCTCCCCAATACCACCATGCTCACCTCCTACAACCAAATCCTCAACAGCAGCGCGCTCCACTTCGCCGCCACGCACCCCGGCACCAAAGCCATGGTCTTCGACACCTTTTCCTTCCTATCTTCCGTTCTGGATGATCCTGCACCGTACGGGATCAAAAATATCACGAACTATTGTCCGAGATATGATGCGCCTGATATTGCTAGTGAGTTCTTTCGAAGTTTCTCTCCGTTTCGATCCCCAACTCTATTTCCTATCGTCAGAAATCTTCTCTTGATATAATCTCCGCATAAACATGACCACGCTCCCTGTACCCCCGCTCCAAAAAACTAACCACCTCCCAGCAAACTACGCATCTTACGGTTGCCTCCCCATCCCCGACTACTTCTGGTACAACACCGGCCACATAACCTACCACACGCACGAGATTCTTGCCAAGGAGGTTGGCAAGTTTTTGGAGGGCCAGAGTTGTTAATTGAATGACCACAGATAGACAGGTAGATAAATAGTTCGGTTAATTTAATATCTATCCTTGCTACTTTTGATTTCTGTTTCCATATCATATCAATACATTTCGTAGTATAAATATACGCACACATTCACATCACCTCAACTTAAAAACTTGTGATTGAATCATGTATTGATAAAAATCTTCGCTCACAATTCGCTATATCGCTATCATATATCGATTCTCATTTCGTTCCATTCCTTTAATCTCCCATGTATATCCTGTAAGACATCGAGCCATTGTATATTTTGATATGCCCTATCAATCCTTCCTCCCACCCAACCATGTGATATTTCACGTCTGCAACCCCGACCCCCAAGCCCATCAATATCAAGAAACGCCCACCGTTCTCCTAATTCCCAACTCGACTGAGCACTTCAATGTCGAATTTAATCAATATTTTCTTTTCCCCTTCACTCCCGTCTCACTCGCTGCATCCTTTTCACCAAACCGAAATCTAACCTGCCATACTAGCCTTTGGTGCCTTTCCCGTTAGATTACCCCCTTGATTTGAGATGCTACCCTCAATTCTCCTCTTTGCCTCCGCTTTTTCGGATTCGGTGATATCTTCTTCATTCTTTCGCATATCAGGTGTATGTTGACCTTCACTTGGATGGTGACCAATAGACATACCCACACGAATCTGTTTATTTGCCATTAGTACAATTTCTTTCAGTACAAAGTTAATCAAAGAACTTACCAAAGTTTCCAAAGCTTGACTAGAATTTCCTACCAAGTCATCATCGTATCTCATAGCACCATCTTCAAACAAAAGAAGAATAGTGCTACCACCAAATTTGAAGTATCCGAGTTCTTCAGCACGTTTAACATTTTCGCCCCCCTTTCGAGTAATAACTGTACTTCCTACCATCATTGCTCCCACACAAATAACCATGACTCTTCCATGCTCTAGAGAATCAATTGGGATAACCACACGGACATTTTCTCCATACACGTCAAGTGCGGATCGAATAGCCATCGGATTGACTGTATAGTATTCTCCTTCAATGGTTTTTGGAGTTCCCATAACACCATCAACTGGGATATGGAAACGATGATAATCTTGTGGAGCGAGACGGAAGACACCCAATGAACCATTTGTGTATCGTTTTGCGTCTTCTGGATATGCATTACCAAGGAGCCTTTCAATCGAGAATTCACGACCTTTAACCCAAATCTTGGTAGCTTCATCCATTCTGTTGAAGACAACTGATCTACAATCAGCAGGCGAAACGATGATGCGAGGATTATCTGGTGCTGAACATGGTCGTGCATCTGGTTTGAGTTGACGATAGAAGAACTCATTAAAGCTCTTGAATTGTTCCAATGGGAGTAGAACTTCACTCATATCCAATTGATGGAAATTAATGAACTTCTGGATTTCTGCTGCTGAAGCAGGATCGTCATATTTGACACCCTGTTTGAAACTCAAGCCTTTAAGAAGCTTGCGAACTAGGTTCATGTTAGCAACTGTTTTACTAGGTTTCTCACTAAATGTATAATAGATTCCAAGCATACTTCTCTTCTTTTCCATCTCCTTAGATTTTAATCCTTTATATAGCAGTCTAATACCCAAACGAACATAAACACTCATTCTCTCTTCATTAATTTGTCCAGTAATACGATCTTGCACGAGAATATTGGCAGAATTTGCACCAAGTTTGTAACCGCCGTAGGAAATCTTAGTGATGACCTTGGAGTACCATTTGCGTTGTGCTTGACTAGATGTAACGAAACCAGCCATAACTAAATTATCGACTTGTCGCCAATCTTGACTAGCACAGGTAGCGATATGAGTGATGATATCAGCATCAGATCGTTTGTTAAGACGAGGTTGATGACATATTGGGCATTCTCGAATTTCAACCACATGTTCTTCAGTCTCATTGTTGAGATCGTCCGAGTCCAAAAGTTCACCTTCTTCTCCAGGAGTACCTAACTGGTCGACAGATTGTGTTGATGGGTATGGATCATCAGATCCCTCCGTCTGAAATCGATTTGATGTAGTCTCTGATGGAGCAGATGTTTCAGTAACAGCTGCATCTGCAGATTGATCTCCTCTGGTTCCACCAAGCTGAGTTGGTATAGCGTGTTTCATTGCTGAAGCATCGGGCAACAAATTTCTCATCTTATCCCCAATATTAGTTTCCTTTGTCTTCTTCTGCAATTGGTCTTCTAAACAAATAACAGCTTGGTCAACAGTCAACTCTGAAAATTGCCTATCTTCATTTTGTGATTGGAAGCGTCTAAAGAATCCATCAATAGTGGACTCTTTCAAAGTCGAGCCAAGTGTATCCAGCATGGTCGTAAGTTCTACCTTACTGATACATCCACTCTCATCGCTATCATATTGTCTGAGCATTGCCCTCCAGAACTGCTGTCGTAAAGCCGGGTAAGGGGCGTATTTAGCCTTAATATATAAGACTGGACTATGTTTCTCTTCCCACTTTTCCGCATTTTTGAGTTTCAATGGAACTTCGAATGAGTGTAAATCGGGGTCACCCGATTGCTCGCCTGATTCTTCTGGCTCAACAACCGGGGGTGGTAATAGAGAATCGTTCGGAGAAAGACCTGCTGGAGTGGTTGCTGGAATACTGGTAGGAGCAAGAGTCGGCGTAGTTTTACTGGAGGTTCCTCCATTGTTCGTGTTTGAGCTCGACAACTCCTTCTTCAAAATTGGACGTCCCAGTTTGTTCAAGCTTTGTGAGGATGTAGATCTTGACATCGGCAATTTAAATCGAGAGCCTTTCGCTTGAGGTTGCTGTACGACCAAAGTATTGAGATTAGGGGGATCTCTCATAGCGTAAAGACCGGTTTCTGGATCAGCTTCTGGAGCAGTGTCGGTGATATCCTTGACTGGCAATACAGTCGAAGCAATAAAATCGTTTCCAGACAGCTTATCTCTATCGACAACTGTGAACGCAAGAGAATAGGTTTGCTCATGCCTCAGAACCTGGAATATCATCTTCTCGTTGAAGACTGGATTTAAATTATGTCGAATGACTCTGGTTCTATACGTTTTCTTTCCCAGAGATGCAACCACGAAAGGATCCATATCAAATGATGTTCTCGTCATATTTCGCTCCGGTGGAAGATCTGTAACCTTGCCAATTTCTAGGAAAACAATTCCAACAACCTCACTGTCACCAGAAAATTCATATGCATTCAATTGCTTCTTCTTCCTTAGTCCCTTGAGTCGTAATCTCTTTTTCCGTTTCTCAGAATTCTCGGGTTTGGATGGATCATCGGTTTCGTCACTTGGCTCCGTGCCCTCATCGAAATAATCATCTTCCGTCATTTCCGTACCAGGTGTAATTGAATCTAGTTCTCGTAACGGCGTCACTAAACCAGGACTCTCAGCTCCCACCAGAGTTCTGAATTTCTCTAGAATCTGAGCAGAACTGGCAGAAGGATTGGTAACATCGTACAAAGTGAATTGAAGTTGGACATCGCCGGAAACATTGCTATCCTTCTTTCCACCAGGTCTTTTGCTCCGCAGAGGGTACCATGCCGGCTCTTGTTCGTGCAAATCGTTGGAGAATATATCCTCTAATGCAAGGTCGAATTCGCCCAGGTAATCCTTTCCAAATCTATCCTTATCCCAACACACGCAATCGAGGAGTAGAGAATTTGTGCCGGTAACTGGCAATTGTAAAGTAACGTTCCATTCTGGATTCAATGTTTTCTGTATTGTATGAGTTGTACTCTTTTCGTCTCCAAGTGTAAGGACTAGATACTAGAATCCGCATATCAGCTTGTGTGTTCCTGAGCTCTTCGCCACGATAAGGTGACATATACTTACAGGATCAGAAGTCCCGCTCTTGTCCTTTGCTGCCAAATTTCTAGCCTATTCATAAATAATCGTCAGTATAAGTATCTCAATAGCACGTTTCATTAAAATCAACATCCAGAGACACCATTCCCAGCTTGCATGAAGTCAGAGACAAAAGTGGATTCAAATCATCCATACCTTGAGAACAACAACTTTCAGTACCAAACCATTGACTTTGATACCATTACTGTCGGGACTGGAATCCCTTCCACTAGTTTTATTCTTCATATTGTTATTGTTGTTGGTATTCGGAATTGGGCTTGTACTTCGAGAACCGGTTTTACTGCTGTAAGTTTTGAGGCGATTTGGTAAAGAGATGCGAACCATGGTGAAAGAAGTTCCAAGGTTTTGGGGTCGTGGTAAAACGAGGGGCCAAGATTGTAATTCACCCAACCGAAAAGGGGACACAGAATAGCAGGTATGTATGTAGGTAACAGTAACGTCAAATGTAATGTACGTCGATCGATTCTGTTTGTCTCGTTGGAATTAAGTTTCCGTGTTCTTCGTACTTCTCTGTATTGCTCGAAAAAAAAAGAGAAGAGTTATTAAAGGTGTAATTGGTACTCCAAATTGAAAGTTTCAGATTTCTTCTTGGGTGGTATGCGAATTGGAGATTCTGATGTTATGGGAGGTAGGAGGTGGGTGGGTTCACTGTATGTAGGTAGATATACCTCGACACTCCCGGGTGTGAAAATATCGATCAGATCAGAAGCTTGAAACAAACAGGATTAAGATCAAAGTAAGTAAGTAGGTAGATAGGGAGGTAGGTAGGTAGGTAGGTAGGTAGGTAGGTAAGATTATCACTTATCACAGAAAAACACAAATTCCCAGAACTTTCATCACACCTTCCAATTCTTCCACGGGTAGGAGAATCGGAGGAGGGAATTCAAAGCTTCGATCGATAATCTCTCATATGAACAGGCTGTCTGGTTGTTTACTGGGTATTTCAGCTAAAACATAATCTTGGCATATCTCCGTAGTGGACTGCTGTGGTATTATGGTTCTGTGGAACTTCTTAAGATTTTGGATTGATGGATGTTGGTACTTATTTTCAAGAGGATTAACTCAAGGATTATTTGGCGCTTTTTTTAATTCGTTGGTTGAGCCTTCCCCTGTTTGATCATATAATTTCGGGTTCTCTTGCTTCTGCTTCTGCTTCTGCTTCTTCTTCTTCTTCTTCTTCTTCTTCTTCTTCTTCTTCTTCTTCTTCTTCTTTCTTTTGCGACGGTTCCTTGAGTCTGATCTCTTTTGATGAGTAGCTTATTACACCAGAGATGGTAAAAGACTAACGAGTTCCTTTTTTTAGACGAATTCCCAACAGTAGTCGGTATACAAGCTCGAAGAGTAGAAAGCGTAAAGCAAATCAATCTATGAGGAGACAGAAAGACAGCGGGGTCGTTGTGAAGGGGTTTAAAAGCCTCACAAAAGGATAAATCTCCGTACAGGGAGGGAGGAATGGAATTTAGATGGAAATTTTGATGAACTGAATCCAAGCCAGGGGTAAAGTTGGAATAGCTAGTGGGCAGTGAGCACACGTTATTTTAGTTACAGCATCTAGTTGGATTCAACATTGAATCATGATACCTATAGGGAATGATTCGTATGTGTAACCTTATATGTATGTATATATATGTACATGTACATACATGTATGTAGGTAGATACACACACATGTACTGCATTGACAGTTTTAAAATAACCCGTTGACCATTCATTTACCTGTTTCCCTTTGGACTAGGAAGGAATAATTGACATATACTTTTGATCATTTATATCATTGCACTGCCAGAGAGTGCCGTCAGCGTCTACGGGTCGATCAGATAGATCACTCTATCTGTCTATCTATCTATCTATCTACCTATCTACCTATCTGTCTGTCTATCTGTCTGTCTATCCCATTCCATTCCGTTCATTATCAACTCGTTGGACTGAATCATGATAAATATTTCAAAAGGTCTCAACAACATTGACCTTGACCCAATCCCAAAATTGTAACCCAAGCCATGGAAATCCCCAACATCATATTACTTTTTATTATACTGGTGTACCCGTTTGAAACAGATTGTCCAACAAAACCCAATCCTCATGCATCCTCATCTCCTCATCTCCTCATCTCCTCATCTCGTTTGAAGACGGCATCAGCTATCTCCCAATGCCTCTCCACCAAATGCAAATAATTGCGAATCGAATCTTACCTCTTTCATGCCTAGCTTCTTGAGTTCGTATTCCCCGTACTCTCCTTATCCGCTTCCCCTTAGTAATAATTCGGTTCGCTACAACTATTTCGTAGCATCTACCACAGTAGGACAAGTATCACGGACAATCGGAAATCGGAAAGTAAATAAAATTCCCTCTGCCTTTACCGCATATGGATCTTCTTTAAATAATCTCCTTCCCTTTTACATCATACCTGAGTCTCTCTCATCAATTACCTAAAAAGTAATCTCATTCGTAAATGCCTAACTCCAGATGAGTTCTTCAGCCACCCAATCTTGACATAAATACATACACGAGGGGACGCAAATCTTTCCCAGAGATACACATTCCCATTCACATTAATAAAACTCACATATCTAACAGGCTACAGTATCTGATCGATCGTAATGTTGGCAGAAGAAGCCAAGCACTTTGCCATTTATCCAAGCTTTGTACCTTCGCTTCCACCCGGTCTTAGCAAATCACTCCAAGCTGCGTACGGGAAAACGCGTCCGCATCACCGGGAGCTAGCATTTGACAGTAATTTTGTAAAGTAAAGTGTAATAAAATAAATATCCGCAAATAGTAACAATAATGCCTAGGTATCTAAGTAGTTAGGATTCGCACTTACTTGACTCTAGAATCGGACTTTCATTGAACGGATGTACCATGTATTCACGGAGGCGCGCAATCGATTACGCCGCGGCTGCTTGAAAATAATCGGTTATGCAATGCTGATCTATGAGTGTGCTCCTATTGGCTACGATACTTCATTCTCTCATCTGATACCTGTTTTGATCAATCGATTCAACACCAACCATTTGTTGAATGACAATTCAACGATGGTGATAAAAATTGCACTTGCTGTTGTGAATATTGCACAAGAGACAACGTCCAGCTCATTGGTGTTGTTGATATGATATATATTATCATGGAATAGCATCGATATCTACCACTTTGTTGAGCTTATCGATAAAGATTTGATCGGGACCTCGACGATCGGAACAACAACCGGGCTAGATGAGGTTGCGAACTCCATATTCAACCATGTAGGTGAACATCGCGCGATCCAAATCTTGAACGCCATCCATTAAGAGCCAAGTGTTCCTAAGTTGGCCTGAAGCTTTGGAAATCGGGGGGAGAGTTGTGGGTCTCATCGACAACCTTTCTATTGGTCTCGCGGCACATACTTCCCGACAAAACAATTGTCACAAAAATTAGACTTCCTTTCCAAGGAATGTTAAAGCTTTTGGGCGGAACACGGCATCTTTTGTTCGGATCAAACGGTAGCATGCTCCTGGATTCGAATTATCTGGGCGGTCTAAATGGCGATAAGACATATTCCACCGCGTGGCGGAGAGCTTGGCCCTCCTCCATTCAATTGGCAGTCAATGGCAACTGCTGTACGGGGGGATAGACTTTTAACATAGTCGTGGCATCGACTAAGCTTATAGAGTTTGGGTATTGACACACATGATCTCTTGGGCTTGAAGCAGTGCTGATCATATGTTATGCTTTGAAGTGGCAAGATTGCTACCTAGCTGAATGTCCTTGATCTTAGGATTGATGCTTCGAAGAGTACTCACACCCTAAAGCCTATTATGGTTTTCAACCTACTCAAGAAGGTTGATTCCAAACAAACCACTTTTAAATTTAGCATCCACTTGTTCTCTACTTCAAGCCCGTGGTCCTTGAGGGAAGTACACTCGAGTTGGCGAATACAGTGGAGTTTGTTAAGCGTCTCGAAGAACCGCATATTTTCTCTTTGCGCTCGTCCCCAATTTCGTGGATAAAAGTCATCTATCAGCACGATTGAACTGTCGCAACAAACATTGATTATACTATCCTTGAAAGTACAGTTGGAGTCGGGATGGAGATGGTCCTCGTTGTCGCAAGTGCGAAATCCTTGGATTTTTCGTCAAAGAGTGTGGATTCGGCATCGATATCGCAAGTTGCAGTATCTTTCCTGGCCTTGGATTGGATGATGCGGCCAAGATCTTTTAGCCTGTGCATGCCTTACGCTCCAGACATAAATGTAGTAGCGCTTGACAATCATGAAGACGCTAGGGCTGTGCAGGCTGGTGATGAATTTGAGAAATTTAAATGGGTTCGTCAGCGATGCAAATGATGACAAGTAAGCAGAAATAGTCGTGAAAATGCTGGTAACAAGGCTCTAATCCATATAAGCAGAAAAAGGTCTTGCACAGTGGCCACTACTTGTTGTCCGTTCCATGACGCTATGATTAGGCGACTCTAACCGATTGTTGCACGATAGAGTAAGGGGAATTCAGGTGTGTATCACAGATAAAATTCATCCGTCTTACCAAGCACTACCATGTTCTCGGGCAATGCTTTGATTGATCGCGAGCATGTGAATAAGATCAGTGGCTTCGAAATTGTCACATTTATATTAGAATCGGGGCAACTGTTATCTATTTATCTTGAAGGAATGCAAGTGCGTTATTGTGCGTTATTGTGCGTTCAATTGAATGCGCGGATATATCGAGATCCTCTGCGATCCAATTTAAAAGTTCTAAACTTAACAACCATGCCATATCACACCGTTCCAGGGCGTTTAGTCAAGAACTACTTCAAAGCAAGTGCTTTCTACTTGAATGTTGGTATATGTTGGTACTCCATCTTCAGTGAATATGATTTGCAGATTCGTGCTGTGCCGAATAGTAAAGTAAGCACTTACCGAATTTATATCTTGTTCCGGGACCGATATCCTCACCGGATTCTCCAAGGGCACATGACATCCCTGTTCAGTATTGGGTGTTGGCTGACAGTTGGTGGTATAATAATGTGATCTGCCTCGCTTCATATTGTACTTTGTATCTATTGACTGGATAAAGATATACAATACGTTGGCTGTTGGCGGCTGAAGGTTTTGAAGTCATAAAGTGATCTACAGGGCTGTAGTGGTGTAGAAAGTCGGTTTTAAGGGGTGGTAAGGCTGACAGATTGTCCATTTACAGGCTGCTCGGATACTATCATCATCCTTTTAGGAATATCAGAGTGCGTCTCAATAAATCTATCTCTCGGGGCTCCAATCAAGTTAACATGAGTACTATTAATCAGGCGCAGTCATCACAAGAACATGCCTGGCTTAGTATGCCTTTCCATTACAATATCACATGTATTATAGACTTCCGATTTGTTTATATACAATTGATGTGTCTTCCTTTTTCGTAATAAAAAATTTCATTACGATCAACATTCATCACAATCTTTCAATGTCTCCTTCTAATCCCAACTTCAATCGCTGGATAGCCAGTCAAAAGCCCCGCGCTCATACTATGTGTGATGCATCAGTCTTCTATCGCAACTTGGAGCAAGCTCTCGATATCCGAAGACAAAATCATGATCTACACACTCTACTCAAAAACACGTGGGCCAAAGGAGAAACCATAGATTTCTTCTCCAACGATTCTCTTTCCTTCGGTGCCAGCGGAAGATTACGCAAAGCTTTTGATGAAGAATTAGCTCGAAATCCCAATGTACAACTCGGAGCTGGAGGTTCTCGCTTAGCGGATGGTAATTATGATTATATTGAAACAGTGGAGCAGGAAATTGCCGATTATCATGGCGTCGAAGCGGCGCTTGTTGTAGGCTCGGGGTGCAATGCTAATTGTGCGACTTTTGAAGCGATTCCACAATCTGGGGATGCTATTGTTTATGATGAGTTTGTTCATCCGAGTATTGTGGATGGAATGTCGCGTTCGCTTGCTACTATACAAATATCTTTCGCTCATAATGACGTCGATGCATTTCGTCAGGCTTTAACATTCTTGTCGGATTCACAGCCCCTCATCAAACAGGGAAAAAAGTGCGTTCTGATTGTCGTGGAGAGTTTCTATAGTATTGAAGGGGATATGTCTCCTCTGAAAGAACTGGTGCAGGTAGCAAAAGAGATATTTTCACACGGTAATGCACAATTTATCGTTGACGAAGCGCATAGTATAGGTGTAGTGGGCGAGAGAGGGTTAGGATATGTGAATGCCTTGAATCTGGATTCGGAAATCGCTATCAAAACTCATACATTCGGTAAAGCGTTCGGATCAATAGGAGGTAAGTGATCTCTCTCTTTCGGCTCCCGTTGCGATATCTCCAAGACTGATAATGTACCGAAGGTGTGATACTCGGTAGTCACACTGTCAAGAATGCATTGGTGAACTTTTCTCGTTCGACGGTGGTTACGGCAGGACCGGCTTTCCATCAAGTTGCTGCGATTCGAGCTGGATACTCTTTACTACCACAACCTGAGACTGAAGCCGTGGGTCTTTTTTCCTTGTATCCCTTTCTGTCTCAAAACACAATCCTCATCAGAAACTAACGCATTAAAAATAGGGACGAGCCAACATCCAACACCTCGCAACACTCTTCTTCCAAAAAATAACCTCGCACCCCATCTGGCCTCTTGCCAACAAACTTGGAATCATCTCCATCCCCCTATGCGATTCCTGGGAACAACGCGCGTTGCAGACACAGTTGATTCCGCTCTGGACTCGAGATGTGCATGGTAAGGAATTGGCGTTTTCGTTGGAGGAGAATGGGTTTGCGGTGTTTCCCGTGCGGTATAAGGTTAAGCAGGGGATGGCAAAGTTGAGGATTATTGTGCATGCGGCGCAGACGGGGGTGGAGGTGGAGGGCTTGGTGGAGGCGGTTTGTGCGTGGGTTGGGGGGGTGGTGAGGAGGTTGGGGTGGGAGAGGCAGGGGCAGGGGGAGGGGGAGAGGGATATGGGGATGGGGATCGGAAATGGAGGGAGTGGGGTTTGTGATATGGGAAAGGTGTGGCGGTTTGTTGGAGAGGATGAGGGTAGTGGTGATGAGGTTGTAGATGCGTGTGAGGGAGAGGATCAAGAATATGCTAATAGACTTTGACGCCATCAGATGTCTTTTAGCTTATACGAGGAGGTGATGTCCCTTGTTTTTGTATTATAATCCCACCGTATCAGTATAATACCAATAAATTCACATTTATCATGTCCATTGCACTCACCATATATATCTACTCCCCCAACAAATACCCGTCTTTCATTCATTCCTTCTTTCCTCCCCCATCTATTCCCAAATCAAACCAGCCCCCAATCTTACGAGTATATACCTAGGTATGCAAGGTACACGCGAAAACACAGGCTAGCGAATCACACCCCTGAATCCAACTCCCATACCCCAACTGCCCAACTGTTGGTATTGATATACACGTATGTTGTTGATTTATCACTTCCAAGGTTGTCATTTGTTGTTTGTTATTTAGCCTTTCTTATTCCTGTTTATCCTTTGCATTTATGATATGATGTGATATGATATGATACGATACAGCATGATGAAACGATCACAATACGATACAATACAATATAATACAATACACCACTCCCCGACATCGGGAAGAAGCAAAGATAATTAATAGATGGTTAAGGGATATACAGCTGACAGTTTACAACCACTTCTCACACGCAGACAGAAAATTTCATACATCGTTCACCTCTCTCTGATATTGATATTGATGTTGATATCGATATTGAGTCTGGGAAAGTGGAAAGTGGAAGGAATAAAGGATAAGGAATAAGGTATAATATAGATACACTACATACACTGTACACGCTTTCCACGAGTGAAGTACCAGCACAACCAATTCCGCACCTCCAACTGTTCAACCACCCATCAACAATCTCAATCCCTCATCCCTCATCCAAATCCCTCCATCTCTCATCAAGCGTCCCAGCATCCCAACCTCCCAAACCTTCAAAAATGCCCATTCCCATCCCCGTCCCCTCCCAACACCGCCTCATCTCCCGCCCTGAAATCAAGTCCCTGATTGCAAAAGATCACAAAATATTCATCCTCAATAACTGCGTCATCAAAGCCGACGCATGGCTACCTTTCCACCCCGGAGGCGAAAAATCAATTCTGCATATGGTTAGTCGCGATGCGACGGATGAGATTAATGCGTTGCATTCGGAAGAGGCGAGGGAGCGGATGCGGAAATATGTGGTGGGGAGGATTGAGGGGGGGTGGGAGGGCTTGGGGATGGGGATGTGGGGGGGTGAGGGAGAGGGAGAGGGAGAGGAGGGGGGAGATAGGGGAGGTAAATTGAGGGTTCTGGGGGATGGAATATTGGGATTGAGGGGTTGCGATGCGGAAAAAATGGGGAAGGGAGAGAAAGTGCGGTGGAGACGTACAGCTGCTGAGATACAGATTTCTCACGCTTCATCATCGTCTTCATCTTCATCTTCATCCTTATGCTCGATAGACACGAAAACGAAAACAGGAAAGGAAAAAGACCCAGAAAACCCACCCCTCACATCCCTAGAAGTCCTAACAGCACACGCCATATCCACCGATCTCTCCAAATACCCCTCTCTGGACCGCAAAACCCAAGATGCGATTATCTCCCAATATCGACTCCTGGATCAAGAACTGCGCTCCGCAGGACTATACAACTGTCCATACCGATCCTACGGCATCGACGTACTGCGCTACATCCTGCTCTTCACACTCTTCTGGAAATTCCTACAATCCTCCTACTTTATTCCCTCCGCCCTCTCCCTCAGACTCTTCTGGCACCAACTCGTCTTTACCGCGCACGACGCCGGACACATGGGGATAACGCACTCCTTCCACATCGACAACTGCACCGGGATCCTGCTTGCGAACTTCCTCGGCGGGCTCTCCATCGGCTGGTGGAAGCGCAATCACAATATCCACCACATCGCGACCAATTCCCCCGAACACGATCCGGACATTGCACATTTACCCTTCTTCGCCATTTCGCATCGTTTCTTCTCCTCTTTGTATTCGAGTTACTACAATCGCGCGATGGAATTCAATACCCCATCCCGCTTTTTCGTCAAATATCAAACTTATCTCTACTATCCCATTCTCCTGCTCGGAAGATTCAATCTCTACGTATTAGCATCGTCCTACCTGCTGAGTCCTAACCAGGCACCTCGTAAAGGGCCAGCATGGTGGCACTGACCACCTCGAAATAGCAGGCCAGATATTTTTTTGGTACTGGTTCGGCTATCAAACGCTCTACTTGCGTATTCCTACATGGTCGTCCCGTATAGCATTCCTCCTAATCTCGCATATGATCACGGCGCCGCTGCACGTGCAGTTAACGCTCAGCCATTTCGCCATGTCGACTGCGGATCTGGGAGTCCGGGAACCGTTTGCGATGAAAATGGTGCGTACAACCATGGACGTGGAGTGTCCGCCCGGGATGGATTTCCTACACGGGGGTTTACAATTCCAGGTCGTGCATCATTTGTGTCCGAGGCTGCCGCGACATAATTTGCGCACGGCGCAGAAGTATGTGAGGGAATTTTGTGAGGAGACGGGTATTCCGTATGTGAGGTTGGGGTTTGTGAGGGGGAATCGTGAGGTACTTGGCAGGCTGGGGGAAGTGGCGGCGCAGTTGAGGGTTTGGGAGGAGTGTAGGAGGGTGGCTGCGCGGGATTGGGTGGAGGGTACCCAGTAATGTGGAAGTTGTAGCAAGCACAAGGTCGACATGAACTTGTTTTCGGAGACCCGAGTATGGTAAGATTGAGGTACTACCATCTCATCATACCAATATATCTATAAATATCAAAGAGTGAAAAAATAGACAGCATCAACATACCACCATTTTAAACCAATATATTCACAAACAGTAAAGAAATTAGGAATAATCTATATCAACAAATGTATTCACAAATAATAAAAAGTGAAAAGATAACCTTCATTGTGTCAATCACTCTTTACTATCATAATAACATATCTACAAACATTAAAGAGTAAAGGAACAGTCCAAATTGACGTACTACCATCTCATACCAATATATTCACAAACACCAAAAGTAACAAAACATTTCATACGAGAACAAATATCTATTGCAACTAATCTATATATCTATTCGCAATAATATCCCGAACCAATAGTTCTTTTGAACCACCTTATATATAAATCCACCAAAAAATGATATCCCGACCGGCTGGCTAATTAATGCCTGTACCTCAACGCCATGCAACTTGTGAAAAGAAACAAAAATGCAATGAATAAAGATATAGCTGATGGAAGATGATAACAGTTATCCATCTTCCATCTTAAGCGCCAACCTCTTCAGTGATTGAAGCTGGTATATTTTCTTTAAGCTCAGAGAAAGATTCTGGCCACAAGAACATCTTTTCTTCCTTTGTGGGAGTAGCAGCAACATATGAAGGAACCTTGAATGTAATGTTAGTATTAAGAAGTATTGACCAAGAATGAGAAAAACTTACAGCGTTCTGACTTGAAACTCTTCTCCACAAGTTGGCTCTTGGATTGAATCTTGCTGGCTTGCCTGCACCACCAGTCTTTGCTTGATCCTCCTCAGCAATCTTCTCCACTTCCTTTTGAATATCGGCAAAAGTATCGAATGGAATATAAGGGATCTTATGTTCCACACAATACTCCTCCAATCTCAAACCTCTTCTTGCAAATAAAACATCTGCTTGTCTCGCAGCAGGTAAATCAGAAACTCCATCACCAATGAATACAATCAATGGGATAGTTCCATCTTCACATTCCAATTGAGCAAGTTCTCTTGCTTCAGTAATGGATAGTGCCTTGTCGTGACCCAACTCAGTGTCGTGTCTCCAAACTGGCTTCCACAGACTTCCATCCTCACTAATCTCTGCCTCATTTGCCACGATTTGAATTCTCTTACTTTCCTCCTCTCCCAAGAACTTATCCAATACTTTTCGCAACACCGGCTTCAAACCCGCACTGATAACATTGAAAGGAATGTTGTTATCAATACAGAAGCGATGGAATTTTTGGAAATCAGGATCAATCTCGAGAGTTTTCTCCATTACGGCAAAACCATCTTCGAATGGGACGCGGAGAGATCCCCACATCTCTTCTGAAACATCACGGAAAGAACGTTCACCGGTTTTAATTTGTTCATCGAGGATCTGACGACGTTCTTCTCCGCATCCGTATGAATCGAAAAGGACGTGCCCGGTATCTTGCATGAAGATTGTGCCATCGAAATCTGGAGTGGAGATGTTAGTTTTCTTATCTGGATATATTTTATATCTTCACACAGACAAAAAGCAGTGTACCCAAATATACCGAAACAATGATATTTTGATGTCACATCACAAAATCAATATCCAATAAAATATATAACAAAAGACGTTGAATTTGTAACAAATCAAGTCTTCTGAATATATTCATATAATTTGGAATACGAGATATTGATTGAACGACATGATATCAAATCAATTGAGAAGTGTATTCTTTGGGTGTACCCGTTTCTCATCCGGATAGAGTATATGTGTATCGAAAAAGGGAAATACATACCCGAAAAGCAAACGATCTTTCTCTTGCAGTTCAACATATCTGGATCTTGTGTGCGAGCGTAACTTGTTTTCTTAACTGCCAAATTGGTACTGAGAGTTGGTGGTGTGATTGCAGAAGGCATTCTGAAAAGAAAGAAAGGATGAAGAGGTAAATAAATAAATATGTGAGTATCAGGGGGAGAACGCTAGTGAGCCAAGTTTGAGCTAGGTAGGCACGGAAAGGTCGAGAACGAATTTTTGATTGATTGATAAGATATGTAATATGTATGGTATCTCGATGAACGATTGAAGTGATGCAGTGATGCAGTGATGCAGACAAGGAAGGATAAGAAATATGGGTTCAAACTTCAAAGTTGGAGGAAAGGCGGAGAGCGGGATGAAATGTTGATATATATATATATATATGGACCTTTGTTGAATGCTGGAGTTGGAATGTTTAAACGCCGTTGAGATGTTGGTGTTGGTATTTTATTTGTAGATGGCCTAACTGAATGGAATGGAATGATTTGATTGAATATAGCAAAAAGAGAAAATGAAGTCGAGGGCGGTTCCTAATTTTTATATTCATTGATGTGAAACTATTCCTTTATTTTTCTTCCATCGAATTCGTGATAATTTTCATGTTCTCCAATACTATCTCCATTTCCATTTCCATTTCCATCTCCATGTCCATCCATCCTAAACAATGACTCCATACTACATGATGCAAATGCATCTCAACAAAGATATGTTAACACTCGTGGATCAAATTCTCACGATAATGCTAGGGACGCATGTCGTGAGTTTTCTCCTGGTAGGTGTCTCTTGGGAAAAGTTGCCCACCAATCACATGGACGAAACTCTCCATATTATGAGTTTTCCAACTTTGGAAAACGAGATATCGATGTCTGGAGGACAAATTCGATCTTGGTATCTGGAACCTTGGTGGGGCAATGGAATAGAGGGGCTGAGGGGCAGTGCGTGCGTGGAAGGGGGAGGGTATAAGCGTGGAATCAGATACGATACGTGGGTGCGAAGGAACGGACAGAAAGAATGTTCTTGAAGATACGAAAGGATCTACGAGGACGTGTCGTAGAGTTTACATTGAATTTAATTGCCATGTGATTCTTGATTGTGATTGGATAGAAATGGTGTTTTTGATTCTTTTTGACTCGAGTGAAATTTTCACAATGCTAATTAAGGATGATTTATGATTCATCGTACTTACCTACCTACTCAGGTATGGTATCTATCATTTATTGTTTCATTGTGCAGTCCGTGAGGTGAGGTGAAGAAAACGCAGAGTACAGTTCAGTACAGTTCAGTACAGTTCAGTACACTACACTACACTACACTACACTACACTACATATCTACCTAATGATATCATACATCTAGACTCGCTACCCCAGTAACACACACAAAACCAACCAACCAACCAACCAACCAACCAACCAACCAATCGACTTTCCATGCACTCAAGATTCTCATCTACCACTGACTAGGTACCAGAACATCCATACCTACCTATGCACCTTGCGTTACAAAAAAGGAAGTCCCGAACCGTGTCAGAATTTGTTTCAAGGGATTCCATTGCACATACATACTGATGAGCACTGAGTACTTAGCAATGAGCACTGGGCTGAGTGTAAATTAAAAAAAACATACCTAGAAACTCCGTAAAATACACACACACACACACACATACACATGCATATGCACGGATTGAAACAACGAACAAATAGGCTGATCTCAGACACTCTCACTCACACACTCACACTTAGGTATACTATGTATTCCTCACGGAGAATATCAAGCCACGATCCATCTCATCATCCAAGCCAAGCGCTTACACTGCTCCCACGCTTCCTCTTCTCTCCTGTCCTCGCTTTTCCCGCATGCATTGCATTGCTTACTGTACTGTATGTACCTACTGCGCATCGCATTGCTGAGACAACCTGAACTAACTGCTCACCGATATACTGACGCGGGGAGTGAGCCACATGCTAACTCTGTACTCGAATGCTGCATGCACGTTTTCGCATCATTGGCTGGCTGGCTGGCTGGCTGGATGGATGGAAATAAGTAGGTATCCAAATCATCATTTTGCATATTTCACCACTCGAGCAATCAGGAACGGGTAACATGATTGATTTGTTTCTGCAAGCTCAAAAGGCCATGTGCTCTCTTATTAGACTCTTCCTTTCCAATTCCCCAACTAATCTGCAGTTGACTATACTAGGTACCAGGTACTAGGTACTCCTCCACATGTATGGGAAAGACAAATAGGGTACACGATTCGCTTCCATTTTTCCACCACCATACCAGACGCCATGAAACGAAATGCAATGAAATGAAATGAAATGAAATGAAATGCAATAAAATGATGTCACAATGCAGATACCAACCCAGGTAGACATCAAATTCATTCTTCTATACCGATACTCCGTACTTCGTAGTACGTACGAGGAAAAGTACAATGATTACGTAAATAACCCCCCAAGAACTGAAGAAGAAAAAAAAAACTTGAGTAACTACATATTGCTAAAAATGAGGTTATCGTGAGATTTTTTTTTTCCTCTCCCGTAGATAGATTTTTCTTACTTGTTCCTTTTTTTCTTTTGTCTTTTTCTTTTTCTTTTTTCTTTTTTCTTTCTTTATCTTTCTATGTTAGAGACGTTGGAACTTGGAACTTGGGACTTGGAACTTGGGACTTGGAATAGAAAGTGTGTTTGTTATTAATCTTTGAAGATCTACTGGTACTGGTAGATCTTCTGATTTTGATTCTGATGCTGATTAGATTGCATCCAACGTATCTATCTATCTATCTGCTTGATGAACAAGACAAGACAAGACAAGCTCGCGATATATTACCACGTGATAATCAAATCAAAATAAATTATACGAGTACATACATACATACATACATACAGGAAAATTCACATACGCCTAGCGATCTACAGTACATTTTGATGCGATGCGATCAAGTTTGATCATCTGGGTAGGTAGATTATTGATATTCATCATATTTCTCTCTCTTGGTCTGCTTGCGCTGTTTCAATATTGACACCCTTTCCTTTCCCATGCTGCTGACCACTATGAGCAGCCTAGGAAATCAGCCATAGCCATCAACCGGGTACTTGATCATAGATGGAGTTGTCATGCCCTCTCGCATAAACCATCTCAACATGCGATAAACAAGAGACCATTGTTCTAATACCTCGCTAAACAACGACATGAATTCCCCCAACGCCCTAAAAGATTTTTGTGTCTACTACTACTACTACTACTACTACTACTACTACTACTACTACTACGAAACTATGGTCTAGTATGCGGCTGCGACCTTGGGAGAGTATTTCGTGGCAGCTTGGTCGAAAAGGGAGCTCTTCTCCTCCAAGTCCTTCAAGAATGCGTGTTCTGGTGATGTACTTCCTAATGAACTAAACGACAAATGTCAGTAAAATTAACATTGCAAAGTGGTTCAAACATAAGCTAAACCTTGGATTGCCGTTCCAATGATTCTGAGAGATAAGATTCAAGAAGATTATAGCACAAATCCAATGTCCAACCTCTATGATTAATTCGGAACGAAAGCAGTGGCTATAAGAAAAATACACATACCTTAACAAATCACTGGAATCCTTTCCTGAGATTGTGTTCAAGACGACTTTGTTTGCAAGGACTTCCGTATTCTCGGGGTCCTTGTTGAAAGCTTGATCTAATGCTGCTTCTGCTTCCTCCAATCTTCCTAGGTGTATTTCTGCGATTGCTTGCGCGACAAGACTTTGTGTTGAGGATGTTGATGGAGCTTGTGCGAGTTCTTCGAAGACATAGAATGCTTGCTGGTATTTCTCTCCGCCCTTGGGTGATGTTAGTAAAAAATACTTTAGATACTAGACTCGAGGAAACCTACAACTCTAAGTCCCACCCAGGACTCTGCCAAGTTAACCAACAGACTATCTTGAGCCCATCTTCTAGCTTGTTGAACTTCCTTGATAGCTAAATCGGTACGGTTTTGTTCTAGATGGATTTGAACAATAAGAGCCACCGCCTCAACTAATCCCCATCGTTAGCCCCCCTCTGCGACTATAGAGTGGCTCTAAAGTGTATAGTACTTACGATTACCCTGGTGCAATCCCAGCAGTTGTAAAGCTTCCTCGCTCTTTCCCGCAGCTTGTAGAACTGTCCCGCCCAATACCTGCACTGTCGCATTGTCGCTCGAGTCCTCCGCCAATTTCGTGATCATCTGGACGCCCCTATCTTCATCCTCGCTCACGAACACGGCTAGAGCTCCGACAGCTTTCAATTCAACGGCATCTTCTCCTTGTACATCTGCGAGAACATCTTCAGCTTGCCCGAGTGCAATTTGAGCTCTTAGTGATATAACCCGCGCCGGGAGTGCGTTCTCTGGAGAAAGCGCACTGGTATCGAAATCAATGGCTTCTCGAAATTGGCCTTGGTGAAAATGATTGTGCAAGTTGAGAAGCTCGCCTTCTGCTGAGAATGGATCCATATTGTATGACTGTAGTTTGAATGTTCAATGTTGAAGATTATATGCGGTACGCTCGAACAATACGTGTTGAATTGGTCGAGGATGTCGGAACTTGCCGAGACCCTCTGAAGCTAAGATTTCTGGGGTCGTGCCGCTAATTTGTTGGAGCGAAGGCCATGTACACTTCCCGTTGCTCCTTGCCATGTACTAAATCTCGCATCATCACGACGTCCATATATCTTCGTTACTAATTTCAAAGAACGAAGTCCTCGGGCTTTGGATTTCACATGATCCACCAATTCTTTGTTTATGGAATCTTCAGAGACAGTCTTTGATTTGCTCTCATTGATATCCTCGTCCTCTTCATTAGTTTGAAGTTGCAGCCTAACGTTGTCCCAAAATGCTCTGATTTGAAGTTCTTTGCGATAATCGTCAAAAGTCATTTGTATACCAGGTCGGGGTCGTTTACTTGGTGGTCTTCTTAGTACTTCTTCCCGTAATCTCATAAGAAGTTCGTTTCCCTAGATCATGGACACAGAGGTTAGTCGGATCAGCCCAAAAGAGTTACTCTTTGCTATGAAATCGGGAACGAATGTACCTACCAGTCTTTCGTCGATGTTTTTGTCGGCATCTAAGCACCTCATCAATGGTCCAGTTAGGAAGAAGTTTCGATAATTTTGTAGTAATTGGTCGTAGGTATATATTTGATGAGGTATGGCGTGTTGCTGAGTATCCTCTTCACTTAGACGTTTCGAAGGGGCCCCTTGAGTTTTCTGCCTTGTTTCTTTACTTCGTGCTGCAATATTTTTCTTTACTGCCATATCCTTCAACAGCTTGAAGTCGGTAATGATTGAATGCGGCCTATTCTTGATCCCTCTGCGCTTGCAAAGCTCAAAACTGTATACGTTATCCTTGCTCGACATCTCTTGTTCACAAAATACCAAGGGAAAGATTGAGTTGATTCTTAGAATTTCTTATTTCATATTCATTTCTGGCTTCACATTGAGGACTAGAACAAATTTCGATTCACATTTTGAGCCATAGCATTAAAGAAGTGATTCACATACAAATCATCGCAAGATAATTTTGCAACCCGTGCACAAATCATCAGTATATTTACTTCAATCTATCTCCGATCTGTTTAATGTCCTAAAATCCTACTGTAAGTATAACAACTTTCATATTCTCGAACACGACTGTTCAGTATATCATCTTCTTTCTTGTCTAAAGCAATCAAACACGATGGTAAACCCACTTCTCCCAGAAATGACAGACCTACCTGCAGGTTGGGTTGGTCAATTTGATAATAATGATAGAGTTTTTTTCCGTGGTCCCAATGGTTATTTGACTTACGATCATCCTATGAAGGGTCCAATCCCAAAGCCTTGGCAACTCAAGGTTGACAGGTCTGTCCCAAATCCTCGTGAGTATTATTACAACACGCAGACTAGGGAACAATCACATGACAATCCACGTTTTAAAGAAGAACTCATGAACTCAACCCTTCTCGGTGTCTCTAGACTAGTTCGAGAATCTGCAACTATGACGGTAAATACCGATGGAACTCTCGAAAAATCACGACGCCAAGCTATTGGGAGCCAGAACATACGACATTTGTATACAATCGTCAAAACACTCGACGCCGGGAATGGCGCTATAGGCGGAATGAATGGCGGAGTTCATGTTGTTCGACTCAAGGGTACGGGTAAGCTCTATGTCGAAAAGCGATTCAAGAAAGATGACTTGCAACCCCTGAGAGATGGAACACCTGGAATGGGCGTAGTCGAGATTGGGATAACTCATAGGGTGATGCATGGCGGTCTCGCCGGGTATATCAATGGGTTCATAGAGCCAAATGACATACATCCAGCTAGTGCATCATTGCTTCTTGAGTTTTGCGACTTAGGATCTCTGGATGATCTTATTAAATGTCATGCTCAACGTCTGGGCACAAGAGATGCGGTCGATGTACCTGAGCGCTTTGTTTGGCACGCTATTGTTGGACTTTGTGATGCTCTTTCCTACCTTTGGGGCGGAAAATCATTCATAACCAATGAAAAACACAGAGGAACTGGGCCTGCAAAGGGCTGGAAACCAATCATACATCGCGATATGAAGCCTGATAATATTCTCATACGGTCGAGGTCGACGAACGGAGCCACGAAGTATCCTTTTCTGGTCATAAGTGACTTTGGTTTGGCCATTGATAATCATAAGCAGGGATCAGGAGCTTGCGGAACAAGACACTTCTGGGCACCTGAACTCCTCTGGGATCCTCCCGCGACGGACAGTTGGCATCTTAGTAACTTTCCTCCGAACCAATATCATACTCACGAGAGCGATCTCTATGCACTCGGGGTTTGTATATACAATCTTTGCAGACCTATCAATGCTCTTGTGCATGGACAACGGTGGCTCGGAGCACTCTCGCATTTCAAATTCGAATCATATCCAACAAATCGCGATGAAATTAATATATGGTTGTCGTCTCGAAGAAGTCGTAGATCCGATTTAGACGCCGGCTCATCTTACTCGCCTTACCTTAGAAACGTTGTCAAGAAAATGACTGCTTGGAACGTCATTCAAAGAGGCGCTGCTCATCAACTCGAAAACATACTTATTCCTACTGTAAAGAAATGTGGTTATTATGACGAAGACTTCAGCCCGAGTGAGGCGCTTCCAGTTTGGGCCATTAAAAAGCATGACTACCATTCTAGATGATCTCCCTCAGCATTCTCGAGAACAGCAGTGGAATAGAAAGTTTTGGATGCCAGGCTTTTGAGCAACTTTGAACTTTGACGCATGGGTTTTGGAGGAGATCTGATTGGTTAGGCAAAAAGGCCGTGATATGTCAATACATGAAAAACTACACTCTTTTCTTCTCAATTTTAAACGTGAACATTACTGATAGCAAAAGTGCTAACATAGTAAAACGGAGCTTCGGAATCTTTATTCAAGCAAACTTTAGATGTTTCTACTTGGTTGAAGTAAACGGCACTATTCTACCATCCTAACATTTATAATATTTAGTACGACAATGAAATCTTGGACTGGGAAGTGACAGAGAACGGATCGCTAATGAATATAAAGATATCGCCCTTGGAGGAATTGGTACTGCAAAGATGTTATTGAAATTCTATAGGCAGATAGCATTATAAAAATATATCTTCGTTCCTTTATGACATCGAAAATTCCCAGTAACCTCGATATAAGTGATTGGCTGTCAGATGGTCTAATTGATAGGGTGAAAATGCATTCACAATCCGAGCTACCCAACCCCCTCAAAATCAATTGTAGAAGGATAGGATCTCAAGTACTCACAAAGAAAGATAGGTGATGCTCATAACTCCTCACTGCCTACTTTTTAGTACTGCTCAAAACTGTTTGGAAATTGACAAGAGGAAAACACATTCAATCAAATCTAGTCCGAGTTAATTATACTTATTTGTAAGACAAAGATATTCAATTGCATATCACGTGCACTATCATATTACCTTGCCACTTCTCGAACTAAGGTTCTCTAGTGCTCGGCTAAATTAAAGACTTCAGCCTCGAAAAGAGCCTCGTCAGGCTACGAAGCCTTACACAATAACTTCCTCCGTCAAACTTCACTAAACATCCCCCAATCAATCATCTTGTCCTCGGGATAATCGAAAAGAGCTTTGCTTCTTGTCTATCGTTCTTTCCTGAATCTTTGACACCATTTAGTATCGCATTGTGCGACAAGGAGATGGAGCCTTCCAGCAAGAAACGACGTCTCGCACCCAAAGTTCCAGAGCAATCTACTCAAGAACAGGTAAACAATTCATCGCATTGAATCTGGTATATCCTACTAACGTCCAGTTCAGTCTCCTCAAGCTAGATACGATTATAAGGCTATGCCGAACCTACAAGAGCCCGCACCTTCGAGTGAGCGAAGCGATTTCGAGTCTTTCGCCCGTCATTTACAAGATGCAGCAATGCTTATCTATGCGCAAGCAAATCGATCTCCATATAAGGGCGTTACAGTACTTTTGTTGCGATGGGAAGAAGATTTGAGTGTTGAGCAAGATCTTTTGCTCTTGCAGAAGGTTTTCCAAGAACGCTTTAATTTTCATACCGAGTCCTGGAATATCCCTAGTGGTCCAAATCCTAACATTAAACTTGTGAAGCAACTTGCACATCATATTGAATCAACTGCGCCTAATAATCTTTTAATCGTATATTATGCAGGTTATGGGTTTGTGGGATCGGATCATCAATTGTATTGGGCCTGGTAAGATTGGAAGCTTATCGAGCCTTGTGACTTATCGCTGATATGCAGTAGCAATTCACACGAAGATGCTCCAAAATTTAAGTGGGAAGGTATTAAATATTTACTCGAAGATGCGCAGCCTGATGTTCTACTTTTACTTGATTCTTGCGCAACTACAGATTCATCTGTTGCGGGAAGCCAAGGCATCAAGCAAGGTATTGCTGCATATAGTCCAGAACAGGCTACACGTGAACCAGGAACACGTTCATTTACTTATCACTTGTCGGAAGCTCTTAATAAACTTGGTACTGGCCGTCCTTTCAGTACGCAAAGACTCCATGAGGAGATCATTTCACAAAAGCACAATGGATTTCTGGCACACACTGGACTTACAAATGGAGCAGGAAAGGCAGCTTCGGCCAACGAGCGAATGCCAGTATCTTTCTCCTTGACCCCTGGATCATTACAAAGCATTTCGCTATCTCCTCTGAGCCAGGCCCCAAGATCAAGCACTTCGATAGCATCGCCAACGGATTCACCAGAGAACAATGCCTCAGGATCAAGCATTGAGGAACCAATCAAGGCCAACTCGAATTCCGACCTAACTTTTGAAGAAGTCAGAGCATTAGTTTGTACTACTTTTGTTGGAGAGCCAAGTCAAGACATGGCATCTTTCAAGCAGTGGCTTCACAATACCCCTTTGGCAGCATCAAAAATCGCAGTCGAAGGGATGTTCCACGGGCCACCTACCATTCTCCTCGTTTCTATGCCAATCGCGGTATGGAACGTTTTGGCTGCCGAAGGAATCTGTTTGTTCTTGGGTTACATCAATTCTCACAACATGACAACAGATTATCAACATTTGATTGGAGCAATTTCCCCTATGAGCAAAGCCGCAACTACCAAGGAGCTGGAAGATGGGAAAATACTTCTTGAAGCTCGTGAGGCCGCTGCATCCACACCACTAATGACTAGACATGAACCAGTTCAGCAAGAGCCAACTAGACAACCAGAAGTAGTCCATCAAACACCCTCAAGACAAGACCCAATCAATTCCACTCCTCAATCAATCCCCCAAGTATTGTATCCTGATACTAGTACAGCAAATCTTCCCGAGCATACAGAAGACGTCGAAACCTCAGTAGAGATGCATGAAGCAGCCGAACAACTGAAGGCTTTGAGTCATGTACGACACCTCAGCCACGATAATCTGACTCCAAATGATCGAAACCACTCTCACATAACTTCCGAAGATTCCCCAGGTCCCAGAAGTGGCCGGGAAGAATCAGCATCATCTCAAGATCAAGGTGAATCTGGAGCCGAAGATCAAATGTACAACTCAGAGTTCAATTCACCTGCCTCTAGACCCAAGCCCCGGAGATCGTCACAAAAGCAAGGCCCCAAGCAAGATACCCGATGTTCAATGTGCAGTCATGCACCATTTAAAGATTCGTCTTCCTTGAGAAAACATATCGCCGCTGCACATACAAGACCATTCCCGTGTGCTTTCTCTTTTGCCGGATGTGCGAGCACTTTTGGCTCTAAGAATGAGTGGAAACGACATATTGCTTCTCAGCATCTTTGCTTGACATTTTATCGCTGCTCTTCTTGTCCTCAAAGCACTGCCGAAGGCAAAGGTAACGAATTCAACCGCAAGGATCTATTTACCCAACATCTCCGACGTATGCATGCACCTTTTGCAATCAAGAAAGCTCTTGCTAAAGGAGACTCCAAACTTCAAGTGGAATGGGAAACTCATGTTAAGGAAATGCAAGCCTCGTGTTTAGTAACTAGAAGACAGCCACCTCAAAGATCCGCATGCCCTAAAGCAGATTGCTCAAACGTGTTCGAGGGCGCAGGTAGTTGGGATGACTGGACTGAACATGTTGGTAGGCACATGGAAAAAGGCGAGGCGAACAGATTAGGCGTTGATAAGTTTTTGGCGAGATGGGCACTTGATGAAGCAATAATCGAGCCTAAGGGAGATGGATCTAATGAATACAGGTTATGCGGTACGGAGAGAGAAGGTGGCGGTGTGTTGACTGGCAATGGGAATGCAAGTGGCTACTATTCAGATGGCGGAAAGAAGGAAATAGAAAGTGCCAAAGATGGAATGGAAAGTCTCATGGGGTTGACGGGTGATAGTATGATCATCGATGGTTGAAGAATTCACTTTGGGGAATTCTAGGCAGGATATGAAAATTCTTGAGACAAAAAACAAAAGGGTAATCTTTAAATTACATGTTATAGGGTGGCTTTCTGTGTTGTCTTTGTCTGGTATCAGATCGAACTTTGGGGTGGCTGCTTTGTTTGGTTAGCATTGACTTGTCCTGGCTTCAAATCTCCCTCTCTTTTATCACACACTCATCAGTTCATGTCACTATACTTGGTGAATGGCGATATTGCTCTTTTTCTCTAATCTATGGATGGATGCACAGGTGCATGGATGGACAAATGGGGGTTTTCTTTGGAACAATATCTTGAGGATATTTTCTTATTTGGGACGTAGGCAAGCAAGGGCGAAAGTATGGTTGGGATGGTCTGGGTGGAGTTTTTTACTAGGAATACGAAATGAAAAATGTTTATTTTTCTTCTTCAGATTCTGTATTGAGGAGATGTGTGATTTTTTGGTACGTGGATGGAAGTTGACAGCTTGTGGCGGTGGTAGATTTGGGTAATAACAATGGCTTGTAGTATTTAAGTCGTTTGTTCCTTATTCATATATGATGTTTTTTTGAGATTTTGACACCTTGTTAATAAAAAAAATTCTTCTGGATCCAGTTAATACCCGGTTTTTGTCCATCTTTGATTATTATATCGAAATATTTTTCCTTTCTCTTCAAGGTGAAGAGTATTCAACACTCGGCCATCATCAATATTCCGCTCCATTGAACACTGTTGGTATCAATCAAGTTGATAAGTGTAAACTGCCCTCGTCTATTATGGTTGTAATCGTTCTTGGTCATTAAATTATGAGATGCTAGTACTGAGTAGGTATATAAAGAAGCGCTAGCGCTTCGCTAGTTAGCTAGTTAGGTAGGTATATAGTACAATGCCCTTCTTCGATCATATGATCGATATCCTGACAGGTACATTTTGGATTATGCTTTAATGGTATCATATGCACTGCCACTTCTGATCTTCTTTCCCCAAATCCACAATACCCATGGGACAGGTAGCAACCCTACAACAATAAAACCTAACAGACTCGTTGCCCATCCAATTCCCAAGTTTTTATACATCTGCAATATGAATAATGGGAATGCTGCACCCGAAACGTATCTCAAAAGCCCATTTGCTGCTAGTGCTGATGCACCATTTAATGCTTGATAGGTATCAATCAGATAGTTTGCTGATGCTTAATCCTCGTATGTTAGTGTCCAGATATTGACAGGAAGGAATGGTCAAAACTCACCAATAAATACCGACAAGTTTCCCCACGAAAAAGGCACGGCTCCAATTACAGGCACTATCCAATGAACATCATCCTTCGCACTCCATGCAAACCAAAATAACCCAACCGGCAGCCCAAAACTTCCTAGCATCGCAGGATATAAACGATATTCCGGGGCTACAATACCTGACCTCCCTTCTTCATGGGATTTTTTGACGATAGGCTGATATAAGAACGTATCACAGAGAAGAACTGTAATGATAGCCAGGAAACATCCAACACCGATTGCCAAGAAAACCAATCCACTCTGTTCGGTATCAAATTCATATAAAGTCCTGAATACATACGGAAAAGCGGCGATGAAACTGAAAAGAATGGAAAAATTAAACGCGACGTAGAGACTTAGGAAGGCGACGATGGGCTCGGTACAGAGCATGTGAATGGGACGAAAAAGGGTGACTGTTAGGAGGAACTTTATCTTCGCTGCGTTCGAGAGAAATGGAGAGGCTGGGAGAGGCTGATTGAGAGATTTGGCGCGACGCGTGAGGATGCGTGAGTGCAGGGTTTCGGAGGTAAGGAGGAGAGGGAGGAAAGAAAAGATGGAGAAGAAGATTAATGTCCATTGGGTCCAGCGCCAGGATTTGCGGACAGTTACAAAGGAACCTATGACGGGTCCATTTGAAGACTGTTAATGATATTCTCTTACTCCAGAGATAGATCAAAATCAAAATCAAACACTCACCCTAAAGCTGGTCCCAAAAACGGACTCATAACATACCACGCACTAGGACGCGCTCTCTTTTCAGCAGTATAACAGTCCGCAATACTACCTGCTCCAATTGCTAACGCGGGACTGAACGCCATACCAGCGAGGAAACGCAGGATAGATAGACTTGCGATGTTTTGGGAGAAACCGCAGCCGAGAGTGAAGATGCAGCCCAGGGGGACGGAGAGTAGATAGACGGGTTTTCGACCGAGGGATTCGGAGAGGGGGGCTGCGATGAGGGGACCCAGCGCGAGAGCTAGGACGTAGGTGGAGAGGGGGAGGATGGAGACGGTCGAGCTGGTGTGGAAGGTGTGGGAGATGAAGGGGGCGGCGGGGGATATGAGGGAGGAGCCGAGGGTTCTGGAGGTGGGTTAGTTGATGGGTGGTGGGGTCGGGGGATTCAATAATTTGAACTGCGGTCTGAAGGAAAGTCTTTTCTTTTTTGGATATTTCAAATTACTTTTCGAATGTTTCCCTAAGTCGAATTGTCCGAATTTCGAAACAAATTCAAAATTCAGCAAAACAATTGCCCCTTACAAGATTGTATTCTAGGATATCCAAGATACCAAAAGACACGAAGGGGGACAAGAACAAAAACAATACATACGCAGAGAAAGAAATCAAAGCTGGAGTAAAAACATGCCAACTCTTCTTCCACACAGGCCAATTGAGAGGATTATCTGGATCGTCAGGACCATTCCACTGTAATGGCGGTACTACTATTCTTTGATCCTGGCTTTCTAGATCTTTTCCTGTGGTGGTATCAACAGGTGGTGACTTTGGCGTCCCATCGAGATTATTCGAGGAACTCGATTCTCGAGATGTTTTTTCGGGGTCTGTCATGTTTTCGTTTGCGTGTGATGATGTGTGTCGTGGTTATGTGTGTATCGATATCATGCGGGTACGTATATGGTGTAATGTATTAAAGACTATACATCAGATGGGGCTTTGCGATATTTGACGACGTGCTACTCGAGCTTGATTCTGTGAAGTAAAACAGGTGATGAATTGATGGATATTGTAGTACAAACGGTAGTTAACTTGAAATATAAGAATCTACATAATCACGAATCACGTCTACATGATCAATAATCACACCTTGTAATCTTTCGACATGTATTTGTATTGTTTTCTAATCAGACTCGGATCTTCATACTATTCTGCCTAGTATCACATTAAAGCCTACTGACGACTTCCTTCACGCTAGCTGATTTTGCAGTTAGATCTCTGACCGTATGTGCCCCAGACGGGAAGATTTACGCTTCTCCTTGCCATTTAATTAAGAAGTGATGCATCTCGAAGTGCATTTTGATGCTTAACTCCGTGAATCTTTCGTGCGTAGCGATGGATTAGTGATCATGAAATTTGTGCCGAAGCGAGTGTTTCTCCTGATTAGTGATCGATCTCGGCAAAATCGTTTATGATGGTAAACATTGAGAAAGTTTAAAAGAACGAGCAAAGTATTGATTAGATGGTTGTTTTTCGAGCAGTTGAATTTAATCAATTATTCATTTCGTATTCCTGAAGTCTTGATTGGAGATTTCTTGATCAGTCATTCTCAAGTGTTTGACGTTTTGGTATTGTTGGGCCCGTTAACTTGCTGAGATGTTATGACCAAGACGTGATTTCGGTCAAATCATAATTTTGATAGACCTGTAATGACTTGAGTTGGGATATGGAGTCAGTAGTAAGTTTTCATGTCCTTAAATTTGAGAAGAGACTGACATCCAAATGATTCTGATATTTTAGAATGTTGCGACGAAGAACGAATGCATGATGAATCGAGTATCTAGAACGAATGTATGTAATCATAAATTTTTCATATTTTTGGGTATATATAGCGGAATTAAAAATGTATCAAAATCTATTCCATTCATTTTTGGCTAGTGTTTTTTATCGACTTGCCAGACCTCAAATCATTTCATAAACTGAACCGCGTTCCATACCCAAATGGGTAGCATGACATCTGGATATCTTAATCAAACCAACAAACTCCATCCCATAGTAAGAGATCTACATCCAGAAATCCCACTGTCTTTTCCACCAAGGCCAAGCTGCCTTGACTCTTCTTTCTTCATCTAACTCCTCTCTGAACGCTACCAAATCCATCTCACGTCTGCCCTCATCAACATTGATCTGATCGAGATTTACACCAAAAGACCATTGCCTGTAGAACACTTTGTACCCAACGAAGAAGAGGATAACAATTGGGGCAGCGAGGTAAGCTTCAAAGAAAGCTTCTACATCTGGTTTTCCACCAATGGGGAACAGGGCGACGTAGAATTGGGCAACAAGACATAGGATAACAAGGCCAAGACCAATCCATGATCCGATCGTTCCAAACATAGCTGCGAATGGGAGATCGTCCTTTGTGCGACCATTCATGTTCCATACCTTGCGGAAACGGATGTGAGCATAGCAGATAGAGCCCCAGGTGAAGAAGTTGGAAAGACCCGAGATAGAAAGGAGCCATGTGAAGATAGTAGAACCTTGAGGAGCGAGATTTACATAGGCGAGAAAACCAAAAGCGAGAGCAATGGCAATGGCAATGATTGGACGACCATGTTTATCGACCTTTGCACCCCAGGATGGACCCATACCTTTAGCACAGAGAGCTTGGATGGTACGGGTAGAGGCGAAAGTACAGGAGTTGGCGACAGAGATAACAGAGAGGGTGATGACGGCATTGAAGATAGAGGGGAGTACTTTGATTCCTGCCAAACGGAAAGCAAGAACAAAGGGAGAGTAGGCTGTGTGACCGCCGGAGGCTTTTGAGAGAATCTCGTTGTCGGATGGGACGATAAGACCGAGGAGGAAGAGTGAAATGACGTAGAAGAGGGAGATACGCCAAAACACTTGCTTAGTGGCTTTGGGAATCGATTTTCGTGGATTATCGGCTTCTGCGGCGGCTAAACCTACAAGTTCGGTTCCACCAAATGCGAAGGAGGCAGTCACAAAGACTGAACAGAATCCCTTGAAGCCATTGCGGAAAGCACCAGGGGTGTCCCAGTATTTGGCACCAATGTAGCCACGGTTATCGGTTGGGACACCACCACAGTCGATGATTATACCGAGAATGATAAAGCCGATAATAGCAATCACTTTGATCAAACCGAGAACAAATTCCACTTCTCCGTATCCTTTGACACCGAAAAGGTTGATAATGGTAACCATGACGAGGAAAATAGTAATCCAAACTCCAACATTCACCGAAGGGTTGCCAGAGTTATCCGGGTCGGTCCAAAATCCAATTGTAATACCGGCAGCTGTTAATTCGAAGGGGAGAATGATGAGCCAATTGATAGCATAGTTCCATCCCATTGCGAATCCCCAACCTGGGTCAATAAATCTAACAGAGTAATTATAGAAGGATCCTTCAACAGGATAGATAGCTGTACAATGTAGCGTTAGCTTTGATCACTCTCAGAACCATAGGCATAGAAATGGAATAGGCGCGGGGTAGTCTTACCAGCAAGTTCTCCCAAAGCATTAACAGTAAGCAACAACATAATACCGATGATGATGAAATCGATAACCAACGAGGCTGGACCACCAGAGTGAAGAGCAGAACCCGAACCAACGAATAGACCGGCTCCAATAGAACCACCAATTGCGATCATTTGCATATGTCTGCCCTTCAATTGTCTCTTCAATTGTCCAGACTGGCCAACCTCGATGTCGCCATCAGTAGGTGATGGTGGCGCCACATCAGTCGTGTATTTCTCTTTATCGTCGAAAGCCATCTTTATTTCTTAGAGGAATTCTTACTACCTTTTTGAAATTTGAATTGCTCCTGATAAGAGAAGGAAAAGAAGGGGGAGTCGAATTCGATTCACTCTCAACGAGTATGATATCGAAATACGTAGTTGTGATCGCAAGCACCGAGTGAGTAAAAGACAAGACGTTTAAATAATGATTCACAAAATCTGGAGTTACATCGCGTGACATCGAGTACTTATACACGAAGCTTTCTGGCCCTGAGTATCTATCGTCGCACCTACCGCTCTGGTATATGCCACTAATGGCGATCTTGGCTTTGGCGCATGCATGTCTGTACACATGCATCACCTATCGGCGCCTCTTGCTTCGTAAATGATACGGGTAATCCAAATCGAACCAAGGCTAGGTAGGGATATTTGCCTCCCTTGTAAATGATACGACTCTTTTCCCGCAACTGACTGGAAGAAGGAAGCTAACGGTTGTGTCGAAATGGTAAAGCTCACCCTTCTTTGCATACGAATCTTATGGTGATACATGACCCACGGGATCCCCGACTCCCAAACTTTAGCCAGAGAGAACTAAACCCTATGCATCGCGTTTATCAATGGGTATCAAGACTAAATCCCAGCTCTGCGTGAATCTGTATCCAATAGAATGGTATTGGCATGTTTCTGAGACGATAACATGTAGATAACAGATAAGATTGGAATATGGTGTTATACTTACACCAATCTCATTGCAAATTTGCGTCGTCAAGTGTGCGGGAGAAATTCAAATAGGATGACCTAGGCTGGTTTGTCAAGATGATTTCGGTACTAACTAGTGAAAGATAGGCATAATGTGCTCGGGGGTGAGCCCCGATTCAGATCGTGGCATTTAATGTACTAAGCTTCTTCTATAATAGTTCGTCAATATCTTGTAGTATGATTGGTTCAAGTTAGCACTATCCAGCTTGGCTTCCAGCTCCGCATACAACGTAAGGATCACACTGGGGGGCATAGATAAGAGAGAGTAGTCTGAGGGTTCCTTTTCACAAGGTCTAGATCCTTGACCACCACACAATCGAGAGTCAAGGCATCTTCTTTAAACTGCGACGCCAGTCACGGTGGTGGCTTCACTCGTTTGCCTCTAATAATTCTTCTAGAAGAATTCTTCGCCTATACATAAACCTTTTTTGAACTTGTATCGGACCGAGGCAGTGAACGGAGGTTTTAAATCTGGGGATTTGGGAGCATGAGAATTGACGAGATTGAGGCTCGTCTCGGGCAAAGCGAGGATGAAGGGGTTAGCAAAACAAATGCTTATCTAAGTTATCTTTCTTGGTATTTATATTGAGTTTCGTACTTAGCTTGATCTATTATAAAGGAATTTTCCGTATCTGATTGTACACAGATATTTGTATCTTAGAGATAGTATAAATCGCTCTCGAGATAACAATGTGGAATCATGGAGAAGTGTCAGGGCTAAAATCACGCTGGTACTTTCACCTATAACTCTCAGCACAAATATTGTGCAATAAGCCGCTGATATCCATCGACCATCCCTACTCATCAGCAGTCAGAGTTATAATCCTCGCAAAGTTTAACCAATATAATCCCTCAAATGATGGTAAATAATGGAGTCTCCGAGCTCGCGGGGTCTAGTGCTGCGCGCTATTCTCTCCGCACTTTGTGCTCACCCACTTCCATCCACTGTAACTGTCACTGTCAAAGATATCGTTCAGGCTTCAGCGTGCCAGCGTCCCAGATTACAGAGTTTTGGACTCCAAACTAATACCCGCCCAGCTTTTAGTTCTGCCAGGATCCATGCATCCCCCGAAACCTTATTTACTTTGGGGACATTAAATTCTAGACCGCGAATTACCGACCCGCATGAAAGGCCTATCTCTAGCCTATCTACGGGGCATTGCGGGTACACTATTCGTAAATATGGCTTGACTTTAGAGCGCACTGGACATTAAACATCTATTTCATACTGGTCACGCTTCTTACAATGAGAATTTGATGTTGTTACGAGTTTGAATTAGACTATTGATCGATGGTGTGATTTCAAATTGGGTATTTTCCGTGCGTAGAAGATTTCAAAATGAACTAGTACGTAATAATTTCTTCCCCGCCTTTCTGCCGGGAGATTGGAATCACGAATGTTGGGGAAAGAAGCAATTAGTAAAATACTAGACAGTGAGGATAGACTACCTAGGTATTTAGAGCAAGATGATTGTAATTCATTAGACGTTGCAGGGTTAGCATGCTCGCGCAACGAATCCGGATCCATTAGTTCGGACTTTAATTCAAATCCAATAATAAAAGCTTTTTGGTTCTTGAGTTTAAAAGATGATATTTCAATTATCTACCCATTCCAAAGAAAGAGGAGAAAATTAAACCTAAGAATCTTCCTCCGATTGAATATTAGTTAGTGGGCCATAAGTAAACCTAATTTCACGCCCGAGTAGGGATGCAACAGCAGATTGCCCAGCGCTAGACACATTACCATAGTTGCTCATGAATGATGTAGACATGGCGGTATCATCACCATCTTTCATGAGTGGACGTATAACATCTCTTGTTACAAAAGATCCTCTGTCAAGATAGAAAGATTGGCTACCAACTTGAGCAGGACCGGAACGTCCTAGCGGAGCAGTCGAGAGATTATCGTTGCCACTATTAGCTGTCAACTTTGAAGATCCACCTTGAGATTGCTCGTTTTCATCCTGAGGATCAGGGGCGATAAGAGGTACCAATCCTCGTGATGTGGCTTGTCCAGGGATTAACCCTCGAGCAGAAGCTCTCAATCCGCTCTTCACAGCTGTTATACTTTTACTGGCAACCCCGCCCGCGGCTGCTTTGGTGACATTGTACGAGCCTGCCCGACCTACTGTCTTTTTAAGAGCTGTTGGCAAAGCCTTGGTAGCTTTGAATCCGTGTTTGAGAATGTTGCCACCAATCTCGCCGCCTATTCCACCTAACAACCCACCAAGAGCATCCAAACCAACACTTCTCCAAGTGATTTTTTCCCCATTTGCGACACTTCCAAGCATACCAGATGCTACATCGGAAATAACGCCTGCCGCGATACCAACACCAACCTGTATAGCCAAACTTGCACCACCTGTTAGAATCCCAACACCTACACTAACGGCAATTCCAATTACCACCATGATCAGATCTTTCCACGTAAAATTCATACCAAAGAGACTGAAATGACCATTTGGATCTACTCGATTGATGGGATCTCCTAAACAGTATACATAAGGATTGATTTCTCCAGACGCAAATGGAGCCCAGGGATCAGGTGTATGGAATCTTCTAAGCTGGGGATTGTAGACTCGATACCCATTGCCTAGATGATACCACCCTGTAACAGGATCTCTCCATTGTCCATTAAAGCTAATAGAAGAAAAGGAAGACCGAGCTTCCGAGCCAGAACATCCATACGGTGTGTACTTCTGGGTTTGAATCTGGTTGGGATTTTGAGAATCCAATGTGGTGAGAATAGACCGTTGACAATTAGAAGCCCAGAGATGGGTTTCGGTGCTTCCACCTTGTTGAGAAACAATCTCTCCCCAATATTCCGATCCATTCGATAGATAGCTAACCGAACGATCTCCTTTTTGCATGGCTATAAGCGATCCCCTATAGAAGAACTTTGTATCTGGTTGGTTGGGCACTCTCTGACACGCTAGATTTCCCGCCGCATCATACAAGTATTGCGCAAGAACATTGTTATTGCCATCTCGCACATCGGTCAAGCGGCTCATGTTATCATATTGAAGTCTTCGGCCTTGCTCATTGCGCGTTAAACATCCATTGTAATCATACTCGAGGACCGCCTTGGATGGATAATCTGGATGTGTGTTGGTGACTTGAATGAGTTGAGTAGGGTCTTGTGTGCTAAAAGAGCTAGTGGAAGTATTTGAGCTGCCGTCTTGAAATACTGTGGAAGTCTGTACAATATTATCGTAGTTATCGAAGACGAACTGTTGCGATCTAAGAAGATTCCCTTGTTGATCTGCAGGAGGCTCGCTTCCTTGGCATTGATAATTGACAAGACGGTTATGGACGTCATATTCGAAACTCTCACTTTGCATCACACTACCACTTTTCTCTTGGAGACGCGAAGCTACAAGACCAATTCCATTGTATGTCTGGCTGAGATTATATATCAATGTTGATTCGCCGCTGTACACAGATCGTTTGATTTCCCTACCGAAATCATCATATGCCAGTTTGGTAGTTATTTTTGTATTTTTTTCTTCGTCCTGAACACGACTTTCGGTTACACGACTAGCGATGTCATAGACAAATGATACTTTCAATCTGCCTTGTGCTACCTGCTGAGGTCTTCCAAACGCATCATAATAAGTCTCTTGCAATTTCCCGTTCGCATCGGTATACTTTTGCAACTTTCCGGCCATCGAATAAGTATACAGAGCAGAGAACATCTGGCCTCCAGTGATAGATATAGTTTCTCGAGAAAGTAAACCAGAAGTCAGATATTGTAGATCGTGAGTCGAATAAGCACCTTTGAGCTGCAATGGAGCAACAGTTTCAGTGTCATACGTATAGGCATCTGTATGATTGCTAGTGGATATTTGCGTAAGTGCACCGCCTAAAGCTGACTGATAGGTTAAGTTGTGTTGCTCTCCCTTTGCATTGGTTATTTGTGCAGGATCGGGTGAGTTCCCTTGGTAGCTTTGGCTAGTAGTTCGTGTACCGATGACTTTCTTTGTAACACGACCTAATCCATCGAAAGATTGCTCGCCCACTGTCCGGTCATTAAGCTTCATTGAAGTCGGCAACAATGCAGTGGTCTGACTTGCATACTGTGTCTTCACCACGCGAGTACCAGGCCAGATAGTCTCAACCACGCGGTCAAAGGAATCGGGTTTGTATTCAGTTACACGACCAAGATTATCCTGCTGCCTGAGAAGACGGTTTAAGCCATCATAGGTGTAGTCCATCTTGCTGTAGAGGGCGTTGTTTTTGTGGTAAAGTGCTGTTTGTGTGGGCGCGCCAAAGAGGTTCAACCTGGTCTTAGTCATTCCCTCGCCCTCAACGCCTTCAACTTTTGTGTTGGCGATTGGGTCTGTAATTATTAATGTACGCAAGCCAGAGTTATCTGAAACTCTATAAACCTTGCCCCAATCATCATATTCCATTGATTTAATGCTCCTTTGCTCAGATGGTGACTCGATCCTTTCTGTTCTCATCCAATCAATGTCAGATGTTGTGATGAGTTGATCCTGGGTATTGTAGCTATGTTCCTGGATCAGTCGAAATACTTGGCCATCCTGTTTCTCAACGCGCCAAAGCCTTTCCAATCCATCTGTAATGTAGCGAGTTTGTACACCCTTTGCATCAATCATCGTTCTGCGTGATCCATTGTTGACTCCAAGGAAAAGGTACTCCTGACGTTCAACGGATTCATAGGGGGTACCTTGAGAGTGAACCGTCTTGGAAGCGCGACCGAGACTGTCATAATAGTAATGAGTAGAAATACCAATCTGATTCTTATGAGTCGCTAAAAGCCCAGACCACAGTGAATAGCCCGTTTCTTCCACTGCCGTAGAAGCATCAAAAGCTGTAGTAGCCACCGTCTGTACGAACTGACTGCTACTGGGATATGTGTAAGTCCAATTCTGTGTTGTGGGATACTGATCAAAGAGGCGTGTCACCTGTCGCTGAAGGCGAGTATGATCTCTTGCAGCAGCATTGTTCACATAAGTGTAATCGAACTTGGTAAGAAGCTGATTTCCCTCTAAATTTTGCTTCTGCTGCACGACAACAAGATAGCTCGTCTTTGCGCCGGTCGCCGTGGGCATTTGGGAATATGTATAATGCTCACTACGAGTTGGCCCCACAGCATTAGCTGGTGTTACCGTCTCGCGTTTCAAGTATCTTTGGAAGTCATGTGGATCACGTGGGCAATATATGCCTTCACCAGTTGGTGGATAGTAATTGCGATCGATTCTGATACCAGTTGGCTTGATGTCTTGTGTAGGATTTCCCCATTCGTCGAAGACATGATGGCTTGTTTCTGTGCGGGTTGCCGGACTAGCTGTATCCTTGTAGATAGTTTCAACAGTTTTGGGTAATTGATATTGTGCAGGTTGATTTTCAAATGATGCGAATGGGACCGCATGATACGTGATCTTCTGGATGACCTGTTTGGTGCCTTTCTGTTGTTCCGAACTGACAAGAAGATGGAACTTGTTGTAAGTATTCTTCGTTCTTATTCCGCCTTGAATTTGAACATTTGAGGTGTATTGGTATTCGTCACGGGTAAGGAACAAATTATCTTCTCCGTCTTTCCAGTTTTGACTACTACCATATGCAAGAAAGTTATAGTCAGAATAGGTGTAGGAGGTTATGATCGGAGGTTGTGAATTGCCAGGACGTGCAGTATGAGATATGGCATAAGGAATTGCCTGATAAGGGGCCCCTGTTGGCAGTCGATGCCCTTGTTCTTTGTAGCTAATATCTTCCACGAGACCAGAAGGGCTGGTAACATTGTTCAGATGAATCATTTGACCGAACTTCTGATATCCAAACTTCCAGGACGCTCCATCCAAAGGTAGACGGATCTCTACCAACTGATTGTTTCTTTGAATGAGAGTGAAGGTAGCTGCTTCGGATGTATTCGGGGCCTTGGTTATCTCCACTTGAGATGTCCCATACTTAACCTCAAGAAGAACTTCTGAGCCCTGCTGAATTTTGTCGAGGCGAGCAGTCTCTCCAAGTGCAGACCAAACGAATGACAGCGAACGTCCAGTAGATGCATATAAGTCAACAAGAACAGACTTATTGTATCTATTGTTGAAACTAGACAAATTCTCGATTTGGCCCGACTTATAAATGATCTGGTATGTGTTGGCATCTAGCTTCTTGAAATTCGAGCTTTTAAGCTTTTGATCGGGGGTAAAGATTGTGCTAGACGTTTCCGTAACTCGGTAAGATTCGCCTGTTGAGAGGCTGACGACCCGGTTCGACTGACGGTGTTCATAGGAAGGTAGGTTGAATCTCCATCCTTGACCCAATCCAATGTCTTGTGTGTTCAATGGATGGAAGGACAAGGAGAACTTGAAAGGAGGGCAGTTTCTGGCTTGAATTGGTACTTCATACAGATCAACCATACACGTGTATTGACCGGTGCGCGGATCGACGCCTTTCTGCAAAAAATCGCTAAAATTGAACCCTTGAGAATAGATAGTAGAACTAGATGACATTTTTATGTTAGTCAATTAAAGCTTGGAAAACAATTGCAATAGTTGTGTTACTAAATTCGGACTATAGACACAATATGGCAAGTTTATTTTGAAGGAAATTTGTTATCTTCTATTCCTCCTCGCTCAAGGTTATCAAGCGAGCTGCAAAAGAATTGAAGTACAAAACTATCTCCATAGCTGTTGTATCCATAAACTTGACCAATCTTGATAGCCCAGAATGACTCTGAATGATATTATTCAATCAATTCTTTTCAGGTGTCTGCTGCCACAGTATCGAGTGGGGTTTTAACAGAGAAATACCATCGATGCCTGCGAGGTCCAGCATAAACCTTGAACAACGTATTGCGTCTATACGAAACACCCCATAAGTTTATTAGACTTTGGAAAGTCAATTCAGTCAATTCAGCCTTGATACTAAAATGGGCGTTGATCAAAGTCTCGACAACCCTCCACCTTTTCCTTGCAGGCTAAAGAAGCATGTGTTAAATCACAGTAACAATCAGACAGGAAAGCTGTACGACCTCAAGAGTTATCACAAGCGGGGTATTCCAAGGTAGTTTGGCGAATAAACGAGGCGGTTTAGGTGCAAGCTGCATTGATTAAATATGTTGTACCATATTGTTGCTCATCGATATGTAGAAAGCTTCTTCTTGAATAATATGACAATTCATAACATACGATCCAAGCGATTCACAAAATCTCGTCAAACATGATAAGAGGGGTATACCGAACCCCCACCGCGTTGTATGCAGTGTTCGTGTCTGGGCAAATAGTCAGCCAGCCAGCCTTCTTTCAACCCACAGCTCGCCAAGTACAGTACAATGCGAACAGTACCAAGCGAAGCGTATTGAGTGTTGTGCATAAACAATTCGGATAATCTACTGTTGTGATACAGCTTTAACAGCAAGTATCTATATACTCCATGCTCGTACAGAGACATAAAGTAAAAGCCAAAGACTTTTATAATCATGCTTCTTTCACATCTCCAATGGCAATCTCCGGCGGGGAGAAGTGTGTACAATTCATGTGTACCCACCCAATACACCTGTCAAGATCCAAATTGATAAAAATGAAGGAAGAAGCGGGGAAGGAGTTGAGTGTGGTAGTGTTGGATAGTGCGTGTTATTATGTGCATATAAGACTTGGTCTGCCTAGGAAGAGATTTGGATCCTTTGATCATTTTACATTGCACATTTCACTTGAGCTTACCAAATCTTAGCAATCAGATTTCTCGTCACACAGTATACTATCTTTCTTCAGTCGATCATACACACAAGTGATACCGTGAGTCATGTCTGTACAATGGGAGGTAACACTCTTGAGTATACACACAAGTGAGGCCGGCACTTCTCTATTTGCGAATGGGCAAATGCAGGTAGCTGCAAACGTCTTGATCAAGGCAATAAATCCAGCCAACTACGATCCATACATGTTGACAGCGGCAGAGCTAGCGAGAATTGAGCTAGTTGACTATTACAACACTGACGAGAAGCTCACCGGCCCTTGGAGGTTTACCTCTGCTGAGAATGAATTTTCACACACAATGCCTCCAGGTACCGGATTTATCGCCGACGCAGAAGAGCCTCCTACACGGCCATTCATGGTGGACCAAAGTAAACGATATTGGGTCAGCACAACAAGAGCTGAAGTCAAGAGCGTTGGAGCACGCATTGCCCAACCAAACGGCAAAGTGATCACGACCCGCAGTCCAGAAAACAACTCTTATATTGCATTTCGGGGCTACCAGGAAATTCGATATTCCTTATCCAATTCTGAATGGTGGAGAGAAGATACCGACAGTGGTAGTGGTTGGGACCAGGACAACTATTTCCTCAGAAGTAGGGTTCACCCATTCATCAGAGCCGACCGCACTGGTTACTCAAGTGATACTTTTCCCGTGGTTGGAATGCGCAATAGCGTAGCATATCATCGTGCAGGTCCACACTTACACTACATGTGGCCAATTGGGGGTAGGGCGACGGTAAAAGCTGGTAAGTTTCGTTTTTTCCTTTCTCATTTCAAAACCTCCTTCCTATTTTCATGGCGAACTTCGTTTTCGCCTAAAGTATTTGACAGAGATTAACGACTCTCCTATCTAAAACAGGATTAACGCACTACGCTGATGGAAGGGTGCACCCAAAGGCTTGGTCAAGAGATATTGTTATCAGACAGCATGCAAATTCTCTATGTCTGACTCGCTTGAAGACGTCCGGTCCACTGGGTATTTGGGATCTTGGTTGGTGGTATTATCCTACGGCCACAATGTACGACCAGTATGGTAATTCAGGCACATTTGAACTCGCTGTTAATGAATACAACACAATATCCATTCACAACCGCGGCACGAAATCCCGCCCACCGTCCGATACTCCCCATTATGAAGACGAGAAAACGATTCCAGATGCAGAAATTGGTGAGAGCGAATCATCAGTTCATGAACCACCAACGGATTAACTTTTTTGAGCCTTCTGAAGAAAGTGATGGAAGTATGTCTTCGGTAATTTTGATAAATCTTGGCACTATCTTGGTTGTTTTTATTTCAGTATACTCGCGCTTACTCACGTTCATCCAATTTAACGACACAATGTCTCCGATTTTTCTTTCCATCTGTGTCTGGGGCTTGAAATTTGGACTCTGCTGCTTCTCAAGTTGAACGCCTAACTCCATTCTCTATTCAAAGTATGGCTGCACCTCAGATACTCAGATAGCATTCACTGAGCAAATCATTACTCATCAACTGGCGTGCGTTCCCCTGTGCTTTAATCTGAACACTACAGCCCCTGTAGTGAAATGCCAATCATGTGAACATGAGAGAGCTACTAGCTAGACCTCGAAACCCAAGTTCATGGAGCTAGCTTTGCATAGCCTTTAATGACAGCATCGATTATGAAAACTCATTCGTTCATCTTGCATACGCTAGCACTGCTTCGTAATGTCACCAAAATCAAAGATAGTAGTTAGAAGCGTGGACTATGTGCGACGATAGCGACTACGATATTGTGATCCTTCTACCTCCTACACAGTTTCTTTATAGTACTAGTGCACGTGAAAATAACATACATCCATGTCAAACAGTGATAGTATATGGTATGAGACTCATGGAGCCTGAAGCCTAGACTTACTCATAAAGAAAATGTAATATATATATCTGCTGAAAGAACGGGAGAAAGAACGGGAGAGAGTAAGGGAGGGGACGCGAGCTGCAGCGACCATGTGATGATTATCACTAGCCAATACCACTGATCCAGCTATATCTGTACCATTTGAGATAATTCCAATAGCCATTTGTCAACTGGCAAAAGCTTTGCGCACTTTATGTGATTTGATCTCGGGCATGTTTTCTGCTTGGTGTACCGCACCCCGAGACCTTTTCACTGCTATGTAGTATGCTTCGTAAGTAGCTCAGCACTAATGCGGCGTTGGAGATATCTTACAATGAAAGAAGAATCTGAATATTAATTAGATGAAGTCATGAAATTCAGGGATGCCTGAATATTATTTACATCGCATGGGGACCAGCCGAAATTTTTCAAAGGTCGAAATGACAAAGAGTAAAATGATGGTTACCCGGTATGATTTTCGTTACAGCATATCACATGGTCATTAAGCCCCCCTTTCTTCCACGACACTCTGCATACCAGCCTGATATTCCGCACTCCCCCGGTCATAACTCACAATCATGAGGTAAAGCACATCCTAAAAATAGTTAGCTTTGTGTACACTCCATGAAAAACTAGCGGGGAAATTTGATGCTCCAAAACTAACCTTTTGTAAGATTCTCTTTACAAGTCCGGGCTTTCTCTTTCTCCTAAATCCCGTCTCCGGAGTAATGACTTCTCCTCTTCGGTACGCTTTTCTAATCCTTTTGTTCTGCCTTCTTTCTTCCTTCGCAACTTTTCGCTCCGTTTTTCGCGCTTGCGGATTGATATGACCGCCAGTGATGAGGGAGATGAGTGACCCGCTACTAGCAGGGTGATTCGGGTCAGAGTAGCGGGAGAGAAATTGTGGTCTAGGCGTTGCGAGAGAGCTGGTGGGATTTTGCATTGCCTATTTTCGTTAGCTTAGAGTTTGTGGTGAAGCGAAAAGCCTCGGGGAAGCTGAGGGGATGGGTAAATTGCGGAAAGTGGAGAACTAACGTATTTGGCTTGGGCTCGACGATCGAAGTAATCGGTCACGAACTTTCCACTGTCCTTGAATTTGTTACTTTTCTGGAAGTTTTCACTCCTCTCAATCTCGGCAATACGATCCAATGCTGGGAAAATCAAGGGTGCTGCTTCTGGCATCTCGAGCTCTCCATATGTCGTCCCGCTTGATAGTTTAATGTTCTTCAATGTCTTCTTGAAACCTGTAGTTGTATCATCAAGGGATGAAGTAATTGCTTTGGTAATATCGACAGATGAGTGAGTTTCCGATGATTCGGGCTTGTATGTAAGTATCAAGCAGTAAAGACCACGAGGCATGAAATACTCATTGTTTATTCTATCGAGGAAGGTATTTGTCCTGTAGAATACTCATTAGCTCATTGTGAAAATGCTGAAATAGGAAGAACCAACCTTGATCGTGATTGTAGCTCCATGGCCACACCAACTGCAAATTGAGTAGCAATAGATACGCCCATCGTGATTGGGCCGGGCACGAATCCTACGATTCCGGCCGCCGCATTTATAACTTGCAACCACGGAGAAGATTTGCTCGCATGGTAAAATGTTTTCAAGAAATCCAAGAAAGAAGCCTGATCAATCCCGCAATCTTCCAACACTGGTGCATATGCTCTGACAAAACCGCGTTTCTTGTCCCTAGGTCTGCGTTGTGGGAGAATGACCGGACAGGGTAATTTCGGTTTCTCGGCACTATATACTGGAGGTGGGTGATTCCGCACAAACACGTCGACAAGCTCATTGGCATCTTGTGTAGACTCTTCAGAAGGTGTGACTGGGCCAGATTTATCTGCGGCTTCGTCCAAAACCCAAGCTTCCTCGTCTCCTTCCTCTGATTCTGTGTCCGAGGAATCATCGTGCTCGTATTCCTTTTCGAGTTCGTGCTTTTCTTTCTCATTTACTGGAACAGCTTGGCCTCTTGCCATCATTCTCTCGGCATCTTCTACGGATAGCTCAACATATTGAGGAGGGGCATCGTTGTATTGGTGATCTGATTGAGCAGCTGCTCGACTACTTTCGCCATTGGACGAAGCTTGTGGTAGGTTGGATGAGGACTTGTTCCGATGATGGTGAATTGTTTCTGATACAAGACCAATTCCTGAGCCAATGAGTTTGACTATAATGCCCATGGTTGTAATGTAAGTTGTGTTAATAGGATTTAAAACAATACAGTATTGTTTGGTGGAATGAAAATGCAAGACAATGACGATTTGAGAAAGGTAATGATACTTGGCCCAATTCTACCTCTTATTATATACTTACTATCTTCAAAATGATCATCCATCAACGGAGCTGGGCGGTTGCAACTCTCAACATCTTGCAAACCTCATTTGGTCAAGACCCGACAGAAGACGGAGCTTCAGCTTGATCCCACTAATGATGGAAATGTGTATATGGTCTGTGCGTTTTTATCAATTGCATGGAGAATCCTGCGGCCGTAATCATTAGAGACAATGTTTTGCCTATTCGAGGTCACCAAACCGTAGGGCTATGCCATTGTGGGGCTTGCACAGGGTTGTTTTGGCTCACCATGGGCTGTCGACGAGTCCTTCAGATTGACTTCAATCAAGCATTGTGGTTGTCATGTTAAAATGCATATCAAGCTTCTTGGCAAAGCTTGAGTGTCCAGAGTTAAGAGACATTACTGATATAAGTTTCAGACGATATGTTAAGCCAGTGATAATATATTAAAGTCTTCGACTTAAAAACTAATGCAGTGTTATTCACAAATGTTTGTATTTTTGATGAAGAATGTATATTGATACAGTCAGGTCGATGCTATCAATTACAAATGTACCAATAAGCATAGCCCTGCAAAAAGTTATCTGTGCTTTGCTAGAACGGCGTCCAGTCGTTGCGAGGGTAACACAACTAAGCATGGGGTAAATCGATAAATGTGGGCATACACTGCACAGCATCATATTTCTGGTGTCGGTGAAGGACCTACAGTCTGTCTTCTCGAGACATACCTTAGCCATCACAGTACGCTCTCTCTCAGCCAGCAGGATATGCTCAATTAGCGATGATGGAATCACAGAATACTCCGAGTTGTCGTCCGGGCAAGGGGGATGTATTATGATCTCTGCAAGAGGTATCCTAGCACGGTCCTCGATCCAAGATCTTGCCGATTCGAGTCTCTTACGATTTATTCTAGTGCTTCTTCCATTATAAAATCGGCAGGGCCTCGGTTGTCTTCTTACAGGCCAGTCTATACAGAAACTCCAGGCTTCAATAGATAGGCAGAGCAATCTGTCCATTGATCTTAAGGATAGGTCTTTAGACAGCTTGTCAAAAGCTTGGATATGGCTTTTCATGGTGTTTTGGTGGCTATTACTTAAGGCTCAGGTCTTCCAAACTCTCTGGTTCTCATTCCACAATGAGATCTAAGCATGGGCCTGAAGCAGCAGATTCCGATCCTTCGTTTAAATCTCGGTTCTACTTATGCTCTAGTTGTGCTCGTGTCTACCATTTACGCTTTAGCGCCAATGGTCCTTATGAGCTTTATCAAGCCTAGGGAACCCTGTGCGACACCGTCGCATCTAAAGGTGGACTTAGGGACTTTTCCCCACAGGAAATGCGAGGCTCTGGTGTACTAGTCTATGCGTAATCGCAATGGTTTGAAAGCAGAAATGCCATTCCTTTGTCAAGATCTGAGACAATCTTCCCTGTCTTGGAAGAAGAAATGGCCCTGCCTCAGGTTCAAATTCTTACAAGCGAGTGTTCTGGCTCAGTCGAACAGATACGAAGGAAGACGTATCAAGAAACGCGGGATATGGCTTCCTTGTGGGTGTCGAATCAAGTGAGTCCCACCTTGCCAAATCGCTCTGCAATAGGTAATCTTATTATCATTTTCAGCACCCAGATCGATTCCGATGTACGACTGGCAATAACGACCCGTCAGATAATTAGAAGTTCTTGGGGAAGCTCATGAAATCTGCTGTTCACTACATGCCTTTGGACGTACGACCACTAGTCCCTTTCAAGGTCCATCTTCATCTTCTATTGTTGCAGCGATGCTTCCTCGGGCTCAAAAAAATACTTCGATATCGATCATCAAAACCTTCAGACATTGCGAATCAATAAAAGTCGAGAAAAAATTCACTCCAGTGGGTGCCAGAAGTTCCTCTGGGGATGTTCCTGATTTCTCTTATTCTTGTGTTGAGCATATTAAGTTGCATCAACATCAAGGTCATTTGTCTATTTTGGCTTCACTGGCCTCCAAAAAAATTCTTAGTTCCCCAGCCTTTATCAGAAGTTTGAGGTGTATTTGTGACGGCTTGAGTCTGTTGAACCGGTACTACCAGGCGCACGACTACAGAACTCTTCCACCCTTCTAGCACTAGGGGTTCTACACATTTAATTTTCAATACTTGAGTAGAGCTCTGTCAATTCGTGGTCTTCTTAAAATATTATTCTTGACTTTACGGTTAATTAAAATGCTAACTACTCTAGGAATCTTCTTCTGGCATTGCCACTGCTCACGACTTTTACCACTAGATGTAGAAATTCTTGGTAGAAAATTACGTTTCGTGTAGAGCAACGATGAGTTACTGTGAGCCGCGAGGAAGCACTCAAGAGCTTCATATGATATAAATTTGGCAAATTCAGGGCACCTCGAGGGTTGTGGAGTATTGGAGTTGTTGACGAAAGGAATTGCAATGAAGCCTTTCAAAATGGAGACTAAATAGCTCTTCTCCCAGTAAATAATCCCAAGAAGAGAAGCGGCCACTGATTATTGGTAATTCTTCATCAAGATTACGTTCTAGTCGAACCAACATTTGAAGATACGACCGGGTAATCACATAATTTTTACTGCACATTCCGGTCCTACAAAAGAGGCTATGCACAGCATCGAGCCACCAACAATACATCCACGATTACGAACAAATTGGGGCATTTCAATTTAACCGTCCAGCGACATCTCTTCGCAAATCTCAACTTTCCATCCTTCGAATTATTTCAAATGTAACATGGTATAAGCGCCAAGATTTCTTTATGTCAGTATCCTAGCTTTTACCGTATAAAATGTTATGCGCCTGCCTTTGATCCTGCATACATATAAAATACCCACAACACCACCATGCAAGTGCTTACCTTCAGGCTGAGTCTTGTTTGTCATGTATTCATCCTCCCGTCTATGAATCGCAAACTTTGTGTTTGTTCAATACAATACTTCTTAAGTGAATGATTCGAGCCTTTCAATCTTATGGTTGAGATTTCGTGTTTAAATGCAAATTAGACATCGAGTGAATGAAGTTCCTGACAAATTAGGATTAGGATAGTTCCTTCCGCTCACCCAGAGGCTTTTACTTGTAAAGATTTTCGTCATTCCATTACACGCAATAAACATTTCTTCTATATCATGCATTATTCTAATTCCCTCCGCAAATTTTCTCTCCCACACCCTAATGCGCTCATCCCAAGCCGAAACGCCTTCCTCACCTTCCTAACCAGCACCGCCATCTGGCTCTTGTTGTTTTCGTTTTTTCGTCATATTTATTGGCGAGACCCACACTCTGCATTTTTCGATAGCACACATGTCTATGAAAAAGACTATTCTTATCGACGCCAATCCTCTGGGTTATCATTTCTAGACGATCTGGTCGAGAGCAATCAAACATCTTTGTTCAGTAATTCTACTTCAAATCTTTCGGGAGACTCAGATGGAGATGGCGATACAGAGGTTCCGGATATGTGTATAGCATACGTAACCATTAAACGCGACATGCAGGATAGGAATGAAGGAAGACAATATATCGATGCAGCGCTAGGAACTATGATAGATGGATTAAGTGAGGAGGAAAGAAAGAGTGTGTGGATTTATGTGTTATTTGCAGACATGGATCCAAGTGTTCATCCGTTATGGGAGGAAGAATGGCTGGGGAGAGTAGTAGATGATTTTGGTGGATATGAAGTTGGAGGGGAGAGGAGAGAGTGGCTAGAGGAATTGATGAAGCAAAAGGAATGGCAGATTAAAGGAGTTTTGTAAGTTTTCTCTTCTTTGGAACTTAAAATGCCAAGCTGGTTAGCAGCTTCCAAGAACTAACAACACACTAGCGATTATGTATACGCGTTAAGCCGCTGCTACGATACCCACGCTCCTTATATAGCAATAATGGAGGACGACATTGTATTCGCTCATGACTGGTTTCAGCGCACTATTTCTGCTCTCAATAAAATCGAGTATCTCTCTCAAAGCCCTGGAGATAAGTTTTATAATTGGATATATTTAAGACTTTTCTACACAGAAACGTTTCAACCGTGGAGCGAAGAGGTAGATTTTTGGTATCGGCATAGATATTTTCTGCTGTTTTTTGCTGCTCCTCTCTGCACAATTACTGCTCTTATATTTATACGAAGCAAAATCGGCGAGAAAAGGGAAATGGGAGGTTGGTTGGATAACTGGACGATTTTTGTTATAGGAGTGGTGGTTGTACCAGCCTTCATAACTCTGGGGTTCATGGTTGGGAAACACAACTTGCCGTGGTGGGAATTCAGAGGGAAAGACGTGGTGAAGATGAATAGTGGAGGATGCTGTACACAGGCTATGGTTTTTCCGAGGGAGCAGGTGGAGGGATTGAGGAGTTATTTGACGGGAAGGAAAAGTGGCCAGACGGATTTGATGATTGAGGATTATGCGGAAAAAGAGGGTATGGAAAGACTGGCACTTGGGAAACAGGTTGTGCAACATGTGGGAGTAAAGAGTAAGTTTTTCCTTCTTGGGGGGCCTTTAGATAAGATATTCATAAGACTAATTTTGTGTGTAGGCTCGAGAGGTGATAATCAAATCAACGCTATGAGTACTTGGGCATTCCACTTTGAGGAATACGACAAAGTTTCCATGTTCGGAAACTCGGTTTATGAAGAATCTTGATCTGGAAAATTGGAAACTTCCAAGCCAGAGTCAGTCGGATAATTGATATCGGAGTTGACTTATATCGAAAACATACATCCTCATTTTTCCATATTTTCATATTCTCTAAATATGAAAACAAGTCGCTAGTCTCGAAAGTATGCTAGTAGGATATCCACTAAGGATCTGTTATCTCCCTCTTTCTCTTCCAACCTCTTGATCTTCCATATCTACAACTACCATCCCACTGCAGGTAGCTCTGGGTCCTTCCCTTCAGGAGTTTATGCTACGTATACTCCATTTTTAGGGAATGCTCTACCAACCATGATCGCCTTTAGGCACCAGCATAACAAGTGAGTGTTGTTAGCCGGGAAGCTTGCTATCTGCGATCTTACTGCCTTTTGGCAATAAAACTTTTGGGACTAAGGAGCTTCAGTACATCTATTAAAAATCGGGGCACAGATAACCTTACTGGAGAAGCGAAGAAAAGGTTGCTCAAAGTACGACGCATTGTCACGATGATCTAGATCCTTGTTACTTTTCGGCAATAGCGGTTAGGTGTCGACGTGATAATCAGGGAAAATTAGAATATGGAACGAAGAAGAGAAACAAGATCGAAGAAATTTAGTGGTTTGGAGCCAAAGAAGAGTGATATATACGTTGGATAGCCTAATTTCGATGGCACTCGCCCATTCTTGGATCAGAACTCGAACTGTTCCTTGTTACCTTTTGGAAACAAACAAGGAGTTGAGATGCGATTGGTATGTACACCACGTTCTGATATTTTCAGGTCAGAGTTACTCGAATACTGAGTCCCCAGATTTGGCATTGCGATTTTCCCTAGTATTTTGGGTATTTCGATTGGGAGTTCTCAATGCGAGGAGAATTCGGCTTCATAATCGGATTTTTAGACAGTCGAAACAAGACGTTCCAAGCAGTAAATAACGTATACGCGAAGGGAAACCTCCTTATTAAGATGGTATATCATCTGATAGTCTGTCATCTGGTCTTCGGAAATCGACAGTCTTGTAGTTCTTAGATACTCACCATATAAATCCTCACGTAGAAATAGTTTGATAGACTGATTCAATAGTACATGCATATTCTATCAAATTGAGATAATCGGAATACGAGGAAAATAGGCAGATACTAGCAGACAGTGGGGTTCCTCGTAGACGCCGAGCCAGAAAGTCTCCACCACCCGATTTTACCGAATCCCACTATTGTACCATCGATGCCTAGCCTGATACCAAATCCTGGTGTACATGCTCATCATCAACTTTGACGACGTAGCTAGCAGAGCTTAAAGCTTAACTTAAATCAACGATTTAATCTGGTTTCAAGATCAAAGTTCTTAGGGACCTACTCAAAAATGAGATATTTCGATAGCCTCCTTGGAAAATGTAACATCTTTGCGTACGAAAACGGTCGTGTCAGCTGAATGTGGTTATGAGGCAAAGTGCATCTCTTGCCGGGGAGGGATATCTGATGATACCCTACTCTAGGCACAATTTGGAAAGTTCGAAAACTCTTGGGGGCTACGTACCATCGTCAAGCTGACGTCAGATGAATAGAAGTGGAATTCTATATAAACACACTGATAGACGAGGGACAAGTTCGTACTGCAACAGAGTATCTTTCATTAATCCAAATTTACAAGTCGAAGGTTCCAAGGACCCTTTAGTTTGGCAATGCCAGTAACCATCAAAGTCGCGAAGCATGATGCAGAAGCATTTAAGCCAAACTGGCGCGATCTTCCACAGCCTGGTTTCAAAACGAACGCAGTCCCGGTTCAAGATCCAGATAGGTCATTCTTGCGTGATTTACTCCAGGACTTGGCCCCGAAAAAGCCCAAGGCGCCGAAAGATTCAAAATCCAACAGTACTATAATACAATCGACACTCACCGAAGAGATCGCGAGTAAGATTCTCCCATCTGGTAACGGCTTGGTGCATACCTGTCTCGAGGCGTACAATCAGCATCGCCACCTTGTCCTTCGTCCTGACGATATTTGGATCGCTATTGTGACTCAGTTTTCATTTTATGTGAATAAGCATTCTGAGGAACTACGTTCCTTCTTTGTGGCGCATGAAGGGAAAAAGGAGCTAGTTGTTGTTCAGAATCATTTCGACTTCACGAGTTTCACTACTGAAATGGCCAACATGATCCAGGTATGTGTATTTTTACTACGCTCTTGTACCAAGTCACATATCATGTTAGCTTACACGTCATTGGTTTGTATTTAGGACAATATCGTGGATAAGAGCTTCCAGTCATGGATTTTACCGGCATTTTCGACCACGACACGTATCGACAACATCGTATGTAGCTCAGTAATGATGAGTGCCATGAAAAAGTACTTCGATTATAGGTACGTCACCGCACTGCCCGAACCTTTTATCCTATGAGGCACCATAATGTATATTAATTTGTTAGGTGTGAAATTTTGTGTGGTATACCTACCGTCACATTACTCGGAGAGATATCAGACTGGGAAGAAATTCTTCGCCGGCTGGATAAGCTTGAATTCTTTGGGCCAGCCCATCAAGAATTGATACACTGGAAGGAGATGCTTGCTCCGGTAATCCAAAATATGATACTAACCTTCGAAAATCCTGGAGCCATAGCCCAAGTTGACTTTTGGTCAAAAATCGTTCATGTTTACAATTTAAGTGGCGGATCAAGCTTAACCGGGTGGCTTACAGTTTTCTGTCTCTTCAATGAAGACGGTGACTGGCAAGGAGGAGACAGGAGTTCAGGACAGAACACTTTTTCAACCAGGGAGCCTCCTAAATATCCAATAATCAAAATTCAGGATATACCTACTGGAAAGTGTGAGGTTAACGTTCGGATCAGTGGAGACATGAATGTCAATGCTATGATTGTGGCCGGCTTGGTAGGCGCTTCAGTCTCTTCTCAGAATGGGGATGATGAGACCCTTGACACAGTGCAACCTTACCCTGCATGGTGCATTTTTGAGCTGAACGATGATATGTGAATTGATGCTCGAATCATTCAGGATGATCAGGGCTTACTACTTCTGGTATTGTTTGCAAAAATGGGTTTGATTGTTGTTAAGCGGAGGTATCGAAGGGTCACCAAGGCCGCGATATAAAGGGAGATGCAATGTCAAAGTGATCTTGGAGTAAGAAACGGTTATATCATAATACTAAGATAGTGTCATTCTGTCATTCTCCACAAGACAGCGAAAATGTTGAACCTTGAGCCTGCTAAGAATATAAAGGGGGCTTCAAAGACCTCCTTTTCATAATCCAATTAAAGTTCAATCTCATGATTTCATCCTGTGAATTTTGAGACATTATGTATTTCATTGAGCTCAAATCAATGCCATCGTAACGAGTAAAAAGAAATAATGATTGACCATTTTAATATCGAATTATCGTCGAGGTATACGATTTTTGATTTTTGATTTCTCTCCAAGTCTTGACCACTCCCTTCTCGGTGCTTCCATTTTTTGTTGTGTTACTTTTGCGGCTTGTGGAAGGATCGAAGGATTAAGAACACCCAAATCAGATCTGCAACATAAGCTCGGGAGTGTGAGAAAGTCACGAGTTTCAATGGTGGTTGGTTGATTGGGGGAGCGAACTTATCGATCCGAAGTTGCTCCGAATAAAGTCTCGATTTGGACGACTTCTCTTCGACTGACTTGCTATTTTCTATCTTTCTAACTGTGCGATACTTTCTGGGTGCTTTCTGATAGATGTGCTGATGGTGATGCTTGTTGCTCTCGCGACAGAATACGATGCTTTCATCACCGTGATACTCCTCAGCAGAACCAGATAATCTGCCACATTAGCAAGAGCGCACTCTTGTAGACTTGCCTGGTCGTTTCTCTATCCGCGGTCTCAAGTTTTACTATATCATGTTCCGGAACATGAGGAAAGTATCGAGGCTCAAGGCTGTCGGCTTGATTCAGGTCGTGATTGGTAATGAATAAAGCTCGATGATGCGGTGATGATAATATATCTTATTCAAAATTGTAGAAGTGTGGATATTCTTCCTGCATCTTATTGCCTTTGGAGTGACGAAAGAGTTAGACTCCAAGGTGGAAACAAGAAAGGAGAGAAAAATGACACTCGGTGGATATTGAAAATGGCATAGGGCAGGCCAACAGTGAATCAAGTCGAACTCTATGATTGATCAGAAAGGACAGAGGAACAACGGCGCGATGAATCGAATGAAGAGGGAACGTGAGTTATGATTCCTTCATAAAGATCTCACTTGGAGAGCTAACTTGAAGTATAGAATTTGATGATTTTGACATAGAATAATGAACGAATCCCAGGGTTTAACAAAGCATAATTTCATAAAGGCAGAGAAATTCTCAATGCTCTTCTCTATGGTACGCCAATAGCAATTTCATATGAAATTACGCGTGGTTTCGCGAAATTCACTTCTATGTATCGCGCGGCCGTAGCATTTATTTTACTCGCATAAATAAATATAAAGTTGCTTGGAATGTCTTCAAGTTTCTGAACATCGACACCTCCACAACCTTATTCAACAGAGGTTCAGGAGTTGCGTTTGAGCCTTCACAACCTCCCAAGCTGTACGGAATAAAAGATTTTCTTTATCTTACCTCTTCTCAAGCCTTTACACATACAACAAACTCCTCCTTATTACCAAATATTGAATCTATAATTCTCTGACCATGGCGACTTCAATACTCTACATCGGCAAGTCAATTACGGATGTCTTAGCTACAGAACTTCTTGTCATTGTCTGCGAATCTCTTTGCCGCGAAGACTTGACCAATTTTCGATTGACGAATAAAGTTTGTGCTGAGGTCGCGTCTAAGAACCTCGTTCAAGATTTGCATGTCATGTTCACGGAGAAAAGTTTCAGTAACTTGTTGAATATATCAAAGCAACCAAATCTTTCGAAGCATGTCAGAAGCATATTGTATGAGCCACGGACCTTGCGAACTCTTTGTAAGGACAAATACATCAATTGTATAATTGAGGAGCTGAAACCTATGCCTCCCTTCGACGAAGAAGACTTGGACAAGGGGTATGAGCTGTACAACCACATTCGCCAGCGTGAAGTCTACTTGAAAGCGGTAGACTACGATATCGTTGCCTTCGCACAAGCTATCTCAAGGTTCCCAAATTTCAATGAGATCGTCTTGGATGACGCCGGATTACCATCTGATCATTTCATACACTCTTACAACTGCAAGGCATATCTTTGTAAGGAGATGTTCAGCCTTGATTCGAGCCAGAGCTGTACTGCCTATAAGTACGAGAGGTTACACGCGATACTTCTTGCTGCTAGCCTCGCTGGCGTAAAACTTACGACTTTTAAAGCCACAGCTCTACCTTTGGCATTCTTCGGCGCGACGCCAATAAGCAGCACCGATGTGGCGCTTTCTGCCTTGCAGCATGTTCAGCATATTGACATTACCATCAAAGTCAGCTTTGAAGAATGGCACGCCCGCATCAATGGACTTGTTACTCGCCTTACACAATTCTTATCTCTCGCCTCAAATCTGGAGAGTCTTCGTATCGATTTGGGGGAACCTGAAGAAATATCAATGGTGCCAATCCCCTTGGAGGCGTTAGTCAGAAGCACTGGTAATTTCCCAAAGCTACGCAGTCTTGACCTTCGTCATTTCTCGTGCGCCAAAGGCTTTTTCTCGGAGTTTCTTCAAAAGCATGCGGGTACACTAGAACATTTGTCACTTGACACAATGACGATGGCGAGCAATTGTCCTGGTTGGGGTAATGTTTTTAATACACTTGAAACTGATTTGAAGCTCAAGTCTTGTTATTTCACTGGTGTTTGGCATGAGGGCTGGGATGGTGAAGAAGAAGACCAGACTTATCCAATAAAGCTTTCCGAAACATATACTGGAACTCGGTCAAGTTCTCTGGGCGAATTACTACAGCACCGTGTCATCAAGAAGTGTATGCCAGCGGGAGACGAATGCGTAACCATGGACGAGCTTTGGGCCAGCGTTACTAGAGAGTCGGAGGACAGAGGATACGAAACCTATAGTGATGATAGTGCTGAGGATATCGAGAGCGACGATTATGATATGTATGATTACGAGGATCTTTTAGAACCCCACGATTATGACCAGTATATTGACGATTACGATGAATAAGATGCCGAAGACGATGCCGAAGACGATGCCGAAGACGATGATGAAGACGATGAGGGTATTATGGAGTGAGAAGGCTCATTTTGATAATTCCTGTAACGACATATAAAATATGGCGCTGGACATACACAAAACAAGATTTTCATGGAGGATGCCCATGATCCAGGATCATTTCCTGTTTCTCCAGCATAATAAATTGTATCTTTCCTAATTATTTGTCTATATCACGAAGATATCGAGAGTTGGTTCGCACCGAAGTGCATAACTATCACTGGCTTTCTCTCAGAATCCAAGATTAATATGTACAACAATCAATGAATAGCAATGCAAACTTATATTTGCTCTACTATGGTGAAACCTCACGTGTATTTGATTATGTGAACTTTTCTTGCCGGGATGCAATGGATGTATCCAGCAACTTCATTGGCTTCTCACACCTACATAGTAAGTACAATCTAAATCACAACACTTCTATACCTCCCATCTTCCTCTAAATCGAAGCACATCCTTCCCCTTAAATCTCCGTAGAATAAACCACCTATCAAGATTCCCATAACAAAGTTCCCTGCTACACCGACGCTATTATATGCACTCAATCCCAAATCCCAATCGTTACTCAACATCTCACAATTATCTCTTCATTTAGCATACAAGAACTTTGGACTTCCCGTACATTGTTGCTATTCAACTCCTCGTTCTCGGTTAGCGTATCTTCTATCTCCTTTCTTACTTCTACCTCTTCTCTTTTGTAAGTTCTCTCATATACTTACTCATCTACTCCCTCTCATCTCCCCGACCATCTTTCAACTTTCAAGCCCGCTTTTCACATGCGCTCATCCTAGCGACTCTATATTCATCCTAAAAGTTATACATACTACCTATCTCATCTATCTCTATATCCCCACATGCATGTCTCCTCAACCATCTCTCAATCTCCAATCTAGTACTCAAACCTCAAACCTTCCTAGCCTCCCATCATACTACTTTACCCCCCTACCATTTTACCCTCCTATCAACCTATCCCTCCACCAACCTATTCCCCCTATCCACTCACCTCGCCAAAAGAGGAGATATATTAAATAAATACTTACCCCCCTATCCACCCACCCACCAGCCCATCACTCAACAATTGAGAAACAAATCTCACAAGTAACCTTACAGGTACATTTATACCCTCACAAACGCAAAAAACCAAACCCCGATACCAAAACCCCAATACTCAATCCAATCCAATCAAAACACACATCCCACATCATACCAAGAAAGAAAATACTTTTACGAATAGATAGATAGATAGATACCCAGCCAAGAATGAGATATCCGCATAGTATATATTGAATTAGCTACTTATTGAATATTCATATACACACACACACACAGAGAGAGAGAGAGGTTGAATGACTGAATGAATGAATGAATGAATGAATATGGTATATGTATATAGTATAGTAGTGGGTATCATAGATATAATCATTTCGGATGCTCGGTTGAAGAACTGAACTGGGAGAGAGACTTAGAATACAATCAAAGTCCAACAGGATGCCATAGAACCATGAAACAAAGACAAAGTATCCACCCACCCAGGTAATCACCAAAGCCAGTATGCAGAGTCCAAGTATCCATACCCGAGACAAATTCATCCGCATTAACCTTAGCTCATAACTCTATCAAAAAGCTTCTACTCATTATCCATTCCCATTAAGAATCTTCTCTCACCCCTCATTTCCAAACCTCATCACGAACCCCCCTTATTTTCATCATGTCCCTCAGGCACATAATTTGTTTCGCCCAACAATCCCCCCTGTTGACTCGTCATCGCCGTCTGTGTTCCGGGCTGCGGTTGCGTCGCGATACTCGGACCCGAGGGAGCGGGCGGTGGTACATTCTTACTGCTCGCAGCGTGTAATCTCTGATCTAGGGCTTTGAGAGCTAGGGCTCTTCTTCTTTCTGCTTCTGCTCTTGCGCCGCCGGGGGCAGTTCTTTGTGGAATATATGAGGAATCGCCTCTGCTGGCTGAGACATCTGCTGCAGAGAAGGGAGTGCAGATTTTGAGGGCGACGAGAGTATTGAATATTGTATCTGCGAGGGAAGCGATGAGTGGTTTGAGGGGACCGGGGAAGAATTCTGCGAAAGCGAAGGTTTCGGAAGCGTCGCCACGGAGAGTGGGGGATTGATTGAAGTCGAGGTCGGGGAAGGCAGATTTGTAGAAACGGAGGTAGGTGTAGGAGGCGAGGAAAGCGTAGGAGACGAGAAAGAGGGAGGATATGCTGAGGAGTTGGATGGCGCAGAGGGTGAGGATGGTGAGGAGATGGAGGGCGGGGAAGCGAGGGACACGCAGAGAGAGGATGCCTTTGAAAAGGGTGACGGTGTGGGTTGGTACGAGTTGAGAGAAGGCGATTAGGAAGGAGATTTGGAGGGGGATGGTTCCGTTTATTGAGCTAAGACTTTTGCTGAGGTGTTAGTTGATTGAAGGAGTAGATAGATGGACAGATGCGATTTCAAAGAGAAAATGTATCAAAATTGAGTAACTCACGCCCAGCTCATATCACCCGTAATAGCAAAGAAGAAAACCAAAGTCCCAAAGGTCAAAAGGTTAGGAATGAGTGATGCGACTACAATGAACTTTGCGAATTCCCTCGACGTCCATGCTCGCTCCAGATATCTTCCTCCATAAAATAACGTCACTCCAGCGATCCCCAGCGTAAACACATTATTTTCCACCAATGTCGTTGTCAAAAACGTCCAGGGATATACAAAGGATAATTGAGGGACGAGCGAGAGGTATGGAACTACTACGTGAAGCTCTGCGGCGGTTTCCTTATTCCATTGTTTGTATCGAATTGCGGCACTCAGAATGGATTCAGATAGTAATGCGATGAGTAGTATCCTCGTCACTGGAGGAATATTTAATCTTGGTGGCATATTTATGAGCGTATAGAAATACCGTAGAAGTAATGTTAGACACTTCCTCCTTGATAAGTAGGTAGGTAGGTAGGTATGGGGATCTGCAGTCTCGAAGGTTGACGTACGATATATTAGGTATATCTTCAATAAAATAAAGCTTTGGTGATTTTCATCAAGCTTTCCCTTCACAAAAATAAAGTGTCATGAAATCCAATCAGGGTAGGATGTTAAGCACAGACCACTTAAATTGTTTCGGCCTTGTAGACTCAGAACATCCAGCCTCAAACATAAGGCTGAAGCAAGAGAGAATAAGATCCGGCACCTGCATGTTTTGAAAAATTGTAAGCCACGTGAAGGGTGTGAGGCTATGGAGATGTGCTAAGCCCGATTCGTGACTAGCCTCAACTTACTCCGTCGATTCCTGGCCAGAAACATGCCGGGTAGAAATTCCGAAAATGTGGGCGAAGTACGATTGGCAGAAGTTCATCCAGATTGTCGATTTTTTTAAATTATTTATGCGTGTGATGGATATAGATGCAGCTTGTCAACCAACACTTTTGATGAGAAGAGAGGGGAGAGGCGGTACCGGAAAATGCACAGAGTAAAGAAAGAATCGTGAATCGTATATGCGCAAGTAAGAATGATGTATGGGGTTTGGTATGGTGCCTAGGTGATACAGTTGAAAGTTCCACGTACCTGAATTAACCCACCTCGCCCACATACTAGGTATACCTTACCTTACCTACCTCGGTATGTACCCTCGTACCTATCGATAATGTGAATAGATTCGCGGTGTAGTATTTGTGTCACGTTGGAGAGGGAAAGGGAAAGGCAAAGGCAAAGGCAAAGGGAAAGAATGTTATGGTTATATTCCCATCACTCGTAATATTTGGAACCTCAGGGCAGGGGATCACATTTGAACTACTGCTGTGCATCACCATCACGCCTAGGCATCAGTATTTGGATTTAATTTTATAAAAATCATATTCTACCTAATACCTATTAGTACTTCTAGCGAGTCGTTCATCAATTGTCTTCTGCTGCTAACTCTTGAGTTTGTTTCGCACTTCCGTCCCTTATTCTTATTAGTCAAGGAAGAAAGATGGAGAGAAAAGCGTTGATCTTGGAGGTAAGTTACATGTCTGCTATGTAGGTTGTGATCCCCGAGACCAGCGTAAAGTCGTGCGTGTAGGAATACTGTACCTAGGTATGTAGGTATGTAGGTAGTAGATAGTATTCTGTTACAAGTCTTCATCACTAGAGCATTGAATCATCTGAATTGTCTTTCATTCATCCATTCAATGTAAAGAATTAACATGCTCCGACCAGTACAAATAGGAATGAATCTTACTCGGGGATGAGACGTTGATCAACAACGGGAACAGGAACAAACTGTTGTCGTACTTCCATGGATCTTTCATCCGAGCTCTCTCTCTCTCTCTCTCTCTCTCTCTTTCCTTTTGTTGGGGATATTCCACACTCGTGCTTTACCTTACGTGGTAGCATTTCTTCATGCGAAACTAAAAATAATACTATATAAGAATAGGATAACTAACTAATGATAATGTATATTTGTTATTGACAGGCATTTCTCTTGTCACACACACATACCAGGTACACACACACGCACACGCACACGCACATCTTTTAGCATCTATCTAACTTTCAAACAAACCGACCATCGCCACCCCATTCTATCCCACCACCTTTATTAAAAGGCAAGAGGCAAGCAGACCAGCAAGTAAGCAAGCAAGTAAGCAAGCAAGCATTACATATCGTACGCCGTTGTACATGCTAGGTACCTAGTAAAAGTAGTACACCCTACCGAGCCTACCTGCTAGGTCCTCGAATCCAGCTCGCCTATCACTTAATGCATTCTGAAATGTACGGAAGCATCTTCAGCCAATATTTTAAGCCTTTAATGGTCTAGAAGAAAGTTCAAGAAAAGACTCCATTTATTTAGTTCTAGCCAAGATCTCCATTCTTTAGTGTGTGATATGTAACCACCAAATTTGACTCGAGGAAATTCCCGTTACTTAACCAGATAATCTCATAGTCAGTCAAAGAGTTTTGGAAGGTTAGTGAGAAAGCCAAGTATACTTGCGATACTAGACTTGCTACACTAGACTATACTATACTAATACTACCTAGGTAAACTCAGTCAGGACATTGACACCAAATCCGTCATTTTCAAGATTCAGATTTTTTCCAAATTCGAACGGTTAATGGTTGGATGTGTTATAAGGTAATCGATCTCGTTGTCGGCTTTATCATTTCGTGTCATCTCTTCAGATCATCCATCATACAATCAACAAAGATTCGGAAAATAAATAACAAAGAAAAGCATCAAAGAACAGGATCAAGGGAATGGGAAATAGGAATAGAAATGAAAATGGAAATGGGAATGGGAATCTCCAGATGGTTAGTTTCATGTATGGACATCGAAATGAAGGGGATCTTTTTTCCCTCCTCTTGTCTCCATTATTTATTAATCATCCTATCATTCTCAAGCGGTTTGTGGACTCAAGCCATAGATAGATAAATAGATAGATAGACCTTTCATATACTACCCATACTACTTCGTACTTATTACTGTACATGCATCTGCATCTCGATTTTCGATAGGGCAGACGATCACACTTCCAATTGTAAATTTTGGATCCCTTGTCAATTGTCAATTGTCAATTGTCGATTCGGCTTGGCTTCTACTTCTCTGTATGGTACTGTACCGGTCTCTTCGAAGCTCTCTCGTTTCTTTTGAATCCCCGTGTCCGCCCGTCTGACCCCTGGTAGGTTTATTATAGTAAGGTGGTAGGTGGGTGGGTGAGTGAGTGGTACATGATCTCCAGATTGATAGGATGCTTTTTGACAAGTCTTGGATGGGATCAATGATGAAGTGTTGTCCAGTCGTATCGATGGTATAGTAGCACAGGATTGTATAGATTGGATTCCCGAGTAGATTGTGATTTAGATGTGGATGTGGACGTGGATATGGATGTAATGTGAATGTGAATGTGAATGTGAATGTGAATGTGGATGTGGATGTAGATGTGGATGAAGTAAAGTATAGATGTTCCTTGATTACCATGCCATGACTTTCATTGCTGTTTTGGAGGGGGGCTGCTTGTCATGCGCATACCTTACGACCTGTAACCTGAGGTACCAGGTCCGTTGGAAATAATCCATGCCACCGCTTCCATTCATCTCAAACCCTCTCTCTTTGCCTTTGTGATGAGCAAGCCGCCATGGTAGTAGAAGCACAAGCAACAAACAGATGAGAACCACATCACATCTTCAATCATTGTAAATAATGTCTTCTAAATGAGACGTTTATTCATATCCTCACACTCATATATTATATATTCATCTGAGCATTTCAAGCACATACGTATGTATTTCTTTCCCTCTCCTCATCATCACTTCCTCCCTCACTCGGTCAATCATCCACATAGAATTTCGTGATCGCTTCACATCCCAGAGTCACAATACCTGGTATTGAAGGGTCACTCCACTTCCACTTCATACAATCATACAATTTCATCTGTTCGACACAGAGGAAAAGAAATACCTACTCGGGACTAGCCCGTGCTCAATGGGGCTTAGTCTACTTTAATAAGATCGTCCCTATTGCACTTTCATACCCTTTTTTTACTTTTATCCAATGATTCCTCCTCCCCTGCTGGAATTCTTTTGGATCTCTACCCACTTCCCATCCAATCATCTCTCGTCTCTGGGTTTTTTAATATCGTCCTTAGCTTCTAGCTACAAGCCGGCAAGTTGCAACGAACAAGTCTCTTTTCCATCCATTCCTCAATCTCGAATTCAACACAGCCCGCAAAAAAAAACATAACTACAACAACATAAAATCCATTTTACATACATCGACAACATCACCACCACCATCTCAACAGTTGAAATTCACGGTCCTTACAAGATACAAGATACCATCCAGCGCGCAAATCTTCATACATTACAACCCCACGATACCACAGCACTCGATTCGATCCCATTCAATTCAATACCCCAAGTACGATAGAGATACCCCATACCTCAAATTTCGCTTTTTCCACTGTACTGTACTTGAATTCAACATACATCAACCTTTGAAGCTACACAATCACGACTCAAACATCTTTTTGATCATCACCATATCAAATCGAAGAAATATCTATACAACAACAGGAGCAATAACAACCACAACCACAACCACAACCACAACCACAACCACAACCACAACAACGTCTGGCCTTCCTCGAAGACGAACGAAATAACAATGACGAAGGAAACTTTAACCTCGGACAAGGTGAATTATATTATTTGGAAGTACGTGTTTTCCTCGTGATCCATTCATTCGGGATTTCTCTCTCTTTCACACACATATAACATACATATACATACACAATACACACACTCATTCTCTCTCTCTCTCTCTTGATCCAGGTACGGAGTGGCTTTGAGATTACATTTCGCTAACAGCAATTTATTGTACTTTGTATTATAGATATTTAATAGAATCAGGTATGTACAAGTACATTGAAGAAGAGAAAAGATAAGGAGCGGAAAGGGAGGATGGATATGATATATCCAAAATCCTCATTCAACCCTTTCCTAATTATCTTGGGTTTCTTGAAGCCTGAGGTAATCAAAAGATGGTAGTTGGGGGGATTTATTGTATGAAGAATCATTGAACTGATCAAAATTCTTTCGTCTCTATTGCAGGTTACGAAGGAGCGGCTCGTCACCTCTCAAAAGAGTGGGACGTTCAACAACCAGATTTATTACCATTTGCGCCCCATGTCGGAAAGCATGCACTAGTCTCCGTTCTAAACAAAGGTCTTCTTTATGATGCATATAACAGAGAAGCATCAAGGGTATGTTTAAATCGTTACGTTTTCTATTTTTATTTTGATATAATTTTTTATGCCATTACACATGACGTCTTTTTTGGTTTTGGTGACCTTGGTTTATATCTTTCATTTGACAAAATACACTTTCATTCATTCATACCTCTTCACTCACTTCACTCGATAAAGTTTTACACTTCACTCCACACTCCACTTCATAAATCTGTTCTCCCAACATCAATTACTATCTAATTGGTTGGATTTATATCAACCAAAGAAGCTCTTTTCAATTAACACCCCTCTTTTAGGCATTCCGTCAACATCAAGGACGCTCTCAAGATGTTTCAGATTCGGAAATACCAATGGGTGTTTTTGGTCCCTTGGAAATAGCAAACAGAACTATTCCCATCATCACTTCGCCTCAAGAGCCCCTCAACAACAATGAGGATTTGGAAGTTGCTCGGAAACATCAACTAGAAGAAGAGTCAATTTCAAATTCAAATGGCCCACCAGGAAAGAAACCACGACTTACCAATGGTTATGAAAATGGTATTTCGAATGGAACCACAAATGGAAATGGAAGCTCAAATTACTACGATTCGGCTTCAACGCCCATGGAAATTGATGTCGACCAAAATGGTGATGGTCACGCTTATCCATCACCAGAGCAACTGCCATCACCAGTCACTGCCACCATTGGACCAGAAAGGGGTACTCAGTCCGAGAAAGTTACAAATCTTAAAACCGAAACGTTGTACCTAGACTTGTTGGATGACAATGTATCAAAATCGACCGTATTATATCGTTGCGAATGGAATCCAAAACTACCAAACCTCTTGGCTGCGGGGGGTACTGAATCATTAGCTCGAATGTGGGATCTATCAAGTACGGTCGCCGATCATCTCAATGGAACTAATGACCCTAATGCTCCAGGCATGAATACGAATGGGATTGTTCCACCGTGTATTCCTCTTCTCCAACCTCTTGCGCCTCAACCGACAATGGTCAATGAAGTTACCTGGTCTTCGGATGGAAACCATATTCTTGTTTCGAGCGAGGAACCTGATGGAACCGCAACTGTTACTGTTTGGACTGCTAAGGGTCAACTATTGCACACCTCTAGTCCAATGGAAGGCCCAATCGTTTCTTTGAAGTGGAACTTCTCGAATACATTATTTTTGACAGTGTCTCCAATCACACTTAAAGGGCTTTCTGCACCAGCATCAACCTTGACGGTCACCTCGATGGCTGACTTTACAACAATACAACATACGATACCATCGATGCCAATTTTCGAATCGCCGCTGGAAGGCCTATGGATGAGTGATGAGGATTTCATGGCTTACGGAAATGAATTTTTACAGATCTTTCGATTCGCGGATGGAAAGATCAAATATCTGACGAAATATGAGCATCGTGACGACCATCGTGTAACGCATGCTACTTTCGACAGGGAATCAAAGTTACTTGCTACTGGTAGTCAAAGTGGTATGATTGATGTAGGTACTTTCACTGTTAAACTTGTTCATTACTAATATTCTTAGATATGGGATGAGAAAGGTCGTTCGCGAACATTCAACGCCCATACCGGACCAATTACTTCTCTTGAATGGCAACCATTACCTCCGTCTGATTCAGAGAATGAAATCAGTGAAAGCAATGAAAGGTTGTTGGCTTCATCTAGTGAAGATGGCGCTGTCAGCATTTGGAATGCCAAATCTCTGGAGCCAAAGCAAAAATGTTCGATGACAATTGACTCGACAAGTGTTTTCAAGGTTAAATTCACTCCAGATGGCGCATTCATTGCTGGTGCGACTAGTGATCGAGTTTTTATTTGGAAAGTCGACGATGCTTACTTTCCTCGAGCAACTTGGAATAGACCACCTGGAAATGGCTGGCAAACACCACAATCGACTGAGTCAAATGGGGAAGATGAGCATGCTTTGAGTTGGGATGCACATGGTAAAAAACTGGCTTATGGTTGCAATAGTGTGGTATGTATCTTGTGTGTTATTGTTTGAATGAAGTACTAATGGTTTGTATAGTTGGCAATCATCAATTTTAAACGTTGATCCTGGACCTACCTGTCGGTATAATACAACGAAATGAAAAGCGTTGACTGTTAATATAATCCTCTGTCACATTGAAGGCAACAGAAGATGAAAATCAGAGACACCGAGTGAAATCCTTCGTTATGCAGCATGATGGAGTAGGCAAGAAGTGTTTCTTTCCGTCACAAAAAAGGTATTGAAATGATCATTAATGGATCATACACCCCTTCGTATCTACTATATTAGAGGATCGTCAAAGAAAACTCAAAGTTGCGGAGAATGGACATTGGAACGGAGTCTAGAGCTGCAAAACGATAAGATAAAGGCAAAGCAACATTTGGCACTGACGATCGCGACACAGAAATCCATTACACATGGGCTGGCCGTATTGGATGCATGAGAGGGAAAAATACGATTGATGATTTTATATGTGTACCATAGAAACGTTAAAGAATCAGGTGTTGGGCGTATTGAACATTGAAAGAATTGGGAGTTTGGGATGATAGGATTGGATAGTATGTCTTTAGGGGATTGGGATGGCATGGGATTGGATTGGAGTGGAGATCAAAATTAGGGTGGTGAAAGTGCTTCTGCTTATGTGTAGATTATAATTCATGGATGGGGGAGTGAGGTGAAGGGTGAGAGAGACTGAGGAGGAAGTGGAGTTGAAAATCAGGAAGAGGGCGGTGGATTGTATAGCGATGGGTTACGAGGTGACCTGTGGAGATGTAAGGGGAGGAGAAGAAAAGAGAAGATGAGGAAGGATCGGGGATGGAGAGAAATCGCTCAAAATCGAAATCAAGAATCAAAAATGAAGAATGAAAAATGATATAGCATGTTTGAAACGTGTTTCGTTGAGAGTCGAGAGTCGAGAGTGAGAATTTGTTGTTTATTATTTGTAATTGTGGAGGGTGAGTATGGTGATTGTAATGGTTGTAAAGGTATGATTATTGTAAATCGTGATCAATGAGCTTAGATACGTAGGTTGTGTTGCGACTGTGCTGCGAAGCGCGATGGATAGGATGGATAGCATGGTATAATATGGTATGTTATATATGGTGTATTATGGTGTGGTGCAAAAGATAGGTGAGAAGACCGCAGCCCAGGCAGGAGAAGGCTTTTCTCTTTCTCTTTAGGTTTGTTTGTGTTTAGGTTTGTAATCTGATCTGATATGATCTTTGGGAGTTGGAATGGGAATGGGAATGAGATAGTTTATTTGTATAGTATGATATTGTTGTGTGGTGTTGTGTTTTATGTTGTCATTTCACTTTGTTCAAAAAATTTGTTTGTGGAAGAAGGGAATATGGGGGGGGGGGAGGGGTGTTTGGGAAGGGAATATAGGAAGGGAAGAAGTTAGTGTATTTAATTAGATAGATAGAGTTGGATTTAGAATAGAGAATGGAGAATAGGGAATAAAATAAGATTAATTAGGACGAGAATGAGATCCAAATTGAGGTACCTACCTACCTATATATCTACGATAATCACCTAATAAATACAAGCTCCAAGTTCCGAGCTCCAAACTCCAAGCCGAGATGAGATGAGGTAAAGTGAAGTATAATCAACGAACGGGTTCGTTCGTTCGTTCGTTCGTTCGTCTTGGGATGATGCAATGTATCCATCGACTTGGCTGGACAGGGCTGGGCTGGGCTGGGTGAGGCCGGGTAGACGAGGTGGACAAATGGGAGGGAGAAAGGAAGAGAAGAGAAGAGATGGTTTGTTTGATTGGGGTTTGCTTGGGTTCGGGGACTGGGGGTTGGAATTGGAGCTGGAGCTGGGTTTTGGAAGTGGAATTGGTTTTGGTAGGGTTTTGGTAGGGCTAGGGGGGAAGAGTGAGTGGCGAATGGGTAGCTAGGTAGGTGGTACCTAGTATGTACCCGGGGCCCTGGGGGTATAGGTAGTAGGCGAGGTACCTAGTCGGGTGAAACATGGGGGAATTTGAGTTTAATTCTGTGCGTGATGTGATATGATGGGTTGGGATGGCATGCATGGAGAATGGGTGGATGGATGAATGGATGGATGGATGATGGTTGTGGTATAATGTGATGAGATGAGATGAGATGGGCTGGGCTGGGGTACACGTGATATGTGTATGTATATATTTAAGCTGTGATGATCGTGATGGTTTATCTTGCGAGGTTTTCGAATTGGCGTAGTTATTATGTATGTAGTATCTACTTTATTATATTTAAATAGAATCTTTAGTGTAGTTGTATCATACCTATTACCTACATCCTTTTAATATCCTCTCGATGTGTCATCATCATCTTTCTTATAAGATATGATATCTTCTGATAATCCTTACAATAGATTTTTCAAGAATGTCTTTAGACACCTACCTAGGTACCTAGGTATATATGAAGATATTATATTCTCCTGATATTATTATCTAAATATCTAATAGTCTCAACACCATTCTCCAAATATATCAACCAAAAATATATGTAAATTCAACTTCTATCCAGTTCTCGAATGGAAAAGTTCTTCATGCCTTTGGGCAATGAGATAGTGTGATACAAACTAGAAATTGTGAAGAATATAATGATCGATATGAGAGTTTGAAGGTTGATTGATAGCAGTTCCATCTTCGAAACATCTTGTAGGAAAATACTGTCCACTAATAATTATGGTTCAGTATTGCTTTTTTTTGGCAAGGATGATTTGGAAATAGGTGTTGGAGATGTAGACATTCAGGTTACGGAAAAATTAACTGAGATGTGAGTGATAAGGGCGATAAGAATTGTACCGAGGACGAGTCAACAGAGACACGTGCAAACGAAGATGAGATCCAGAACAGCCACGTGTGGAAAAACACGTGATTTTCACGTGTGGGTGAAGGTGAATATCGGAGGGTGTGATCTAGAATTCTGTGTTATTCTAAAAAGATACAATTACATTCCACAAATGAACACGACCATGTCCCCTATCTCATTCCCAATTTCTCACACTCACCCAAAAGAAAACACGTGAGCAAATCGCCCAGCCCAGCACGCCCACCAAACTCACCTAACCCATCTCCCACTCCTGGGCAACACAAAGTTCACAAGCACACCGAAGCCAAGAAAGTCTTTCCAAGAAAGTCAAAACAAAAAAACGGATCCAGTCACCCAAAGCACCAACCAGCCATGTCTCACCTATCTTACCGGCACATCCAACCATGATCGTAATCTTGGGAGTTTGTGCGCACGCTCGCTCGCTATGGATGGTCATGGTGTTGTGTTGGAGGATGAGGATAAGAATGGATGTGCAGATTTGTGTTCTTTTTTTGTGCTTGGGATTTTTATGAAAGGGATGGGGAGGGGAAGGTTATAAGTTGGGGCAAGGTAGGGTGTGATATATATGTATGGTTTTGGTGTTGTATGGCTAGGGTGTGACATAATTAGATGAGATTGTGGCATCGTGAGATTAACTGTTAGTGTGATTTTGAGATCGCGTGGATATGGATGAGGATGAGAATGAGGATGAGGATGACTTTTATTTTTATGATGAACTTGGACCTGAGTTAATAGGGAATGATGAAAGGGAATGAAATGGAATGGATGAAAGGTTTTGAGTTGTACGTATTGGATACTCATGTAAAGCAAGAAGCAGAGAGGAATGTTCAAAGATAGATAACCGAGTTAGGCAAGCAGGAAGAGCCAAGGCTAGATGTGATGCTACCTAGGTATTGTAAGAAAGTTAAGCCACTCAAGCCACTTTCCGTTTTTTAATGGCAGTTGTGGCTGATAAACCACGGGTGTATGCGTGTGATGAAAAAAAAAGCCACGTCAAGTTATTATTGGGGGCCAAGTGGCATGTGATGATCGAAAGCCAATTTAGATTGAGGCGAATACTTATGTGTTGTGCAGTGTGAGTTTGTGGTTTGCGGTATAAAAAGAGGGGAAGAGTTTGAAGGAGATAGGTAACGGGAAACGGGGGATCGTGAAGTTACAAGGCATTTTTTTTGGTTCATGGTGCGGTTGAATCGAATGGAATGAATATAATTGAATCGTTGGTCATTGCGGGGGATAAATTGGTGGTGCAGGACTGGAGTTGGTCTTGCTTGCATGGCATGACATGACATGACATGTAAGCGAATGAAAATGATGAAAAGGGAGAACATTATTGACAGTTTACTAAATGTGTCTGATCGATTGATTGTTGAGGATTGTTGAGATCAATACATGTGAGAGGCGGTTAGGAATCGAGAAGAAGAAAAGAGTGATGATGAAGCACGCACATGAGATAAGTAGATGTATCATGTTTGTGACCTAGGTTGTGGTATGGACATGCAGATGGGCTGCGCTTCTGTAGGAGATGCATATGCGACGGGTTAGTGCAGGGGAGGAAGTACCTATTGTACTGTAACGTACACTGGACATGCGTGAGGCGATGAGGATTGGGGTGTGATGTGATGTGCGGAAAGAAGAGAATGAGTTGAATCGATGAAGAGAGAGATAGATTACTAAGTATATTCTTACATAGGTACTTGAAAGATGATGACGAGTTGGCAAGAAACTCAACCGGACAATAAACATAAGGCGAACAGGATTTCGATGTGGGTATTCGTCATCAAGCTTCTATTACATAGATAGGGTATCAAATCTTACAACGTGGAAACGTGGTTGTGGGGAGGAAAGGTACTTCGTAAAGTTTGGAAGAGATTTTTAGAATGTTCTCGAGTTGAACAACGGATTGGGTTGATCCAAAGTCAGTCTAGTGAAAGGAAAGGAATGGGTTGTCATTTGAAACAACCTTAAATACGATACGACGTGCAAACAACTCGGAATGTATGAAGTGGGTGAGGGTAAAATACGATGCTGACTCATGGAAACTTTGATTTTATGGTTTCAATTTCCTGAGTGAAGTATGTAAATCCTCCGTACCTACATGAAAAAAGAGCATTTGATGCTCCGTGTAATTAACATGTACCGCTCGGAATAATAAGGTAATAATGCCGGTTGGGAGGCGCTGTCCGCACGGCTGCACTGCGGTTGACGGCTGTCAGATGTATTTCTTAATTAAGATGGTGAGCCGAAATAGACCGAGGAGGGGAATAGGGGGTGTGATCTGATGTGGCTTTGGGTGGTTTTGGGGTATTGTATGGCTTAGGTGGGTATCCGAATTGTGTCGTAGATGCTAAACTGCATTTAGGAGATGGAATCGTGATAAGTCGTGTAGATTTGTAAATCTATTGGAATGAATGTTCGACTTTGAATGGGGATTTCAAATTGAGATGATTATTTAGATTTAACGGACTACGATGACATCTAATAAACTCTATTGTTGACTACTCCCTCAACCATTGGATCTACCCGGGAAATGTTATTCCTTCTTTTGTGACTTGTCCTTAATCAAGTAATCAAACATGAGAGGACTAAACTAGGAAAAGGAAAGGGAATGTTCACCGTTTATGATAACTAACCAGGATTTCGATGGTGGTTAGTGTTGCATACATACTTAGATACACTTGGGTTCTGCACAGGCGAAAGATGTACAAGACTGTGGGTGGGTGGTGGCACTGATGAGTGGGTGAGATCCTGGTTCCATATCGAGTTTTGTCGTACAGTTTGAGGAGTGAGCATGAATGAGTTTGCGGTAACTCATTGGCCTTGTCAAATTATGAATGCTTTAGATGCAACTGGACAACTGGGCAACACACCCTTTTTCTCACATGTCTTATAAGTAATTCGTAATGTACCTAGTATCTCATTAGTATCTTAGTAGCTCCCATCCTGGTATCTGCCAGATGAACATGGGCTTAATTAATTCCGAGAGGATTGATTGAGGCTGTGATACATACACAATATCTTACCTACCGTGCGCATCTACCACATCAATGCATGGCCCTCTATGGTGGTGGATTGTGGTTAAGACCGCCGCACCATCCCCCCATATCATCTATGAACGGATGAAGATCATGTTTCCTTTCGTTTTGCAAACCCAAAGTCAAAGGATACTTATTCAACGCCTCTCGCCGCCTCCAAATGTTTGACCAACACATTGCTGAAGAATATCATGCTTCCTTTCGATTTATCAAAGTCCTTTTTGCATCAGCGGCTTTGTGGAACGATCCCCATCAATCCAAGAATCCATTCATTCATCTCATCCACCTATCTATCTATCCGTTCATCCATCAATTAATCAAATGCATTCATTACCTAGTACGTACTAATAAGTATTAAGCAAGTCAGAACCGAGCCGGGCTGAAGAACAACCAACCTACATACCTACCTACCCATCTACCTACCAACACAATAATCCCTTTCCCAAGACCCCTGACACCACACAAGAGCCTGTGCAGTGAGCATTGTCATCCATTTCGCGATGCCATTTCCGAATGCAACTGTAACCATCCTCAACTGGTGTAGCTAGCTTACCACTGGGCACCCACACCATCTTTTAGATTTTGTGGATTTCAAGCCTCGCCGAGAACACTCCACTTAAATTTCTACAGGGGGATACACGCAACCCCCCACAGCCCTTTGTGCCTTCCCAGCGAACTTTATCCACCTTGAATCATTCCCTTGAAAGTTGAGACAATCAGTGGATATATATTTGGCAGGGCCCTTTATTAGGGTCAATGGAAAAGGGTCTGTCGGGTCTTAACTAATGAATACTTCCAACCCTCCCTCCTTCACTTGGTCTGAGGCTGATGATTAAGATTGGACATGAACACATACTCGAAAAGGTTAGGACTCACGATACAAAAACTGATGAATTGATTGATATCAGTCAAGTGCGATTTTGCGTTCGGAATATTTTGATTGGACCATAAAGATTTCCTTTTTCTCTTCTCGTTTCCCTCTTTTCCATGGCCGTCTTGGCGAATAGTTAAAATCCGGCGGCTGCAAAATAAGAAGCGGAGGAGACTTGTTAAGTATGGAGACTATGGCACTATGGAGACTATGGAGATGATCTAATTTTTCTTTGAAATTTGATCGGAGTTTAAATTTTGATGGAGACTTGCTTCTTCGGTCTATCGGTCTCTGAAATCACTTCCCAATAGAGTTTAAGACTTACGAGTTCTGTTTATTAATCCTCCGATACCATGAAAAAGGAAGGAGTCAGTCATTAGTCACGTGTGCTGGGGTTAAGCTTGAAGATTGTTATCTTTTTCAAACTATTTAAGGAAAGAGCGATCGGCGACGGAAACTTTACTTAAAAGAGTATGAGTTGAAAATAAATCATGTACTATTCAAGTTAGCTTGTTGACGTCGACGCAGAAGTAAGCGAATACTTTAAAAAGAGCTGGTTCCGCCCTCCGTGTTCCTTGAATATTACCTTTATTTGTTTAGGAAACGTTTTTAATCCTCAGAAAATTAATTAATTCAAAAGTAGTTTGGTCGTGGGTTAGGTGAGTTATCGAGCCGATTTTATACCAAAATTCAACCTGTCCGCTCGTCATCTCAAATGGAGAAGAATCTTTTCGTTTTCGATTGAGTCAACGTGCGAAACGAAGAGCATAATAATTTCAATGACGGCGCAACTCTCATAATCGCATGTCAGATAACCTCAATAGTGATTTGGAAAGAGCTTCAAAGATAGCTTCGAATTAGCTTTCACACTACATTCACTAAAAGCTCCAATTTCCATTATTTAACCCTGCACGCCACGCTTTTTGGCCGTCAAACGAAGCTTTTCGGTCGCGATCTCGGGACATAACTTGACTTCTTCAACGTCGACATCAGGGCTTCGAGATAGAGGACATTAATCTTGTTGGAGAACAATTGTTGTTGTTGATCTTAAGGATTTATCGACAGAAGATATCTTTCGCCAAGCTATTTTCATTGAGGTGGTTGGGCGCGTAATCGCCAGCACATAATTCCGACGCATCTCAAATTCGCGATCGCATGCTATAATCACTGATGGCGGCGCATCATCCATCACCCCCAGCGGGCATGCAATTGCATCACCCTGCTCACAATGGTCCAGCTCCCTCTGGAATGGCTCAACAGCAACCAAACTGGCCGGCTCCTGCGCCAACGCCAATGCAACAGCTAGCTGCCATGAATGAGTCTGTGTGGCTTCAAATTGGTAGGAATTCCTCATTTTATTGATTATATAAGTCACTAATTGGTACGATAGGAAGTCTAGCAGAGCTCTTAGGCAACAATGATGAGGCTCTGGCCGCGTATGAACATGTACTTCGCACGAACTCAAGATCTATACCAGCGATGAATGCCATAAGTTCTATCCTTCGCGCACAAGAGAATTTCGCCAAAGCGGTTGAATATCTGCAAAGCATCCTCAAACTGGATGGAAATAATGGAGATGTTTGGGGTAGTCTTGGTAAGTGTGACCTTTTTTGGCATCGCGCGATCAATTGCTGTTCAAATACAATACTAACATGTGATAGGACACTGCTTCTTAATGATGGATGATCTACAACAAGCGTACTCAGCTTATCAACAAGCTTTATATCATCTCCGGGATCCCAAGGTTAGTAAATTGATGCGCGTTTTGTATCTCAAGTCTAACCATTCACTTCAGGAGCCTAAACTTTGGTATGGTATCGGAATACTATATGATAGATATGGTTCTCTCGAACACGCCGAGGAGGCGTTTTCGCAAGTTATGAGAATGCAGCCAGATTTCGAAAAGGCCAACGAAATTTATTTCCGCTTAGGTATAATTTACAAACAACAGCAAAAATATCAACAGAGTCTGGAAGTAAGTCATCTGATCAAAAATTTAGTGACATGTGTTCCTAACTGCTTGTAGTGTTTCCGATACATTGTCACTGTACCACCAACTCCATTGACAGAGGAGGATATTTGGTTCCAGATTGGACATGTTCATGAGCAACAAAAAGATGTAAGTCGGAAAGTTGGAATGTGATTGGATGATTCTGACAGGTTGGTTGTAGTACGATAATGCCAAAATTGCCTACAAGCGTGTTCTCGATCGGGATCCAAAACATGCAAAGGTCCTTCAGCAACTTGGATGGCTGCATCACCAACAGAGTACCAGTTTCCAAAGTCAAGAGCAGGCCATTGAGTACTTGGAACAATCTGTCGGTTCCGGTAAGACTCGTCAAATATGATCGGTCTTACATTTCACACGCTAACACGTGGCAGATCAAAGCGATGCACAGAGTTGGTATCTCCTCGGTCGGTGCTACATGTCACAACAGAAGTACCCCAAGGCATACGAGGCCTATCAGCAAGCTGTTTATCGAGACGGACGGAATCCAACTTTCTGGTGCTCGATTGGTGTTTTGTACTACCAAATTAATCAGTACCGAGATGCGCTTGATGCATATTCCCGCGCGATACGCTTGAACCCGTACATCTCCGAGGTCTGGTACGACTTGGGTACTCTGGTAAGTTTGCTTCATCTTTAGCCGGTCGTGTTTGAGACATTATTAACCATTTGTATAGTATGAATCATGTAACAACCAGATCAACGATGCTTTGGATGCTTATCAACGTGCTGCCGAACTTGATCCCAACAATGTTCATATCAAAGCTCGTCTACAACTTTTACGAAGTGGGCAAGCCAATGGTATGCCCGGTCAGGCAGCTGCTCCTCTGCCACAAGATGTACATCCTCAAGCTTATCAAGCCACTGGTGCTGTTGGCCCTCCTGGGCCTCAATGGGGAAATCCTGCTCCTCAAGCGCAAGCGCAAGGACCACCTGCAGCTAATGGATGGGGAAGTAGACTTGCTGAAATTAATCCTCCTTCTCAGCCACCAAACCCTTTTGATCAACGAGGAGCTGATCGTGGTCCAATTCCACCTGCACAGCGTGTACCAAGTCCTAGACAAGATCAACAAATGAGACCATATCCTGGCACCGATGCTCGTCAGGCACTTCCCCCTCGTCCTCGTTCCCCTCAGCGAGCTCCGATCGAGATGAGAGACCCTAGAGACCCCAGGGATCCTAGAGATATAAGAGATCCCAGAGATCCTAGGGACCCTAGGGACCCCAGAGATCCAAGGGAGCAAAGGGATCCAAGAGATCCTAGAGAATTCAAAACGGAATTCAAAGATCCCCGTGTCGACCCTCGTGCCGCGGACCTTCAGCCTCGTGATCCCAGAGACCAGAGAGATCCAAGGGACCCAAGAGATCAAAGAGATCAGAGAGAACCCCGTGATCCAAGAGACGCCCGTGACCACCACCCTCTAGGTCCTTACCCAGGCCCTGGAGCGGGAGCAGCATCGGGAGCACAGCCACCTCCACCTGCTCATGCACAACAACCACAAGGTCCTCCTTCTCAGCCACAAAGAGTTGCGAACACAAACTACGCTCCTCCACCTTCGGGTCCCCCATCAGTACTACCACCAGCTCAAAATGGAATGAATGGTGCTGGCCCTGTTCCTTTGCCTGCTTTTGGTCGTAACAGTCCTCGACCAGAAGTTCGGCCTATAATGAGTGCAACAATGCCATCTCCCAAGACCCCTTATTCTAATCAACCACCATACGCTCACCACACCGAAATCCCTGAAAGAAGTGGGATTGAAGGAGGCGCCCCACCCCCACCATCTGCTTTAGCTGCGGTAGATGCCCCATCTTCAGATCGTGGTGATAATAGACCACCATCCGTAGGCCCAAAGCGAATGCGTGAATGGGAAGACGAACCCGCAGTGAAGAAGCCAGCTTCAGATGAAAATCGTGCACGACTAGAAGACATGCACCACCGAAGACCTTCTACACCACCAAGTGACCGGGCACAATTTCTTAGAAGCACGTCTGAAGTTCGTCGTGTCGAAGATCAAAGAAGAATTGAAGAACAACGCCTTGCTGAAGAGCAGCAGAGACAAGCGGAAAACCAAAGGAGAGTTGAAGACCAGCGCCGCGCAGCCGAGGCACGTGCCGCTGAACAGCGTCGTGCAAATGAGAATTATCACCCCTCAGAAGCTGCGCATCATCCACCAACTCACGGCATGCAAAGCCATCCAGCAATGCAACAAGATTCTCGTCCACCACCTCATACATACGAAGTTGGACCACCTCCTGCCCTTCCTCGGCAAGCTACCCCAATCAAAGAGGCCTCAATAGACGAGCGTGATCGTCAACAAGTACCGGTACCACAACAACCATCACTGGCTCAGCGCATGGAGCAAGCCCCTTCAACTCCCGCACAGCCAGCACCGGCTGTCAGTGAACCTGAACGTGCAGCACGAAAAATGGATGTTGATGAAAACTACGATGATGATGGAGAAGAAGATAAAAAGGGAGGAATTGTTTCGGCTCAACCATCAGGACCTCCATCCGTCAGTGGTGATCCAAAAATCACTAGTCCAACAGGCGTTAATGGACATGCTGCAAATGGATTACCTAATGGGCAACCAAAGATTGAGACAAATCTTTAAGAGTAATTTCGAAATCAATGCCCTTATGGTTCTCCAGTGGGCATCACCTGTTCGGTGAATGCCCTCAACATGAGCACATTGCAAGGATCAGAAGGCCTGCTGAATATATTTGCAATGAGCGCGAGTTGTGTCTATTTGCAGCTTGGACAGTTGCCACTACCTCATGTAAAGGGTGACGAGTATTTATTTCATTTTCTTTTCTTGTTATTTTTTTCTCGGCTTGGGGTGGAGCGGAAGGAGATTTGAGATTTGACATGATATGGTGGTGGTGGTGATGGGTGGGGAAAATTCCTTTTGAACTTGCTTCGCTTCGCTTAGCTTCTTTTCTGTTCCTGTTTATGATTTGATAGTTAAGGTTAGTTAAAGAAAGGAATGCACTTGGGGGAGAAAAAGAGGATCTCGGATTTTCATCTCATCAATGGTTGGGTGGAAGGGTGGGATTGGACATTATCATATCGCTATTGGCGATGCATGAGGATTTGTTTTCTCGGGAATCGTTGGGGGTGGAAAGAATAGGAAGATCAAGTAGATGGGTTGGATGACTTGAAGAGCCGACAGCCTCTTGGTGAACAAACACATGGGATATCGGATGGACGAACGGGTGGAGGGATGGGGCATCTCGGTTTCTTTTGTAGCTAGTCTCAGTATGTGTGTATGTGTGTGGTGTGTACAGTGATCGATTGATACGATATGGAATGGAATGGTGGATCTGTAGCCAGGAATATCAATCCACATCGAATGCATGTTGGGACTTTATTTTTCTGGGACTTTTGATGGTTTGAGTGAGGTGAGGTGATGTGATATTGTGATGTTGCGTAATTTTATACAACGGAATTAGAATCTGATACTTTATCGAATAACAACGACACGCAGAAAAAACGAAGATCTATAATCATCATTGTCAAGTAGAGTTAACGAAACGAAGAGAGTAAAGATTACACCTCTGTAGCATATAAGAAGTGAATAGCACTCATCCAAGAACAGGAAAACGAAACCTGGGAAACTCTTGAGCTGTATGTGCATGTGCAAATCCCTTGATCCATCAATCCATCGACCCATCACTTATTACTTGCTTACTTTCGAGGTTGCCAAAAGGCAATAAGAAATCAGATTCCGACTTTTCCCTACCCAAATTTTGTGAAATCCGGAAATTCAGATATGCAACAAAACTTTGGGATTATGGAATTCGACCATGAAATACAACAAGTCACGCACTAGTATACCAATTGGTTATTGAAGCTTTCTCTTGTACAGAATTTACTTGTATTTGTATTTGATTTGATTTTCCTAGATTCGAGCTAACTTCTCGTCTTCTTTCCTTCATCTTTGTATGTAATCTTTTTGCTATCCCAAAATTCAGCTAGCCATACAAATTGGTTATATCTCTTCTCTTATTCTCTTCTCATACTTCAGTGTGAATTATCAATATCCACCCACTCCAGCAACCCCATTCAATCCCATACCCCTTCCAATTTTCCTAACCAATGCTTTTTTCAGATACCATTCCCTAGCCAATCCTCTCGTCATCTTTGCAAATGTTGGTCCACTTATCCTTCCCCTCTCGACGGCTTTGCCCAAGACATCAATCGCATCTCCTAAACTCCTTTCTTCACATACTAATTCATAAAGTTGGTTTCCTACAACTGTTGGTGCGACGAGTAGCTCATCAATGGAGGGGGGAGTACGATGTTGAGAGGATTGGAGAAGTTGGTCGGAGGTTTGAAGAGAGGTGTGCAGGATCGTTGTATTATTAGAGAGTAGGGCAGAGAGGGATTCGAGAGCGGATATTTCAGATTGCATTGCGGAGAGAGTGGTGAGCATAGATTTCTGTTGCGACTGAAGACCTGGAATAGAAGAAGTAGTTTGGGTAGTGTGATGAAGGCGTTGGGAGTGTAAAGCGTTAGCGAGTTTGTGGAGGAGCATATCCTTTTCTGGGTTAGGTGGAACAGGCGGAGCAGGAAGATTCGCGGATGAAGCATCGGGGATAGAGAGAGTTAAGGGTGCATCAAGAAGGTCAGGCGGTGGTGGAGGTTTGGCTTGAGGTTGTGGTGGCGGCGTTTGTTGGTGTTGCTGCTGATATTGAGGCCATTGCTGATGGGTTGGATGTCCAGGGTATGGCTGTTGCTGTGGATGCATATATTGAGGCGGCGGTGGAGGTCTGCCAGTTTGCGGCCCCGGCTGTTGAATATTATTTACATGGTATGCTTGTTGTGGTGGGTATTGCTGAGTTTGTTGAGACTGTGGAGGTTGTTGGTATGACTGAGAGTATGAGGACTGTCTATATGAATCATCTGGTGGAGTTATTGGACTCACAGGACTGTATGATGGTTCCCGCAAGGTTTGCCTGGGCTGTTGCGGTGGCAATGGAGGGGCACTTTCATAACGAAGACTACTACTTCTTTGAGGAGCATGCGACTGTCTGTTTGGTGATTGTGGAATCGGTGGCGCATATCTGCTAGTATCATATCCAATTTGTGGAGGTAGTGGGGGCAGCGGTGGCCCATCATCTCGCCGCGGGGAACTCGAAGGGGAGTAGGGTGCTGCATGATTTATAGGTTTCGGTGGGGGAGGTGGAGGGAGGTCGTCGGTCAATGGACGTGGAGAAGCTGAAGTTGGTATCGATCGAGGGACATTTGGTGGAAGTGGCGGTATAGGAGGAGGCATAGCTGTTGGTTGTGGACGTGGTGTAGCATTTTGTTGCTGTCTCAATATAACAGGAGGCTCTTTAGCAAAAACGTCTCGCAGAATCGCGAGAAAATCGAGCACATTGGATTTCTGTATATTTCAATTCATGAGTACATCTGCCAAGCAATTTCAAAGCTTCAATGTGCCAAGTTGTGCAACTCACATCCCAATAGTCTGGCCACTTCATTAAATATGGATGGTAGACCTTCCCTTGCGGATCTACATGTTGACCTGCTCTTACTACCATTCCCTCAACTGGTGTCACATATACTAATGGAGCTTCGTGTGGATATGCGTGAGGTATCCATAATGCGATTGGGAATCGGTATGTTGTGCCACGAAAATTGACAGGCAGGGTGCCAGAAAGATGAAGGAGGAGTGAAGATGCGCCATTCTCGTATGCTATATAGCTTGCGCATTAGTATTCGAGTTAATGGCATAATCTGTAAGCTTATTTACGTACTGTAAACATCCGTTCGTGGGGATAATGAGGTATATTGCGAAAGTGTTTGGGCGACGTCATTATATGTGCGATTTACATCTCGATATTCCTGATAGTGAGTGTAAGTATAGGTCATGCCGTATATACGTGGCGGGTAGATTTACATACGCTGGTGAGAACACTGTAAAGCCAGTTCAGAACTCGCTGCTGAACACCGGCCATTATGATAAATGAGCTTCAGGACCAGCCAGCTAGCTTGATACCGGTAGTGAAGCTATTCAGAACGCAATGATGATGAGATGGGTGGGGGTGGAGCTTAGCTAGAAAGGATCATGTGATAGATTGATTAGATAGGCACTGATGGGTGATGGGTGATGGGTGATGGGTGATGGGACGGCTGTGCAAGTAATACCAATGTACGGTAGTATGGATGGATGGCCATGGTAGGGTTGGTACCAGTAGGGTTGTGTGGTGTGGGTCGGTCGCAGGGACTTTGAAGTATGAAACATTCAACTCGGGCCCTACAAGAGTGAAATTGGCAGTCAGACTCGCATATCAAACTAATCATGTATCGAATATCAAATATCAAATATCAAATATCAAATCAAAACTATGTCTGATCGGACGACTCCGGTATACTGATAGATAATTATTGATTGATTATATTTTACCTGATATTGTTATTATAATTATAAATATAAACATAATTACATAAACCCAATGAAATCCATCAAGTCACAAGTGTGGATGTTTCCATCCGACTCTACCTGCCAAATGCATGCCCACCAAAGGTCCTACGACACGTGATTCCAATGTCGGTAAGGAAGGAAGAAATAGGAATGAGAAGAGAAGAAAAGGAATGAAAGGAAAACTCTTTGACATCTGCTATGATGCCATGACCACAACTATGACTAGAACCAGAACCATGTCCATGACAAACAATTCTTCTATTAAAGGAAAATGATTAGTCTTTATGGGCCGATACCGCGCAATTCCGAGAAAAAAGCTGCTTTCTAAGCGGAATGCTATCAAATGTTAATTTTTGCCCATTTCTTTAGACCACCTGCCCTGCCCCTCTCTTTACTATATATAGGAGGGGCATTTATCCCCTCCCAAAAAGGATTTCAAGTAAAAGGTTTCGGAAAACGTTTTATCATCCAACTTCATTTCAGCACCTTCTTGGCTCACGAAACATATTTGCAGTTCATATGCAAAGCAACTACAAAGATTATCGAAAAGGCTGAGGAGTATTGGACAAAAGATCCTATACTCCTTGCGTCAGGACAGATACTTTAAACCTATCTACCTTTTTCCCCCATTCAGACCATGCTTCCTCCACTTCCCAAACTCAGCAAATACGGAATATCTCCAGAATATGGATTTCTTCCGGCTGATTTACCTCTCGAACGACTTCCCGATCCATACTACAACAAATGGGAGGCGATCAATGCAAACCTTCAAGGTTTGATTTTGAGTAAACGCCTGCGCGGTGTTATTGATCGTCTGCCAGTTCTTTCGACTGCCGGTCTGGAACATGATTCGGAATGGCGAAGAGCATATTCGTTGTTATGTTTCATGGCGCATAGTTATATCTGGGGTGGTGATAGCCCTGAAGAGGTTTGTACAATTCTTCCCCTCGGTCCGAAAGCCTTGTTTAGAAGTCTCGTGCTGATTACTTGTGAAATTTACAGAACTTGCCGCCATCCATTACAGTCCCCCTTCTACACATTTCAAACTACCTGGAAGTACCACCAGTCGCCACATATGCTGCCGTCTGTCTCTGGAACTTTAAACCATTGTTCGCAGATGAACATGTCGACAATTTAGAGAATCTTGCCACTCTAACCACATTCACCGGCTCTATCGACGAGTCTTGGTTTTATTTGGTTTCAGTGGCAATCGAAGCTCGCGCTGCTCCCGTTCTTCCGCTCATGCTTACAGCAATTGAGGCGGCTCGTAAGAATGATAGCAGGACTGTTACATCTTGTCTTCGAACTTTTGCGGAGAGAATCGATGATCTTGGAACACTCCTTCAACGTATGCATGAAAGCTGCGATCCTCATGTGTTCTATAATCGAATTCGTCCTTTCCTCGCTGGTAGTAAGAACATGGAAGAAGCTGGATTACCAAATGGAGTTTTCTACGATGAGGGTAATGGAGTTGGTCAGTATCGTCAACTCTCTGGGGGTAGCAATGCTCAAAGCTCCATTCTTCAATTTTTCGACATTGTTTTAGGAATAGAACATCGACCCACGGGCGAGAAGAAGGATGCTGCTTCAGAGAGTGAAGCCGAAGGCGCAGCTCCACGAACCAAGCACAACTTTCTTCTCGAAATGAGAAAATACATGCCAGGAGCTCATCGACGATTCCTCGAAGATATGACCGCCGTGGCCAACATTCGCGGTTACGTCGAAGCGCATACCGATAACCATGAACTCTGTCTCGCCTACGATGCTTGTCTTGCCATGTTGCGTACATTCCGCGATAAACACATCGCCATTGTTACACGTTACATCGTTATCAAATCCCGTGAATCTCACTCTCATTCCCGCTCCATGAGTCCCGAGGCAACTCGTAGCCGAAAGGTAGATATTGCAACGGCATCTCGTGGAAAAGGTGATGACGAAGAGAAGAAGAGAAAATTGAAGGGAACAGGTGGTACGGCGCTTATCCCCTTTTTAAAACAAGCGAGGGATGAAACTGGAGAACCCACAATTGATTCTTGGGCGAGAAGAGTTATAAATAGAGATCTGAATACGATGGGTAAAGGGGATTTCTTTGTGGGAAAACTGGATGAACAACCCGATGGCGGATTGGAATTGGGTGGATTGGCTGGAACATGGACTTTGGACGATGAGGTTGGTGGATTGTGTAGTTATTAAGCGGATGTATGTGTTACTTATCACAGCATGGCTTTTTGCTTGAACATACTTAGTTTGCCTTTGTTATTATTATGGAGATACTTACCTGGGTACTCAAACCGATGTCTGTAATGAGGGGCAACTATTCGAGAAATATTGAGACGAGTTAGTCAGCTAGTTGAATTTAATGAATTTGATTGCTAGTCTGATGTTGAGTTTTGAGAATACCATAGTTACCTGTGTGATGTATGTGTTTAAGTGAACGAATGAATGAATGAATGAACAAATGAATGGAAGTTAATTTTAATACTAATCGAAATGTATAGAGCTGCATCATACCCATGTACTGACGGGACGAAATGAGATGGGATGGGATGAGATGATAAATGAAGACTGTTGGGTATGGAAAATTAGATGAGATGAGGTTGGATGAGATGGGATTATATTAAGATAAGACTTAAATATGAATGATAATAGATGGAAAAGAATAGAATGAGATGATAGTTGTTGATCGATACCTCGAGATATATAGAAATTGCGTGATGGTTATCTTTATCTTGATACTGATGCGATATGTTGGTGATATCGATATTGACATTATATGATATGATATGAATAGATACTTAGTAGATATATAGATAGATCGATAGATACGTAGGTATATACAATATCCCCAATCCCAAATTTCCAACCATTCCTACAGAAAACGCCGAATGGAAACCCGATATTCATGAATCATAACGCCGAAGAATGTAATCTTATGTATAACAGAATCCACCAAATGAACAACCTTCTTTTCTCCCTCCCCCCTCCTTTTCTCTCCTATTCCCTACTCCCTATTCCCCATTCCCGCCACATATCTCTCACTTCCCCTCCCCTCCCCCAAACTCCTCCTCGTGTTCTGGAATCCTCCCCAACGACACCATCGATCCCCTCCTCGAACACGGCGGACACACTCCCCTCTTCTTCTTCGTCATTTTCCCGTATCTACTATGTTTCCCGTGCTGCGTGCTAGGTCTTGATTTCGTATGTGGATTTGTATTTGCATGGGCATAAGGAGGGAAAGAAAATGCAGCGTTGTGGTGCATATTCATCATGTTGTTATTATTGGGGATGGTAGTCGGCCAATTCCGAGCGCGCGATGAGGGGTTTTGCCATACTCGTGGATTTGTTGTCGGGGTTTTGGGGGGTGGGGATTGTGGGTTTGGCCTGTTTAGGTTTGGGTTTGGGTTTTTGATGGTGGTGGTAGTGATAGTGTGGATTCTGGTATTATTGGATTTGAGGTTGGAGTTAGGGTAGGTATGTCGTTTCGTGGGAATTGTGTTATTGGGATACTCAGAGGGAATATCTTTTCGTCCCCGATTTCCTCGAGAATAGAATGAAAGCCTTGGGCTCCGCAATGCATCGACACTATTAGATTCCCCCCTTTTCTTTACACTCTCCAGATACTGTTTCTCTGCCTCAATATTTCCAGTGCCTTTGTCCGTATCCTTATCCTCAACATCAGCATCGACACCCAATACCACCCCCTCATCTACGACCCCTTCCTGAAGCTTTCCCCACATCGTCGGGTCTAATTCTTCTTTCTTGATTCCATAAATTTCCATCATCCGAAAAACGAGTTTGCGGGGAAGCGTATCAGCTTTTCGATTCATACAACCGATAAGCCATTTTTTCACCTCGGGAGCTTCGTTGGATTTGGGGATGTCATATTTCAGAGGCGTTGGTGGAAAAGGAGGCATGAGAAGGGAGGGGTCGAAGCTGGAGGTGGATTTCAAGGAGAGGGTTGAGGAATGTGATGATGTACTAGATATCGAGCTGGAATCTGTTTGGATATTGGTATCTGAGGTTGGGGATGTGACGATGATTGTGATAGGGTTATTGGAAGCATTTTTATGGATGTTGAGTAGAGGTGGAGGTTGCTTAGTTGCGTGTGGAGAAGGGTCTTCTCGATCTTTAGAGCTTTCCGTTCTATTGCAAAGGCTGCTCTGTTTGATAGCGATAGATTCACAGTCTTCCGACTTTCTGCTTGATAGACTGTACCAAGACTTCCTTTTGCTTGATATACTGGTTTTTCGGGATGGTCCCGTGGGTGTTTTGGTCCCAGATATTCCAATCGCGGATCCATTAGCGATATTCTTTTGAGCATCGACGGTACATTGTGATGATAATTCCATTGACCGTAAAGTTTCCTTCAGGATCGAACCCTTAAGTTGACCGGATACGCTGCTGCCATCTTTGAGATCATCAATGTTAACTTTATTATCCTTCACCCTTTTGGACGTTAGTATCAAGCATGAAACTAATTGAAAAATACCAAGAGTTGATCACATACTTTTCCTTCCTGCCAATTGATAACCACTTTAGGTACTTCATGTGTCCGAATAGAATGAGCGATCGATATTGAATCCTTCCCAAAACTATCGGTCTTTCTACTCGAGGCGTTGATAATACTTATCATAAACTGCCTTCGCATACAGCGACGTTGTTGATGAAACTGGCGTACTTCATCATTCGGTACATCCAGGGAATAATGAGTATAAATTGAGGTCGTATGCAACGTTCGATTTCATGAGCGATTTTCGATATATCCTAAATCGAATCTATATTCGGAGCTGAAATTGAGATAAGAAAATCCAAGAGACTAATGTACGACGGGAATAGATATGCCCTGCAGGGAACACGCGAAGCGAAGCGTAAAATAGTCTGTTCGGGGCAATATTCCTGGAAGAGCTGAAGAATCCTTTCTCTTCCGGCAACCAGGTCACAATTTAGTGTAATGGATCGGAAGCTTTGACGTGGCACGAGAACGAAGTCTTTTTGAGTCCAATTTTTTTTGGAATGAAGAGTAGGTACTTTATACTCTCATACTCTCATACTCTCATACTCTCATACTCTCATACTCTCATACTCTCAATGGGAGTGAAATAAGTGGAGCTACTTCGGACGTTTTTGATGGCGTGTGGTATTGACTTGGCGTGGCTGAAATTTCTGCATAATTATTGATCTTTGGTCGATCAGGAAAGGAAGTAAAAAGTGTAGGGGTTGGTGGTGTGGGAGGTAGTTTCATCATGCCACTATCGAATGAATTAGCAAGTACTAAGTTTGGGGGTCCAGCGATTGACGCCGGACGTTAACAGCACATACTTTGACAAGTCGCCCATATCGGCCAGCATGACATTGCAGGTGGCGTTATGATTGTTTTGATGATAAGATAGCTCATCAATTTTCCTGCAAGTATCCTTGAGCTAGTTCCCAACAATAGTCGAGAATGAGCAATTGGTCAAACTCACGCTGATAACATGGCAAGTTGGATTTGAAAGATCCTTATGCTCTCGGTTTTCCTCTCGTCAATATCTCTTTGGATACGAGCTCTCGATGCCATCCAAGCAGCCTTTCTTTTCACTCTGGACATCCTACCATATCCATCACCTTTTGTTACCATTTCGGCACTCGTTCGTAACTCTCTGTCCATGACTCTCATTCGTTCTAATGATTGGACATACAGTCCCTGAAAATACTTGAAATCGCCAGTACCATATTTTCGATCTGGTTGACGAATGAGTGAAGCTAAATATGCATTATTCAACATATCAGTCTCCGTTTCGAGAAGATATATTTTGTCTAATGCACTAGATATTTCGGCTTGTGTATCAACGGCATCACGAAGACCAAGAGCATGTGCGTAGAAACCAGCAATAACAGCTGCAACAAAGGTAAGCAATCCTGTGATACTAGCAGCAATTGATAATGGACTATCGGACATGATCTCCAAAGAAAGTGGCCCCAAAAAGTGGTCCAGATTAAACTTTGACCAAGGAAAAAGATGATTGCAACATTCAAATTCAATTGAAGATAATGGGATAGGGTCTCTCTCAGTCTGATATCTGAATCAATATCAGGCAACAGATGCAGAATCCAAGGGTACACAGCTGAAAGCACAGCCACTCATCGGAATATTTTCAATAAATGCAGGTACAACCAATTAGGAAGGAAATGGATGTATCTCATCCACCAGTGATCCCCCCCCTGATGATAAGCTTGAAGGATTAGATGAATGGCGGGAAATCTCCTCCCCTCATTCATCCCCTCATCTTGGTTTGTTCAACAACGTTGTGAAACTTTTCAGACGTTATGTTCTGCTTTATAGGCATAGAGAGTGACACGACATTTAATTTGTAAGTTTACCTGGGTGTGAACTCCAATTACGCATCCTGTAACTGATGTAACTGAATAATAATATATTAAGGCCGCAAAAGAGCTCACCGGTCGGATCATTTCCATACATGCCTATTCGTCTACTCCCCGGTGAGAGATCGACTGTACTCTGTAGCACCAAATGCAGCTCGAAAATCTTTCTTATTCTTAGATAAAATGCGTAATAGTAATACTTTACGGGAGTTGTACTTGTTTCCTCTGATCTCCTTGCTTTTGTTCGATTCTACTTATCATTCGTAAGATCGTAGGCCGAAAACAGATCATAGATCATCATCCATCTTCTTCTTTGGTCATGTCTGTTGGGCATAGCAGTAATAAGTATGTGATGATAAAAGTTCACGAAGCGCCATGGTTTTTCTTCTTTGTTTTCCTGCTTCATCCTATTCGTAGATTGGACGGTTCATCCTCTACCATGTCTGCCGTTCGTTATGTATCTGTTCTGTTGTATTGATCTGCCCATATATACGAGAAAGAAGAGAAAGAAGAAGAAGGGCTAGAAAAAGAAGTAGGGCTATAAGATATTCCAGATATTCCAGATCTTGCTCAAACTTTTGAATTCCATGCCTCAAGTCTCAAGTGTTCATTCAGCCCAGTCAGATAAGCCCATTAATCACACCAGGTAGGTAAATCGTGCCAGATTTGTCACCATCCGAGGTTCTACCCACTCAGTGGCACCAGTGACCTACCGGTGAACCCTGAAATTCCCAAATCAAAACATAACACCGATGAGCACGTCCAACAGATCCAGTATATCAAGATCTATTTCTTGCTGAGAGAAGCTCCGTTATTCAGCTTTTCTTAAATCTGATAACCTTATTTGTTAACGCCCAGGTGAATCATCCACAATTACGTCGTCTTCTCCAATCAAACTTGATTAGTATGAACCTCAACGAGAGGATGGAAGGAAGCTATCCACGGCTGGCTGTCCTTGAAACCAGTCTGAGACCTGACACAGATATTCTGATACTCTGACACGTAGGAGGATTGAACGAACTAATAGCAAATTATATATGACAGTTTACATATTCCAAAGGAGAGATTATGTATACGAATGTACGAATCCAACGACAAGTATATTCAATTTACTCATCGTAATTCAAATCCGAGCCAGTCCAAAGGTCTAAGCCTCGATAAAATTAAACGATCGTGAATCAGTGACGAAGACAAATCCGAAGAACCGGCGCAAACGAATCGAATGAAATTATGGTCATCTTGTCTAATTCACCCACTGCGAATCGAATTTCTATTAATTCTACCACTGAGAAAGGCTTGAATGAGAAGACATTCGAAGATTCAGCTCATACAATAATCATGGATCATCCAAATGCTACACCTCCAAAGACCTCAATAGATACTTCATTCGATGGCGTCGATCCTTCCGTGGAATTTGTTGGGGACATCAATACTAATAATGATATACCCTCCCAAGAGGTGCTGAAGAAGGTCGAAAGTATGATCGTCCTAGATAGGGATGGCAAAACCAGACCCTTCAAAAGTTTATACTCAGGCCCGAATGTAGCAAGAAGAGTCTTGGTTATATTCATCCGTCATTTCTTTTGCGGGGTAAGCTGTCTTCCTACTATCGCCCTAGCTGTAAAGTTCTACTCAAACCTAACATTTACGCTTTCTACTAGAACTGCCAAGAATACCTTCGAACCCTCGCAGCATCCATCACCGAAGATTCCCTCCTTCAACTCCATACTCCCACCTTTATCGCCGTCGTTGGCTGCGGCAGCCCATCTCTAATCCCCATGTACCAAGAAGCCACGAATTGTCCATTTCCTATATATGCGGATCCTACAAAGAAGCTATACGATGAGTTGGGAATGATGCGCACATTGAATCTCGGCACCAGACCAGAATATCAGCGCAGAGGTACTCTCATGGGGATTGGACAGAGCGTACTACAAAGTCTCAAACAAATCAAAGGAGGCAAATTATTTCAGGGAGGTGATTACCAACAAGTCGGCGGAGAATTCCTTTTCGAGCCAGTGCGAATGGCCACTCCAATCACTTCACCTGCTGATGGACCCATTGGTATGGATGCGAGCGGTGGAATTCTGGGAAATGGTGATAAGATAGGAGAAAGTGAAGGCTATGAAGAGAAGAGAATCACCTGGTGCCACAGGATGAAAAACACCAGAGATCATGCGGAAATTCCAGAGATCAGAGAAGTCCTCGGATTCGACGATATGGTCGAGGGCGGAAAGAACCAGAAGAGGTGGTCCAAAGCATTGAGCGAGAGAAAAGGTACCGGGATGAGCATTGGAGCTAGAAGCAGTAGAGGAACGAGTCTGAAGCTGGAAGGAATGAGTGAGGACGGTGGTAGTGTGCGGAGCAAGGAAGAAATCAGCGAAAAGCCAACATAGGTGGCAGATGTTGTTGACTAACAACGAGAGTGATTGGCATGCATGGGTCAAGTGAGTGACCATGGAGTTTGGTCGGTATATTCTTGGGGGTTATCTTAGCGGAGCGATCGATACATGGGGGAGTTCTTTTGCAATCTTTGCTGTTTAAAGCTTGTCGTTATTGTTTCTATACCCAATTCCGAAATATTTTCTTAAAATACTGGTTCTTGATATTGCGGTCTACTCTGCTCCTATTGGTCAAATTGTGCAATCCAAAAGTTTTGTTGCATAGTTATCTGATTCCAATCCCTTATTGCATTTTGTCTCATGTGGCACTAAGCAGGTGAGTGGTATTGTTGTATATCCGATTCTTCCATACAAAATCAGTACGACTGAAAGATTTGTTACACACATGAAATGGGTTCCTTGATGCATTTCCCTTTCAAAAGGTAGTAAAAGCAAGGGACGTTGCTGTATTTTATACCTAGGTACCTAGAACTTCCATACCAACAGGAGCACAACTAACTATCATCCAACGTCCCGTTTTGATTCACCCCATATCTCATCGGACAATATCAGATTGAAATCATTCATGTGGATACGACTGCACTCTATACTCATCATATGCTTTTGCGGATTGTAACCCTGGTTTTTATTCTTCTAATTCCAATTTCTATGGATTTTAACTCATCGTTATCTATACTCTCCTTCTATCTCTGTTTTCATTTTCCACTTAACCAGAACAGTGGAAGGATATCCTATACCACCCCCTGCACCCTCATCATGCATTCAACTAACTGTTTCCCCCGAACTAAAATGCCTCAAAGCATTTATACAACTTATTCCTTTCCCCATCCATTAGCAAACACCTAATAGTATTTTTTCAATCTATTCTCCTTTCCTTGTCATTTCCTCTTCTCCAACTTCCTCCCTCTACTCCTCTCCATATCTCCAACTCTCTCCCTATCCCTACAAATCTCCGCCATCCTCTTCATTTCCACGGCCCTCAACGGTTTCGGTTCCGATAATCCGCATTCCGCTTCTTTGACCACCATTATATCTCTTTTCTCACACTCGTCACTTTTATCTTCCCCTCTTCCCATCTTCCCACCAGCTTCCATTCCCCTCACCCTAACACTAACACTAATCCCCTTTCCCCCTCTCAAACCATCAATTCTTTTATCCTTTTCCCCCCATCCCACTAACCTATCCAGATCCTCATCTCTCCACCCTCCCTTCTCTCCAAGTTCCCGTTCCACCTCATTCCAATCAATACTACGACTCCCGTCTCTACTCATATGCATTCTCGCATCTCTCACTCCTCTTCTGAGAGGTAAGTGCGCTAATACATCTCCATCCTTATCCACACCACCTGCCGGAGAAAATTTGTTCCATTGACCAACCACACGGCCTCTGCTTCCTATTCTTGGTCCACTGCTCCCTAACCTCTCTCTTGATTTTCTCAGCGGGGTTGGAGAAGATACTTCAACAATTTGGATACCAACATCCTCATGTTTATCTTTTACGGGCCGCTCTTTTTCTTTTCCCTTGTTCTTCCCCTTCCCCTTCCATTCATCATTCGCCACAATGGCCATTGGAAAACCCGGATTAATTCTCCCCTTCCTCGCTTCCCCATCTCCATCTCCGTCTCTCCGTGGACTAATCTCAAATTTCTCCTTCCTCCCCTCAATTAACGTTTTTGTTCTCATTCTCATTTTACCACTATCCATCGCAAGTGTCCGTTTTCCCCTCTCCTCATCCTGTTTTTCCTTCCCAGGTCTTAGAAAAATACTCTCATCATTCTTCTTGCTCGAGATATCCTCAAATAATCTCATTTTCTCCGCTATCAACCCATTTCTTACTTGTTTCGGCTTTTTTATTCCCGAGCGTGGCCAGGTCTGAAGTACACTCTTCTCAGGTTGTGGAGTTACAGACGAATCATTCATAGGCGTTGGTGTCTGTTGACGTCTTTGCATTGCTATCTTCTCAGTTAATTCCAATGGCAAAATAGATACCCTCTGCATGATCGTTTCTGAAAGCACATTTTTTCTCGGCGAGGAAGTACACTCGGAGGATTTGTGACTCATTTGTTTTTGTTTTTGAATGGGGAGAGGAGGAAGATTTTGGGGATTATCAGGATTAGGAACACTTTTCTTACGAATGGGTGATGAAAAAACAGGAGGTGGTGGCGCCGGCGGAGGAACAGGGATAATTGCAGAACTCTCTCCTTCTTTTACTGGAGACACAATTCTTGGTCCTGCATCTCTTGATGCAGATCCGGGTAACACAGTTCCGGCAAACGATGCACCGCCATCAAATCTCATTCTCATATCCGCGACTTTCGATTTCGATCGGAAAGACGACGTGTCCTTTATTCGTTGGGGTTGTCTTACATCATCTTTCTCATCATGTTTCGGTATGGGAGGCACTGCATAGTTCTCCTGGAGAACCATTTTACTATCCTTACCTTCGGTTTTCCGGGCTTCGTTTTTGGCTTGATAGATGGCTTCGATTTTCTCGCTAATTTGGCTTCGTCGAGTATCAACATCTTTTTGTGCACCTGGTTTGGGACCTTTACGGCCAGGGATCGTTCGTCCTCTTGGGCGGGGAATTCTGGGGAGAGAGGGACCGCGGGTGGGGGTAGCGTTGGTTTCGTATCGGGCTAGGGAACTTCCGCGTGAATTGATGTCTGCTGGTGATGAAAGTCAGTTTGGCTAGGATTACGTGACTTATGGCTGAGTCTAGTGAGGAATCGGTTTGGAATGCAATCAACCTGCCTTTAGTTTCTGACTTTAGTCTCTTGAATACCTGTGGTCTTGTCGGAGAGGTATGAGGCGAAACCGTATTTGAAGATCTTGTCTTTTCCGAACTCCCCTGAGAAGCCAAGAAAGGATTCTGAACTGCTTCTCCAAAAACATTGCGTTGTTTTCTATGAGAAACTGGCGTATATTGCGCTTTTTGAGCTGAAGAGATCGTAGTACTTTTCTCTTTGGCCACTTCAGATGTTCTGGAGAAGTTCGTCGAGCCTCTCATTGTTGATTTAACGGTTGGTGTTTCAATAGCGGTGGTGTAGGAAGTTGAGGGAGATTCATTATTCCGATAGACATGGTGAGCTGGAGCAAATAGAGATGGAACACTTTTTGGAGGACTTGGTTTTGCAGGGCTCGAGGGAAATTTCTCGTCTGGACTTCCGTCGAAGAAGCGTATTCGGTCTTTAATCATGTTTCCGATTTGCTTATTTGGAGACTTTTTCGGGAGTGTGTAGGCTGGAGTTTCGGTTTTTTTACCACTCATATTCTTCGGAGTAGATATTGAGGAAACCATCCGATTTTCACTCTTCGACGGCGTCTTCATAGTATTTACCGGCTGCTTTGGAGTTCTCAATCGTCTCGATTGGAATTGCCTTTTCTGAGATCGGAGAAGTGTTGATTTAGTACTACTAGGCGTGTCTCCCCACGTATGATTCCTCATGTATTCCTCAATGAAAACATCGCCATCTCTAGATACATCCCTACTAGTCGGACTTAAAATGGTGGATAATCTTTTCTGTGAAGAATCTCGTGTTCTGCTCCTTTTTCGAGGGGAGTTTCGTGCCGAGTGTAATGGTGCAGGTTGGAGTGTGAAGTCTTGGATGGGAAGACTTAAAGCGTCCATGGCTTCGAATCTACCAACTAGACATCGAAGAGATGATTTTACAACTGTTTTTGACCTGATAAATATATGTCGTTAGTACTTTTTGAAATGGTAACAAAGATACTAGGTCCGTTGACTTAGATAGATCAACGTGCTGAAAAATCCTTACCGATAAAAGGTTTTGTTGTCTCTGCCGCTCCGCCCACGATCAGGAGTAGTTTGGCCATCCAGAGAAGAAGCTTTGGATCTTGATCTCCCAGCGGTAGATATCTCAGCATTCGAACGAACACTATTATGTCCATAAATACTACGACCACGTCCCCATGATCCATGGTAAGCCATATTTGCCATTCACAGACCGTGTAAATACTTGAAGTCAAAAGCAAATAGCAAGGAATACTATGAATGATATGATCACTGGCGTAAAGCAGCAAAATAGTTATGTTGTACAAGAAGGCAGCTGAACGAATGACGATATGAAGTTGCAATCTTATTTTGTGTATCTGATTCAAGAGGGAATACCATGGGTTGATGAGAAATGCTCCTTCCATTTATGATGTGAAGTCATTATAGACTAGAAATCGCGGTTGGCACTTGCCAAAACTATCAAGATGAAAAGTGTGACATCATCTCAAAGGAAGCCTTAATGTGTGATAATAATCCCATTCTCAGGAGACCTATTAGTTATTACAATATATTCATTTGCGTAAATACATTCAAAGAAGAAAAATCATGTCTGATTAGCTTCGCACCTGTGCAAATGCTCTGAATTAATACTCATTACCACTGTATTTCCAGACGTCGCCCCCATGAAACTGCCCAATCAATTATCCTCATCAAACTAGGGTATAGATCGCGCGTAACTTTACTTGAATCCACTCATCCCTTCTGAACTCCATACGATTTATTAATGCGTACACCCATGGCTTCAAGATCCATTTCCGTGCTATCTCTCGGAGCATGATTTGTCGTGTTGTCCTCGACAATACAGTCAATTGTGGTGACTTGGTCCATTACATTGCTGCCTTTTCTCATCATGGTGGCATTGCTTCCTTTCCTGGATGTAAAATCAAGTCGAGAGGATTGTGCGGTGGTGTCGCTGGCATATGTCTTTCGTGAGAAATTACCGCTTTGTGAACCTTGCATTGTGCGTGAACCAGTGAGGTTGGACACGTCGATAGTAGATGTTTCCTCGTCTGTTGCCATACCGGCCCAAAGTGAAGAAATGGGAAGTAAAAGTGCGACTGATGTAAGGGCAATAGTGCCTGCTTCTGGAAATGAAACTGGTGTCACATATTCGAGGATAGCAAAGATAGCTGTTTAATATTAGCTTATATTTTCATCGGATCATGGTATTGAATCCTTACAAGGTATAACCATGGTGCAACCACCCATAGCAGCAAGAATTCGCACGGCGCTCCATTGTCTCCATCCGTTTCTTCGGCGATTGTAAAGAGTCCATACTAATTTTCCAGTGAATATGAGAGAGAAGAACCATATCGAGATTGTCTCTGTTACCAGGGTTCCTTTGACTAGCCATTGCATTGGCACAGACGAGGCAGATGTTGCCAAGATGGCCACTGAATTGACGACCGTTGCGGCGAATCTAAAACCAATTGCTAGTAAGGCAATGATAGCAGAGAGCGTGGTGAGGATAATTCGATGTAAATTATCCAAGTTCTTACAAACAGTGTGAGCTTGAAGATATAAAGACATATTGACTGTGATTGTCATGCAAAGAGGAATGACACTACCAGCAACACTAGAAGCATACGACGATCGCGGCACCCTACTGAAATCAAACGTGAAAGCGGCGTAGAAGTCGTTGAAACCTTGAAGAAAATAGATGGCATAGAGCATGGCGCGGAGGAACCCGAAAATGAGTGAGAGGGTATTGAGGAAAAAGAGGAGGGATTTGCGCTTGGCAGCTTTGGTAAGGACGACGACGACGAAGAACATCAATAAACAAGCTCCAGCTTGGGTACCATAATTGATACAACTAGCCACGTTGTAGTAGTAGAAAGTATCGATGTCGAGCGGGGTGATAGACACAGTCGTAATACCATCGGCCATGAGAATGGCAATGCTCTGGGTGAGTGGATCGAAGTTAGAACTATTGGCAGCCATCCTTGATTTGGACGTTTCCAGAGGGTTTTGAATCGTCGGTATGATAAGTTATCGAAGTAGAAGATGTTTTGAAGAAGTAATATAGAAAGAAAATTTTAGCCTAGCAAAGACAGCTATGATAGAACTATCGTATAGAGCGTTTAGAGATGCTGAAGGGTCGAGATGACACGCTGATTATAGGACGGGAGGGAAGTTTATATCCAAAATGCGTCAAGAAATTTTTGAACTACCTAAAAGATGACGAGTCGTGCTCTTAACGACACTGTCTCTAAATAATATCAAGTGCATTACTTTGCTATATTATTGTGGATATAAAATAAATCTGACGAAGATCAAGGTCTCGATAACATCACAGTCGATATCACTGTTGAGAACAATGGAGACTCTCCTTAGTATTGTTCGATTTTACCGAAATAGATCACACTAACGCGAGATTTCAAGCACCAAATAATGAGAGGAATCTCAATACAAGACGAAACAGGAACATGTTGTTCACAGTCAACGTTGACCCAGGCTACTTGGTTAAGATCAATTAGGAATTGGAAATATGATTCAAAAGCATCAAAACTTCAACGCAATTCAGACATATGAGTACATGATATTTGTGACGGGTGTTCTTAGCATTGTCCGTGATACCTTCGTATTGTTGTTGTAGGCGAGCCACATGAAGCCACATGAAATATTGAGCAAAAGAAGTGAATTTTTGGTGTATGAATTAAAAGGGGAAGTAGAACGGATCATCGCTAGGCAGGTAACAGGACAGCATCATTTCAAACTTCGTGTCACAAATGAATCAAGATAATAATGATGCTCTGCTCGACATAACATCTAATCCGAGGTGAAGGTATTGCAATTGACTGTCAAGAAAATTGCAAAGTTGTAAGACAAAAATATGCCAAGATTCTAAATTTGGCATAAGGTTCACGTGCTGGAATCGAAGGGTTGTGGCAACATTATTTTGCGGGCCGTTTCAATGCATCGAAGCCTCGCAGTCAGTCTGATGTTGTGTATCAATCAATCTACATGTATAGATAACACTTCTGCATGTTACCGTTATTGACATACCACAACTTCTTGAAAGATCAATCTGATGTGTTGAGCTCAAGCTGTCCGCCATCTAAACCGGAATGCTGCCGGAGAATCCATGTGTAAGATATCGGTAACTCGCAGAGCCGGTAGGACGAGTATGTCAGAGGCACGCATCGGATTCGGAACGCTTTCCTTCCTCTACCATATTTGGAGAAAAGAGGTGATTCCGACCGGATGAGACCCGAATTTCCCATTTTGTCTTTGTGAACTATGGATGCATACCTTATGAAAATCAAATGTCGGTAATCAGCGTACAGTCACCGTGCACTTCTATTAGCCAAAACTCCACAAAACGCGTTTTTTCACGCGTTACACTCCCATAATCACATTTTATTATTTTAATTATGCTTTCAATTTATAATACACAATGTATTGGAGGTATACAAAATAATTCTTATAAGCATCTTACTCTATATATACACAGCAAAATAGTTAGTAAGGCAGAGGAAGGCCTCAGTTCCTATCGAATTGCAAAGAGCTTTAGATTCTTTTGCGAAATTATATGATATACCCTCTTGCAAGATCTAATATATAATAATAGCATATGCCTATTATATGCCAATCAATCTAAATTATATATTGAATAAAACAAATGAATGCTATTACAATATATACAATTGTTTTCAAAAGCTATATATAAATAGATCATTCAAAAGGTTAGGCTTGATTATAGTATTAGAATTATTAAGAGAATTTTGACCGAATATAATATAATTAATTGGAGATATAAGAAAAGATTAGAGCTTATATTAGCATATATTACTAAATGGCTTAAATAATACTTAGCTTATAGAAGGTTAACTATTAAAGAATGAGGTCTAATTATATAATCAGATAAATGCTTTATAAAGCAAGAAAGAGGAAAAAGATTAGAATAATGCTTCCATATTAGCTTTCAGAAATGAAATTCAGAAATGATTGAAACATATGATACAAATAAGAATATAAAGATTATATACTAAAAAAACTTTTGGGATATTAGGAGAAGTAATCTATATATAATGAATAGGGATTTTGAGAGTGCAAAATATAGATATAGTATTAAATCTTACCTCAAGGTTCTTGAAGTTGAAATAAGCCCTATTTTCGAAAAGCTTAATCCAGGGTATAAATTTATACAGAATAATGCTTTTATTTATTATACCTATAAGATACGAGATTGATTTCAAGAGAAGGAGATCCCTTTATTAAAGGATTAGTCTCCTTATTCCCCTAATCTCAATTCTATAGAGTATATATAATGGGCCCTAAAGATAAGGGTATATAAAATGTTTTTTAATATTATTATTAATAAAAACGAATTAGAATATACTTATCAAAAACTAAAGAATTGTTTACAGATAGCTTGGAATATATTGAATAAAGAATTATTTAATAATTTGAGAGCTAGTATACCTTCTAGAATTGAGGCTTATATTACAGCGAATAGTTAGTATATTAAATATTAATAGATTGAGAGTTAACAATAAAACAATTTTTATATATATCAATAATATAAGAATGCATTATTTATTTATTCAAATTTGATAATTTTATAATTCTTGATTGATTTAATATTTAATATTGAAAAAGGGTGGTGCAATATGTGACACCATAAAATAAGCGGGGGGGCGGATATAAGTGGCCTAGTACTGTACGTCGGTTCCAAAAAAGACACACTGCAATACTGCAAGTTCCCCTCTGACGACTTCTTTCCAAAACTTCACCCAATTATTAGAGATAACAATACCTACCTACGTACTTAGGTATTCATAAATTTACACTAAATTTTCTTCTTCTTCGCTCATTATATATGTCCCTTTTGGTGACCCCAGTCCAAGTCATAAAAAGATCCAAACCAGCCTACCAACTGCACTGGGGCTTGGTATGAGATTTTGATGAAGAGGTTTTGAGAATATATGTGAAGGTAAAGGGTAAGCTACTTTATGATGTTACAGTCTTGAGGAGTGAGTTGTGGGAAGTATTTTATGTTTAGGGATAGAAATAAACTATGCATAAAGGGAGTCGCAGAATATATAGACACACTCAGGTCTGCGGTTTCAGTGACCCAAATGCTCTTTTAGTATTGAATCCTTTGAATGTGGGACAGACTTCTTGGTATGCGATTGATTCTGTGTCTATGTTGTGTGTGATATTTATTTGGGTATTGTTTTGACGATTGTAGGTTTGTATCCGGATCGTTGAGAAGCGAGACATACATTGGAAATTTTACATATATGTAAATTATCTAAATATTCTTGGGAGTCGTGTATAAAGCCCAAAAATACCGCGGAACGCAAGCAAAGAAGAAGCTCAAAGCTGTATCGCTTAAAATTTTAATCAAATCACAATCACAATAAGAAGCAAGAAAAGAAGAAAGGTTTTGATCAGCATAATTAAGATTTAAATAATGAGCGTGCTCAGCATCTATGAAAGGACTTTATGTGTATAAGGAAAGTATAAGTCAATTCATCATCACAATATCTATAGGACCACCCACTCTTCTAGCTCTGGAGAAGAAATCGCAGATCTCATTCTCCATCGCTAGCAAGAGTCCACCACAATACAAAAGAAATTTCTAACACAAAGGGAATTCCGAGCCACTTATAAACCAATAATAACCATTAATCGTATAACCTGTTCCATCTCCATACCACTTGGGTGCATTACCCACTATCGACCATTGCTAGCATATTGAAGATGCTTATTCGGATTCGGTAGCGAGAGCACGGGCAAAGCGGCGCTTGCTGAGGTTGTACTCGATCGCACGCTTCTTGGCACCAGCGGATTGGGTGAAAGCAACGGATCCACCGAAAGGACCAGCGAGAGCGCTGTTCTGGACCTTGGCAACACAGACGTTGGAGGCGCCACCGACAGAGCCGGAGCAAGTCATACCAGCTGGCATTTGAACAGCCATTTGGAAATCAGTGGTTTGAGCGGCGGAAAGACCACCGATACCGATACCTGGAACGTTCTGAGTAACTGCAGCCTTCTTGAAAGCAGCTGGGTCAGTTCCACCGGAAGTGGCGTCGACCATTGCGGTCAATGGTCCGGCACCATCTTGGTTGACTTGATGGAAGGTCATCTTAACAGTTCCATCATCAGCGCAGGTTGGCATGCCAGATGTGGCACCGGCACCCATAGCGGCCTTGACACCGGTCTCTGAAGTGCCGGATGGAGTCTTGGCACCACCATCAGCGGCGCGGACAACGAGAGAGCGTCTGTGCATGCTGGCAGCGTGAATTTCACGAGCTGCAACAGCGGCAGTGCTGTTGGCATCACCTCCCATGAACATGGAGATCATCTTGGCAGCGCTGACTGGACCAGTGGAAGTGCGACCAAGAGCAGAAGCCTTGGAAGTACCCATCTCATTAGCTCTGAGGATGGAAGTGTCAGCCTCAGAACCGCAACCTGGGGTTGGGCAATCACGAGGAGTTCCATCGGCGACTAGATAAATATGTTAATAGGATGAAGCTAAGAAAGAAGAAGAAGCTATGAGCAAGAGATGAGAAAAACTTACCAGAGAGAGCTGGCATGTTAACACCGTTGGCACCTTGGACTTCAGTGACGACACCGTGGGCGAGGACGTTGGTGGCAGCGAAGGCCAAAAGAAGGATTGATGAAGTATATTGCATTTTGAAGGTAGTTGGTTGGTTGGTTGATTGGTTGATTGGTTTTAAAGTTGAAGAACTTGGAAAGTATTAAGGATAGTTTGTGTAATTAAATTTAAAGCGACCGGCGCAAGATGGAAAGATTGTAAGATAAAATGAAGTGAAGAAAAGATGCTGAAGATGCTGATGATGAAAAAAATATATTCCACTGGGAGAATGAACGTTCTTTATACAAAATTCCACTACTGCCAGAAGTCAAAAAGCTTGGTTGAATGAAAAGAACGGATGCCGAGCAAGGAACTGCATTGGTGTGCTTGGCCATATTCTCTCCATAAACGTTTCAAAAACATACATCTAACCAAGAACTTTGGTGATACTAGTCCGAGACGTCCAAGACCTGACCACGATTTGTTATTGCAGTCATGACTTGGTAAGGACCTGGATTCTTTGAGCCTCGATCTGCGATTTTTCCATGCAGAACAATTCAAACTAAGGACGGAGCTTTCTTTCGAGAGACCTAACTTTTTCAAGAATAACCAATGGCAAAACACAATGTTTCTTGGTCGATCATGCAATGCTGGGGTGTGAGATTACCCGTGGACCATCTCGAATCCATGGAGATGAGCCTCTCGAATCTTTCATCTTTGCTTCTCAACCCTAAGGCTGATGCTTTGAGTGTTTGGACTTTGCTCTTTCGTAGAACTAGATGACTAGTATCGGTATTCGGAAGTTGCTATTGGCTTCTTATCTGTTTCGAGTGGGCATGGTCATAGAGGCTAAGCTTGTTTCGACATCACAATCAGCTTCTGGGATATGAACAATGTCCAACTTCCATAAACACTGACAATTAGAATTAGCCTCTAAATCGCAGCAATAGCTGCAAAGGTCTTAGCTGCCGCAGATGCTCAAAATCTCCTGAAGGCCGTGCGGTTGTCTGGGAATGTGCACCTTTAAAATTGTGAATCTCCAATGACCGTGTGTTTCTACACAGGGAACAATTATAATGGGGAAACCCATTCGCAGGCCTAGCCATGACTGGAATTGTTGGCGACAAAACCCAACATTTTGGAAACACTCCTCTGTAGCAAAGTCAACATCAGCCACAATAGTTTGAACCTCAGCTACTTCACCATTGCAGCTTCTTACACGAATACTAATTCTGTGACGATATCGTCAATGTAGTCACCAGCACCTGTGTACGAAATGATGTTTTGTACATGACACGGAGTACATCCTCGTCCCAAGTTCCATCTGTTCAGTTTCAATGACTACTACGCCTCAGACGACTTTAAACATCTCCGTTCATGCTTTACCAAACAACCGAAAATTCGTTCTGGGTTATTTGATTCCGGCCGATATGATCTAAATCATTTTCGATGGCATTCATCGTAAAAAATGCAAACAATGTAAACAATGAAATTTTGCTGAGATACAAACAGATCGTCATACCGTATTTCTCTGGCGGTATGGCGTTTCATTTCGAAGTTCCAACCTCTACGAAACCTGAAAAAGAAATTAGGACGGAGCTGGGAGTCTGTGGTAACATTAGCTCAACACGTGACTTGCAATTATACGCTATGACAAGACATTTCCTACCGGCACTTCGCCATCGACTACACTTCATAAAAAGCGTAATGAAAGGCAGACGTTTGCCACAGTATGAAATACTCATAACCTTCAGAGCTTTCATTCTTACTTTGCTCATCTTTTTACCATGGTCTTAATAATCTTCATCCGTCTTGCTAAACGACAGAACCAAGACCCACTGGCATTTTGAAATGACTTGTCTTTGGCAACAATTTTCACACGAGCTTCCTTTGAATGAGTCAATCGGCGTCTATAAGGAACTTCCCCGAAGCATCCCTCGACATAGTATTTCGCCTTCCATGATCTCCCTGCGTGTACGGTAGCAATCACGATATTCCTCCGTATCTTACGTACGTACATAAGTATAGCGGCTCCCTTAGGATCCTTTAAGCAAGCACCAAACTTACCCATTCATGTCGAGAGGGTTAATAGCCAATCCGAAAGAGTTCGTATGCGAAGCTATTCATATCCTTCTTGGAGAGGTTATATAGATGATCAACAAAATATTTATCCCTCAAGAAGATGTCTTCATCAATGTGTAAACGTAGGTGAATGACCTCAAGTGATTGGTCTTCTACGGTACAAGTGCTTTACTTTTTTTTTTCTAATCGATCCAGATTCATCTGATTGAGATGCAACTATAGCGGTTTAGATCCTTTCTTCAATTCGAGTAAATATAAAGAGTGATCAGGAATACATAATAAAAGTTAAAAGTGTTCGAGCTCCCCATATATCCGTGTTCCCCATGAGCCAAAAAACGATGATTTACAGTCACCATATACAGATAATGGCCGATTACTTGAATCATATCAAAAAATAGCGATTTGTTGTATTTTATATAATGATTTATAAATATTTATAATATTATTATTTTAATAAAACTTTCAGAGTGTATTATCTATATAATAATAATTTATACTTCCAATTTTCAGATTCTAAAAATAATTAAATAGTTAGATTTCTATTATTATAATAATACCTTATAAAAGTTCCTTAATTTCGTTTATTTTACTAGTAAATTCTAGAATTTCTAAATTGATTTATTTCAAAGCTATATAATATAATCAAGAAAAATCCTAAAAATAATTAATTCATTTTTTTGAAATCCTTCATTAAAGTTTAATAAAATTATATAAATATAAATTGATAATTCAAATAAAATTGTGTTAATATCTATTCATTTTAGAAATAAGTTTTGGTATGATTTAGGTGATCGGCCATTATCTGTGCCCTAGTACTGTACGAAAGCGAAAGCCTTCTTCCCTGTTGGCAGATGACGATTTAATGCCAGCTTTTGGGCACAGTTCAAGCATCATCTTAGACGGTATCACAGCCTATCGTCCCGGTCACCATAAACAAGGTTCAGTCTCTGAAGATTACAAACGATTACCGACATCTATTAGCAACTACTCTCACTCTTAATTTCCCCAGAGTCCCTCTCTTGTAGAACCGATACCAACCGCTAGGGCGATCTTTTCCAGGATTTCCTGAACGTACCAGGAGAATGACCCGGACGACCCTGAGGATGAAGACTATGCTTGTCCCAACGTTGAGGATGACTCTCAACCTACAAAGCAACAGAAGCAGCTCTTACTACATGTTTTGGATGATACGGACGATGAAGATGTACGACCTGTAAAACGACAAAAGCGATTTGCAGTATCTACAACGGAACTTTCTACATTTCCGTCTTCAAAAGCTGGGCAAAGTGATATGTATTGACTACAGTCTTCTGAGAACTCATTCCCAGAAGCAGATAACTTGGCAGCTGCTGAATATTGTGATTTCTTATTGTATGCTTTCTTGCACATATTATGATCGGCGCTGATACATCATATACGCCCGAGATTGATCTACTATACATAACAGAGAGCTCTAGTATCATTTTCCATCTCATAAGTCGGGGGATATGGACTGAGAGTTGTTTAGGGAGCAGGTAGTGATTCCTGATAGACATGCTCGAAGAGACACGAAAATTTTACCCCGCAAAGGTGGCGCTGCAAGCATTTTAAGAGAGTGTTTCATGGATGAGCAGCAAAAGCTGGTAGTCAAGCTCGTTGTTTGCAAGAACAAATCTCGCGAGGATATCAGGCGGTATTTTCCGTGCTTTACATTGTAGTCATTGAAGGAGAACTACAAGAAGCGGGGTAATACACCTCGAAAGCGGGGTCAAAGGCTGGCGTAGAGTGGTGGTCTCCCAGGCAGTAATGTTCAAGTCCTTACGGTCATAGGTACACTAAAATTTGCGAGACTCAGCTGGGCTGGGAAGCCTCTCGGTTAGCTGGCCGCCAACTGCATTCTTCACTTGGTTACATTTGCTAGGCTTGAGTCAACGGCTACACGATCTGAAATATCATACACGTCTTGCGGGTTATATGCTTGCGAGACTGATGGTCCAGAGATCTTTCCGGTTAACATTCCCGATTGCATTTTCCAGAGATTGAAGAAAAAGGTGGTGTCTAGGTAAACCAAGACAAGGCATGAATCTCGATACTTTTGTATGCTTTCATATTATTTTCTTTCTAAAATATTATGTGATGTTCTTCGGAGAACGAACAGATGCAAAGCTGAGATAGTATCGCGGGTTACCCAAGAAATGGTATATATCATGGTGCATACTTGTATACTTCGCAAATTGTTTACATATCTATTCACTGATATGTCAGGTGGTATTCTCGGGAGATTGAAGCTGATGGGAGTTGTACAAATTATATAAACATGGCGCATATCATGTTACTTGTATGCTTACATACTTGACCAAGCGACTGTTGTGCATTCATATGTTAAGCTGTGCTCTCTGAAGATTTGATCAGGAGAAAGCTGAGATAGCGGCACAGGAAACCTCAAATTTGCACAATCTACTAGACATTCCAGGTCATTCGTAAGCCGCTAGACCCGTGAATATGATAGGGCTAGCTGTGATTAAACAGAAGAATTGGCTTCCAAAAGCCGGGTTAATAGGTAATTTCCAGCAAACTTACCAAAATTTGAAATGCTAGGTTCTAGCAGCCATCACTCGGATCTGTCTCACAACCCCGCACTTGCAGAATCTAGAACACTGTGAGCAGGAATCCCGTCTGAGCATCGCTGAAGTATTGTTACGTATCACTTGATACGTTGTAAAGGCTTGGGTCGAGTTGCATTGAGATAACTTCACAATCCGTCAAAATGAATATGTGTCAAAGTTGCTCTGAACATATGGGTAAGGGATTGGGTGAGAAAAGATATCTCCGACGAATACATTTCCAAATCTGCGCCAAGGTAATTGTTGCATGTATAGGACCAACTCGAATATATAAAGATCGGTTTTCCTGAAGACAGACAGTTGAATCTGCACAACATCTCCCTCTATTCTACAATACTACCTGGCTGTTCACATCATCGTTCTCTACTCTATACTATCACCTGGCTCTACAATAGATAGCTACTCGAAATGGCTAGATTTTTTCTATTCACTTTACTTGCGTTTGGTGAGTTCTCTGGTTATGACAAACAAGCTCAAAATCTCTGATTAACCTTTGACATAGGTATCACTACGTTCGCAACACATCTTCCATCCCGCCAAAATAGCGTCTGCGCGATCTGGTGTGCAGCCAATTTCGCGAGTCCGGGAGCTTGTACATCACAAGCTGCCCACGGAACAGGACCTTGCTATACCTGTGGTCCTCTTGCGGCCAACCCTGCGCAAGCACTGTGCAGTGGCACTTGTGTTGATACTAGTATAAGCAGTGCCAACTGTGGATCATGTGGCAATTCGGTACGTGTCGTTTTGACCTTGAGTCTTCTTGGTTCTCTCTAACCTCACTAATACTGTTATATTTAAAGTGTGGGAGCTCAGATTGTGTAGGCGGTGTTTGCGCCCTAGCCTGCCCTTCTGGGCAAATACTATGTAATAATGTTTGCGTCAACACTCAGACTGACAAAAAGAACTGTGGAAGCTGTGACTTTATGGTATGTGTTACCTTGTTTTTGTGTACTTAAAAAATGCTCTTCAGATCTTGCTAACGTTTTTGAAGTGTCCCAACCCATGTCCCAGCGGAACAACACCCTTGATATTCTGTCAACAAGGAACTTGTGGTTTCGGGTGTCTTGACTAACCCTAGCCCTAGTGTGACTCAGTGCAGAAAAGCAGGCTGAATGAGAAGAAGGGTCAAATGAGGGAAAGTTGAACGATCATGATATAACACTTAGCCACTCCTGGCAAATCATACTGTTTCTGTTCTTGATTTTACTATTTACGTGTTGCGACCTGAGCAGGACACACGACTATTTGGTGGACCTTAGGCTCAGCGATTAGCTAATCATGGCAGGAAAACATGATTTCTTATGTTCTGACTGTCCTACTGAATCTTACCGGCCCCATTGGGAATATAGGAGTGGGAGATAATGGGAGAGATAAGTCAACGAGGGACGAAGGTCTACCGAATCAGAATCTTCTTTTCTCGGTAAATGGAGCTTTGTGCTCAACTCGAGTAGCAATTCTATCACTCAGTTACAACTGTCTGAAACCACTAGCTCAATTTCTGTGACGAACAAGTAGATTTATATGTAGGATTTGATGGAGAGAAGTTTAAGAATCAAGTGGAAGATCAATTGCTGGAGGTGATAGGAAGATGGAAAGATAGTTTCCATCTTGATCATTCATCTCTCTCTGAGAACTACTACCAAAACACGCATTTAGAATTTATTATATTAGCCCCTTGCCTCGAAGAAGAGCAATATAAATTTGAAGAATACAAATGTCTCTTTCTACTCGATAGAGTCACCAACAATAAGCAAAAGACGATATACTGACGCAATTATTAGCAGTGTCTATATCGATCAACTACATCCTATCACCACGCTGCATTATACTATCCACCACACCTACATTGTCCACTACCATCCCTTCTCACCACCCCTCATCTCAAGACAAAAGTCCTGTCTGCAAGCAGTTTATATTATACCCAGACCCCCTACAAAAATATTAAGCAGAACGAATGCCTTCATTCTGTCGCTTATTTTTGTATTTATAATATACTTAGCGAGGAGGCTAGCATAATAGCAATCCTTATATGAGAGTTAATTTTGTAAATATCTTCTTCGTCTGAATGTGATATGAATAACCGAGACTCATATTATGTCACCTATACTTTCCTCATACAAGCAGCCACCATTTGTGCTTTTCAAATGGCCACAATCCAATATCATCGACAGCTCGGAATCTTCCATAATTGGCATTATTTCATTTCTTAAATTCAGTCGCATATCCGCTTCAAGTAGCAATTTGTTCAGCATCATGCTCCATAGACTACCCATGAATGGAGATACATGCGATAGGTAGCCGGTACGAGACAGATCGATGCCTTACCATCCCAAGGGTAAATATTGATTGCCCCGCTTTCGCAAACAAATATTGCGACACATTCCCTCTGGGTGTAATTGAGATTCACAACAAGATCACAGGCGAGTTTCTGACGGTAAGCTGTGAACGGAACTCCCGAAGCATAACGATAAAGGATGATGTGTATACTGATCCTTCTCGATCGGCACCTATTATCTATATGATAGATAGTATTAGCGGCTCCCACAAGATTTTCGGTAATCAGCGAGACAAGTCGAAGGATTATTGTTCAAGGGGGATCCTCACGTGACCCAAATCCTTCCGAATCCCGAAAAGGAATTATTTCGCAGGATGACTCGCTGAGGGGCAAATCACGATGAGATTGATGGCGAATTTAGGGTTTCCGAGATCGTGAGCATCGTATCTCAATGCTTATAATGCCCCTCCAAGGAATTTAGTCGTACGAAATACGTACGTGTATGAAGTACGAAGACGATGTGTATGAATCAGTCAATAGTTTCCCCGAGATTGCACGTCTCTTCAGCCGATGACGGTCCGATGCCACCGTGCCTACCAGTTCAATGGTCCGTTTTTTTACATGACACATGGATGGAATACAACAAGCGACATATGCAATATGTAGAGAGCCGACCGGCTGAACTTGTTTGATAAAGTTCCAGTTCTGTCGATCTTTGCATAATCTGGAATTGATGGTATCATGATGAGTAAATGTGGAGGTTTTTAGAACATTCAAAGTAATTTCAGGTTAAGAGGTAGTTACATTGATGGCGACATATTGATCTAATCGGTTCCTCCATACTAAAGTTTGTTAATTGTTAGTTAGATTCCCCAAAAGCAACCCTAGAAAGGGCCAGAAAGGCTTCAGCAAGTGATCAACCGTTGATACCGACCTTGGCACACCTGAGCCGGTTTGAAGGTAGTATTTTCTCGAAATCTATGGTTGCATTATCGTAGCCGCGTTTCCCTGTTGAACTTCATCTGTTAACACCAACCCCTTCATCTGTCCATTCGCGTATTTCGTGCCAACCATCAATGCCGTCCCCAAACCATCTACCCAAACATATTACTTTGAAAGCCGCCTCATCGGACGACTATGATGACTATGGCTGGTTGAAACTTTTTAGAGAACATTAAATCCCGCCTTTCCACTTTTTATGTACAAGGAAGCTCCCTACTGCATTATTTATAAATGGTAAATCAACTTGGGTATGTCGGCTCCAAAACTCGTAAAATATAGAAACATTCATTAAGAAAAAGTATCCGCTGTGCGTATTCAGCTGAAAGATGCCCACAAGATAATTAATTGGATCCAATCAGGGACCCTTAACTGCAATTACCCGAAGCGCTATCCGAAAGGCGTCGTAAAAATGAAGGATAGTGTCGACTACTGAAGATGATGTGAGCTGAACTCGAGATCAATCTTGTTCCATTTTCTCCATCTTCACCATAAACTGGATATTACGAGTAAGAGAATTATGAGTAAGGATGCTGGGCTTAGGTAGGAAGTAAAACATATTCAATTTGGATAAAATAATACTTACACGACCTTTGTTCCTTTTAGATCATCCAGGAAGTCCCAGCGAGCGTCAAAAGGGTACAAGATGTAAAATTGTATTGGTTTCTAGATAAATAGATTCTTTGGACCTTGATCAATCCAATCTCTCTATCGATAATTGACGGGGTAACTGCAATGCCAGTATCACAAGCAAGTACGCATTGCATGGCGCTCTACAGGGTCAATAATGGATAAGGACTTGATAAAATAGATCATACTAAGTAGGGCTTGGCATGGGTCTTTCAAGAGGCCTACTTCCCAAGTACGGATACTCACCAAGACAATATGACAATTCCCAACTTTTGCCATCTATCTCATTGCATTACCTGCTTTATTGCATGCAGGCAGACATCCACCGGTCGATAAATCCACAATCCCATAAACATCACCAACTTTCCGATTGTTGGTTCTAACGCCGAGCTTACATTTAATAACCCTATGGTGCAACATAACTTTACCAGCCCAGCATATATACAATCCAGCAACCGTCGTCTCATCCATCCATCTCATCCCACCATTGACATGAGATTGGTGCGAGATACGGCGGCACAATCAGCCGCGTTTGTTGACGTATAATTCCTCATCTGATTCGCACTTCTACTCGGATGATGAATAAATGAATGGTATGTTATGCGCTGAGATAATATAGTGGTACATCAGGTAGGCATATAATGGTACCTATGTACAGTAAAGTCCCAAGCCATCTACTTTTCAGTGCCCTAAGCCTATTTATTCCTACTAAGTACAATTCACACGAAATCTGAGACCAGTAAATCTCCGAAAATAGCCAGATTTTGCCAGTTTGGTGTATGGTGACGGTCAATCGTGAGACGAGGAGAGCTGTATAAAGTCCTGCCTTTACCATATTCAGACAGTCTGGCGATAGAAATGTTGGAACACTAAGCGGGAGATCGCTCCACGGGATTCGTGAAGGGATTCGAAGGAAATCTAGCCTTGTAGCCTGTAGGTACAGCAGCACCTCCGTGCAGCCTTACGAGTGGAACCCCTTCCTACCACTCTTTGGCTTACTGGGGAGGCCTCTCCGTGTGACTTTTCTGACGGTGATTGACGGAGAGGTCCTGGTCAGAAGGTTGGAAAGGTGGAGATATGGATTAGGTAAAATATGAAGGATAGAGATCTTTCTCAACAAGGTATTTGGAGATATGTACCTAGTACCTATGTATAGTAATCATTGGGATTCTGCGGTCAATGAAATATATCCAATCCATGTCTAACCCTATACAAAAGCAGAACAGAAAAAAGAAAACAATTAAAAGAAAAACATGGGAATCGCAACGTGGTAACCAACTAATCTACAAAGCATCTAGTAACAGCAGCCAAAATCTGCTCTCTCCCCAAATTTCTTACCCAGTTGGGCTGAAGCAAGACCTTACTAGGATTATAGTGGGGTGTTTTGCATAACCCGGAAACAGGGTTGGAGGTCTCGACATATTCTTTAAGCCTGACAAGGATCCTCTAAAGCATTCCACTAGAAAGCTCCATTCACACGCCCCCCATCTAATCTGGTCATGTATCGCATCGCATTGCCTCCTCATCATTCCTATACTAAAACTAAAAAGGGCAAAAAGGAAATATCTCACGAGTACTCTGGACTGACTTGCATGTCCCTGACAGTCTCTTCCACATGGATGCCAATGGATTTACCTTACATACATACACTTTGCAATGCTCCTGCATGCGCATAAGATCACTTTGCTGACAGTAGCTTCGGTTTGTTTTTCTATCCTGGTCCTCGATTCTACTAAGTAACCTTAGCGAAGAATCTTTCTAATCCATTATTCCATATTGAGGTACCTGGTTCCAATCTCTACTTAAGCCTCCTTCTTCCCAACAGTGTATGTCCAGATGCATACCTCATCTACTTCATCATATATACAGTCATCTAATACTCCCATCTTCACCTCCTTTCATTCATCACACTCTCAACCTCCAATATTTTGTCAACACCCCGACAATTGAGAGACAACTTTACAAGAGATCACGAGACTCAGCTCACCATACACCCATCATGCCCGTCGTATCTGAGCCCATCACGGGACTAACTGACGCATACACATATGGCTTCTTCTCCAGAATACCCACTCCCTACCTATTCCTAAGCGGGGTCTTTCTTCTTTGCGTCACAATCTTCATACGGAGGAAACGCAGTTCCACAACAAGATTACAATATCACTTCCCACCAAGCCGTCCCTCTACCCCTCTTCTTGAAAAGTCCGATGTGAATATCTTTTCATACATGGATGAAAATCCAAAATTGGATACCGACAACCCCGCTCTCTCAAGAACCTCCTCGTCTTCTTTCGACTTCACCACTTCCCCCTCTTCAATGTCCAGCTCCCCAAAAGCATATTCTCGTCTCCCGCAACCACCTCCCTTCACACCACCATCGCCTCTCGAACCTCTCCCCTGCTCTCCCATCCACGGAGGCGGAAGCGGCTCCGCTCCCCCCACCGAAATACCCCCCCGTCGTCGCTCCTACACCAAGCCTCCCAACCCCCTCACCAACACCCCTGTCGTAAATGGCGAGATAATTTCCGGCGATGGCTGGCGTCGCCACACGCGTGTTTTCGGGGGCGGAGTATGTGAGGCGTGTGCCGAGAGCGAGAGGAGAATGAGCGCGTGACTATATGAGCGGGGCTTGAAGAATAGTAATCTGAAGATTTTGAAAGGGAATGGAGAGGCAATTGAAGGATCCTGGGAACCTGTTACTATTGGTGGGTTTGAGAATGGGAGAGTGATGACTCTAGAAGATGAAGCGGAGAATAGTGGCGAGCGAGAGATGAAGTGGATGAAAGAATAAGATTGAATTCTTCATTCATGTGAAAAGAGCGGAGACTTCAAGATCTATACGCAGATGCGGGGATGAAGGGAGTGATTTCACATGATTGGTGAAATTAATGGGATGAGAACTTCATGGGAAAGCCATCTAAAAGAGAGTAGGAAAAGGAAAAGGTAAAGGAAAGGCAGAAAATCGTGGCAATCAAAATAAAAAGATTCGAAATGGATGGCTGTGTGCATTTGTCGTCTATCATCTCCTAAGTATTCACAGGCGTTAATTGATAGGTCACCTGCGAAGGAGGTTTGCTTTGGATTTACTTAGTTCTGCTATGGAAGGATGGATGGAAGTTATTTTCCATGTCATTAAAAATACGTTGCTGGCGAATCCATCATCGCCGCTTACATAATTTTGTGCTATGGATGGATATGGATGTATGAAGTTAATGAATGCAATTTTTCTCTCGCCACCTGCTATTCATGTGTATAAAAAGATATGTGGAGGTCGAGATTGTGGGTAGATCTAGAAGTACTACAAATGTGTTTATTCCTTCTTATATTAGTAACTTTAAAGTAAGATAGATGAATTCATAAAGATTATACGTCAATCTTGGAATATTGATATGCGCCGATCGTAACTTGAGCTTCTTACTATCTAATCTACTTGTACAATCCCTCATTCAAGACTTTGTACCACAAATGTCCTCCCCTATTCAACGCCACAAGATTTGCTTAAAGATTCTCCTCCTTAGTAATACACATTTCCGTCATATTATCCAATAAATAAAACGCTATTTAAGAAGTATACTATAGTAAGTAGCATAAAAGACCACGCTATGCTGATGAAAAACATGCAAGTAATTTCAAAGTCCAAAATACAAAGTACCTAGAATTTACTCGATAGCACTCTCAGATACTATCCCATTTGAGCCCATGTTTGCCACACTTGAATTTCTTTGCATGGCTTCTTGGCTTTCTTTGAATTTCTGCCAACCTTCAGGATCATTCTCGATGAGTCTCTGTCGAAGAATGCTAGCTTCGTTGTTCAGCTCGGCTATCACCGCATCTGGGCCTAGGGTCTCTAGTTTGTTTCTGATGTCTTCGCCTTGGAGGTCCTCAACCATAGATCTTAAAAATTGTAGATGTGCTGGTTGAATTTCGTGTCCCGTAGTTCCATGTAATTTGTCCTCGCTTTCTGGTTTGATAAGATTACGACGAATTTTCTGCCCAAAACGATGCATCCTGCCTTCTTCCTGTGAAAGTGCTTTAGAGGCCAATGAGACATCGGAGTTGTGACGAGATAGAGTGGGGCGAATTCCACCCTCGTCGTGCCCTCCCTCTTCATCTGATGGTTGATTTTCAGCCAAGGATGGTTCGGGTTCAACGTCTGATCCTTCGTAATCAGTTTGGAGTGAATATGCATTGTCCGTCATGGTTGTTCGCTCCGTATCGGATAATGATGGTGACAAGCGGGTCTCAGGAAACTCGTCTTCAAATCTTTTGATCATATTTTGTAATGTATGATCAAGGAACAGTAATCGGTCTGATTTGCAGTTAGTTGAGTCAAGGTATATTTACAAAACAATAGATAATTCTTACTGTAATTGTGATGATCACTGGCCTTCGACTCCTTGACTAGAGCAGGTTGTAATCTAGCCCGAATCTTCCTGGCACTTCCCAATAGATTCTTCGACATATCCTTGGCTTTGCCACCTTTCACAGGTTTGTTCGGGGTGGCCGAGCTGCTGCTTGGTCTGGATAATTCGGAGATAGCGTGATCCATTGATGGCCTCCTAGAATCATTGCCTTTGTTTCGTAAACAGATACCTAAAGCTTTAACCACACCTGTCCCGCCAATCACATAATCTTCATCAGGAGCTGGCTCATCATCATCATGATTCTCTTGGACTCCTTCCATGTGCCCCACAATGTGTAACAAAACTTCGGGAACTGCAACGTCTTTTCCGTTGGCAGCTGCATGGGGATCAGAGATTGCAGCAACAGCTTGACTGATTTCTGCAACTGGACCGCGTTCCATGTTCCACAGACAGTAAGCGACAACTTGCTTGGCCAAGGCCCTAACAATTTCGGACGAATCGTTTGACGGAACTTCAATATCAATACATACAATTGACTGAGAGACTCGGACCGCGGCCATTAACGAGGCATATAATGCACAAGCCTCTTCCTGACTTGCTTCGTCTTTCGCATTTGCAAGAGCAGCTAGTTGCGTATTTTCCATAAGAGTCACATGCGCAAGACTGGGGCTCTCCGGTAAGATTTCCGCAAGGGCGATGGCTTGTTCAGGAGTCATGGATACATTAGTCAAATGTATCCGCTTGAGTTGAGGCAAACGTGGTAAGTATCTGTGGTATGTCAGCCAATGATGTCCTCTACGACTGTACTCGGAAATATAATGAGAGCAAATTTAGCAAAGCTGAGAAAATAATCAACTGAAGCCTTGCAGTATAAGTTGCTGACATAAGTGAAGCAAACTACTGGTCGCAGTACGAGACCGTAAAAATGCCGCAGCTATATCCGACATTGTCTTGATAAAACCACATTGCCATTCAGAGCTTGATAAAATCTAGCCGTTCGCCTTGCTAAAGAGCTCAATCATCTCTCGTTACATGGGGTCGACGGGAAAACCGTAGGGCTAGATACAACAAGGATTGATATTATGAATCACCATGTCCAACCATGCAAAGATTACTAATCTCTGCATATCGTAATGTTGTGCGAATTAAAAGGAAAATAATGAACGTACCTGCGCAGAAGAGAAAGTGCACTGGGATTCGACTCAAACAGATCATGGTTTTGCGATAAATCGATGAACTTGAAGTTCTTCAGCTTTGCCAGGGCTGGGAAAAGAGGCCACAGCGAATCCGGATTAAGGTTACAGTCTGCCAAGCTCAAGGCGTAAATTTTGTTGTCTTCGTCGAGGGCATTCGCAACGATCTCCATAGAATCTTTGAGATCATTACCAACAAGATCAAGAGCTTCGCACTTTCCGAATTTTATCCATCTAGCAACATGTTCCATCCCTACTGACGTAATCCCATTACCAGCAAGACCAAGTCTTCGTAAGCCCGACTTTATAATTCCATCAACTAACCCATCCAATTGCTCGCTGTTGATGCCACAATGGCCCAGATTCAAGAGTTCGAATTCTGGACCGGCGAGTCGATCTCCAATAGCCTTGGATAATAAGCAAGAGACTTCATTGCTCGTGTGACTCGTGTTACTATCTGTTTTCTTTAGATGCCCAGAACCGGTCGTTGGTGTGGTGGTATCCTGGGGGAAAGGAATCCTTGACAAATCCAGAACCTTCAACGACCGGCACATATTAATAAACAGAGCGATATTTCGCCACCCATCCTTACCAATCTTATTATTGTTCTTAAATACTAGCGATTCGATTATACCACCCTGGGGATATTGACCCTCTTTACGAGTGTGAGATTTTCTACCGTATGTTGGTAACTTGGCGGCCAGAAGACCAGCCAAAATGACACGAACACCTTCATCAGTAAGTCCACAATTTTCCATTATCAGTTCTTTCACGGGAACCACAGCTAAGTAATCTCCCAAGGTGACAAGGTCAGGTAATTGTAGCCAATAACCCGAGAGATCTAATTTGGCAACAAGACCAGGTATTGCAGCGGTCGCTACTGAGGCTGTGAGCTGCTCAACAATTCTCTTCAATATTGGCGTTTCTCTTAGTTGACAGCATCTTCTATAGATTCGAACAGGGTCCGTGGTAGGCGAAGCGTGGGTTCTTGGAGTAGCGGTATTGGAAGTGGGCGAGAGTGAACTGTCACTCTCATCAATCTTCAACTCAACTGGGATTGTACCATTTGCCTCAGCGAGCCTTCGTTTCTTCTCTTTTCTTGCTTTACGCTCTTCTTCGCTACGCTTCTTCTTCTCTTTCTTTTTGGTATTGTCTTTTTCAATTGGTGGAGAGGATCCTGTAGTTTCTGGTGTATTTTCTGAGACCTTTGGCTGAGCACTTTCAGTAAGTTTTTCATCAGGTTTGCTAACATTTGTTTTCGGAGTATCGTCTTGTTCCATCTCGGACATAGAATTGTTCGGATTCTTCAATGCAGTGCCTTCTCCCTTTTCTTTGGATCGCTTCATCTTTTCCTTATTCTTATTATCGATTTCATCGGACTCTTCCTCGTCCATATAACGGGGGCCGCTGGCTATCTCAACGTCTACACAGAAAGCTACCCTTCTTAGTTTTGACTGTTCAAGCCCAGATATGGGGCATCTTTCCCGGTGATGGTCGACGTTCAGAATCTTTCTTTCGCACAATCCATGGTGGCCTCTGGCTGATCCAGACAATTGCCCACCTGAAGATGACAGCCTCCGCAAGGCACTCTGTAAGAAGCTGGGTCCACTCCGCGGAGGCGCTGGAACGTAAGGTGCATCGCCATCATCCTTCACCCCATGTACTAGCACCGCGTTTTTGGGCGCACTTGGTCCTGCAGGTCTTTGCACCGGAGGTTCTACAGGAGAAGCTGCTGGCGAAGTACTGGGGGATATGCTCGTATGACTCGAAGAAGGTGAGCCCGAGAACTTTGAGGATATGCTCGATAACCACGAGTTTCTGCGGGACATGTTGGGTGATGTAGATACTTTAGGTGGTGTGCCATTTGTCGTCACTATCCTTTCCGAGGAGGTGTTTCTAGATACGCCAGGTCGATTTGGAATCGGCTGTGGAGTCGTTACAACTTCGGGCTCGTTTTCATTCTTTGGAGGGGTAGAGCCATTCTGTGGGGGCGGACTTGATTTCCCTTGTGAGCCAGACGCATTCGGAACCATACGAGGTCGTTTTGGGTCTGTAATAAGCAACTCATGTTAGTCGCACACATATAGCTGGCAAATGTTCCAATACATCTCGATTTTCCATATGAAGTAATGCTTGAACCAACCTTTGTTGCTTGAGCTGTGTGTCATCCAACTCACATCCACGCCAGTCATTTGCTCCATCATGTAAATAAACCTTCAAGGTATGTTATCCGGTTTGCGAATTGTCAGAAAATTTCTCCTAATTGATGTCGAAGAGATGTTCATTCAAAAGTCTTCGCAATTATCGCAATCAAGATTTTGTTATCGCTTGTTGATGTCTCGTAATATGTCTCGCTGCTGATGTGAGCAGTTTCTATTGGTACAAATCCATGATGGTGTTTGTGCCACAAATTATTGTGACGGAACGGTGAATGAATTAATGTGTTGAGTAGTATGGGTATATCAGAATCAAATGCCACAAACCACCAAGTAGACTATAAATTGCGTTGGCGATTTGCGATAGTGATCAGACACCCACTCACACAATGAAGCAATGAAGTGGAGCGGTGGAGAATATCGTCATGTGTTGGAACTTGAGGGTCCTCGTCGGGGTTGGTGCAATTGGATTTAAGTTCGGTACCCAGCATCGGAGATTCGATATGATTCGATCAATCTGTGGCACGATAAATCACAATCCACAATCTCCTGAGCACTGAACAATGAGCAATGATGCAAAAGAGAATATAAAACAAGTTAAGAGAGGAGAAAAATCAGTGTTGCGATGAGGTTTCAAAGGAAAATGGTGTGATGGAGGGGGGAGGTCATAATGATGAGATGGAGATGAAAGTTCTCATTCTGATATCTTTGATAAGGTTCCCGACATTATGCTGAAAGGAGTTCTGGAAAGTTCCGAGTAAGGATTTTAACTAAGGTGTGATTCAAACAGAGGCGAGAAGATATACTCCGTATACAGACAAGGTAACAAGGGACAACACAAACTTAAGACTTTCCCGTCAACTATTGTTTATGGAATACTAAAAATACATTGGTTCATCATTCATCAAGATAATTAGGTTCTAGAGTATCAAGAGAGTATCATTTTTATTACCTAGCTAGAAAACCCAAATCCGAAATTTTAATTTAAAAATTTACTTCAATTCGGCAATCTTGGCCTTGACTCTCTCGCGCTTCTCGTCCTTGGTCAACTTGCGTCCCTTGAACTTCAATGACTCCTGCTTGTACTCGTCCTTGGATTTCTTCTCTCCTCCCTCGACCTTCTTGAATGGGTCCTCACGGATAGCCTTGTGGGCCTCTTGGTACAACTCCTCCAATCCATCGGCCTCTATTTCATCATCAATGTAACCTTGGAATTGGGACTTGTAACGCTCCTCATCGTCATCGGCGAGGGTCTCCATGTACTCAGCGACGTGTCCACCGAAGATGTACTTGCGGAGGGTCTCAGCATCGAGCTCCTTGCTTTCGATGTCGTAACCTGGGAAACGGTTCTCGGAGTGAGGAACGAGGATACCACCATCGGAAGCACCCTTCATGGCACCGAAGATACGGGCACCAGTGGAAGTGCGGTGAAGACCAACATCAAGGAAAGCCTTGAATGGACGTCTCTCCTCGTCGCCAGCAGCCTCGGTGAGTTGGTACTCTCCATCAGCCTCCTCAACACCAGTGAAGTCCTTATCCATACCGAGCTTCTTCAAGACACGACGGGCGATGAGAAGACCAGTGCAGTATGCGGCGGCCCAGTTGGTAAGACCGTGCTCAATACCGTAGGCCTTGAGCTCGTGGGAGTATGCGGCGCAGAAAACCTTGTCACCAGTGATTTCGGAGGTAACGATTTGCATGACGATATCACGGTTGGTGAATCGGACAACGAGACGGTATTTTGGCGCATTGTACTTGTTCTTGGCTTGGGTGATAAGACGCTTTCTGGCGTAGTAATCGGTCTTTCCGGAACGACGGCGCTTGTACTTAGTCTGGTAGCGACTGATTGATTGTTAGAATACGAAAATTGTATTGAGAAGAAAGGGAATTAAGCTCACCTATAGTACGCGGAGTTCTTGACCAGCTTGGTGAAAGGCTGTAAAAATTCCAAAAGTCAGCAACCTTCAATTTCTCGAAGCATTTTGCTATTTGACTTTTCAAGGACTCAAGGATCCTGGGGCTTTAAATGCCATGATTGCAGATATACTGCAATCGAAGCATTTTAATTTTAACTCACCATCTTGTTCGATTGACCGCACTACTGGATTATGAATTGTCGTTGGAGGTGGAAGAAATCAAAGGGAGGAAATCTCGAAACATCTTCAATTCTTCAATTTCGAAATTAGTGGGTTCGCTTAAGTGTGCGGATGGTGGGGGACGAAGAATATCACGTGATAGTACTTGACGCCCTCCGCATTATCTTTCCGGGGATGTGTTAGCCAAATCCTTTACCTCTTGGGACAATATGTACTTGCGAAATTGAATCGTTTCATTCATTCTGTGGTACTATCTTATGGTCAAAAAGTCAATGTGTGAACCTGTGGTTACTAGCCCAGTTCAATATCGCCATCGTCAATGTAGCTCTTAGGGTTTTCGAGCATCGGTATAGCATCGAAGAGAACGCATGAAGATATCACCGAGTGCAGACATTGAAATCGTCGTTATAGAGGTTGTTTTCCATGGGCTCTATACGACATTATATAACACACCGGATTTGTTATCACAGCTCACTGATCAGAGCAAAAATGATTGCCACATGTCTGATTGTGAAGAGTTTCTGGAACTGCCTACCTATTACATCCATCGTTCACTTCTCTACTTCCTCTCATTCTTGTCCCCAGCTTCCTCTTAGGAGACTATGTGCATCATATCAAAGGAACCTGCCATTGATATGAGTATGAGCGATCCTTTCGTTTATTCGTTTGATCGAATGTTAATCTTACAGAGCAAATGAATTCAGAAAGGTAAGAGTGACTTAGGTACATGGTACTCTTCCCTCCGTCATTAGTTTGGGTTCTGTCTTATCATAGCAAAAAGACAGTCAATTCACATTCATTAACCCTTCACCAGAGAACAGCATTTCTCATGCCTTTAAAATTGGATGGGAAAGGCAGTTACTAATCATAAGCATGTAAAAACGACCAATCTCTATTGACTTTCCGTTCGTTCTAGCCATTGAGTTATTAGTCCTAAGGGGAAGAGAAATCGTGGTGCAAACATAAGGCCAAATCTTTATAGAGGACCGGTATGAATCGTTTGCGCATTGAGAAGCAAAGGCAAAAGAATAGACTTATTGTAGATGAAGGACTTTGGGTATAGGACTACCTAGGTCCCCTCCATGGAAAGAGCCGATCAAAATCTCCCTTCGGAGGACAATTCACTTCTGGAGTCCTCCCAAAGTTACCACCTCTATTTAAATACGAACGCACTCCTGGAGCAAGCAATCGAAGACGAACCCAATACCTTCGCGAGTGATAACAGAACTTTGATTCCAACCTAATTTACATCTTGCCACAGCCGTTATTTAGCATAAAAATGATGTCCACAAAGATTCTCGTAATCCCACTTCGGCAAATATTATGTTGAGTACTCACTCGCAATCGAAGGAAGTGACTATTATCTTCGTTGCAGCTGTTTTGGATTCAAAGTCGTCCTCTCAGGATTTGAATTGCAAACATTCGAGACACAACAGTATCTAAAAAAGCTTGTCCAAAGTACGGAGGAAGTCATGAGTGGACCAGAATGAGATGGGATTTCCCCCCAAATCTAAACGAAAAACTTCGATTTCTGATTAGTATATGCGATGCGATGATGGAATTCCATGTCGATTAATAATAAAATAAGGGTTGATATCTCTGTCAGCTACAATGATAGAATGCAATGCAATGAAATCAGACGTGGTGACAATTGGTTCTTGTCTTCGCAAAACATGCACACGTGATCACGAGAGAGACGAGAACCATGCTCGGTATACCCCTGCAATCCCGATTTGTTTGTTTATATGACAACACAGAAGGTTCATGCGACGAAGACCATTGAAAGTTAAAACGACTTATCTCGACATTATTTGACCTATGAATACATCGAACATATCTTTCGGTATCTCTCAAGGCTCATACCCGATAATTGTAGTCCGAGCCAGCAAACATGGATGCAGATAATCTGCGCACTGCGTCCCTATACATAAACAACCAGCTACTTTCTCGCGGGCTTCTACGAAATGGACAAACAATTGACTTTGCGCGCCCGCATAAATCAGAAGAGGGACTAGATTTCACCATGGGGAAGATAATGAGTGTGGTGAATGATCTGATTTTGAGGAGAGATGTAAGTATCGCAAGCGCATTTCAACATCGAGTTATTGAAGAGAAGAGTCAAATTGACGAAAAATTAATAGCGCGATTCTCAACAACGAGAAAACCTGTCACAGACAATTCGAGCTTTACGCGCTGATGCCTTACGGTCAACAACTGATATGGAGAGACTCGCGACAAAAAACACAGAATTGCAACGGAAAGTTGGGATAGCGGATGCGGCAGAAAGAGCTTTGAAAACACAATTGAGGAGTGCGGAGCATGCAGTTAAGGGGTTGAAGGAGGATATGGCGAGGATGAAGGTCCTGGTGGGGCAGACCAGGGCACAGTGTGCGAATGAGGTCAGAAAAAAGGAAAGAATTATTGAGGGAATGAAAAGACATGTCGGTGAAGGTGGAAGAGCAAGGGGCAGTGGGAAAGCTGTGGGTGTTGTAACTATTAACGTAGTCGCAGGAGTTGGGGGTGATAATGGGAGTGGGGCAGGAATGGGCACGGAGGATGAGGGGTATGATCTAAGAATGGAGACGAACGAGTTTTTAACAGAATTGGCCAGGGGATTGAGTGATGAGAATGAATCTTTAGGAGGGTTGGTGAGAAGAACTATCGAGACATTGAGGACAGTTTCTGGTTGTGAGAAAGAGGAGGAACAAGAAGGGGGAATGGTCGTACAAATGGAGGGTTCCTACGAACATCTTGCTTCCGAAATGGAGTTTGTAATTGAACATCTAAGGACAATCCTGACAAACCCATCATTCGTCTCACTTGAAGAAGTGGAGGTTAGAGAGGAAGAGATCATAAGGTTACGAGAAGGGTGGGAAAAGATGGAGTCCAGATGGAAGGATGCTGTCCATATGATGGATGGGTGGCGTCATCGAATGGCTAGGAGTGGACAAACTGTCAATATTGAAGAATTGAAGATGGGATTAAGCTTGAGTCCTTTCAAACCTACAGCAGATCCCAATTACGAGGTCCTTCAATTATCGATGGTACAGGAAGAGGATGAGGATGAATATGAGGATGAAGGCGATACACAAGCAGATATTGATGCCTTGGATGACTCGGGCATCGATGGTCATGCGGAACCCGAGTTTGATGGGGAAGAATTGAGTGACGCTGAATCTAGCATTTTTGAAGAAGAACCCGAGGAAACAAGGGAAGAGGAAATTGAAGCCGAGGAAGAAGAAGAAGAAGTGGAAGAAGAGGAAGAGGAAGAGGAAGAGGAAGAGGAAGATTATGACGAGGTTACCGAAGACCAGCAACAACAACAACCAGCAGATATCACATTCGATACAGTATCTTCCCTACCCGGGACGCCACCTCAGATGTCCCCCCTGCGCGAAACTACTAATGGTAATCGAGGTAGCCCCGAAAGACCAAGCCCCAAGGGATTTACCACTATTATCGAAGAGAATACTTGGGATCTTTTACAACTCGAGCAGTCTTCATCTCGTTCCAAATCCATGGCAACCCCAACCCCTAAGCGTCTTCCCAGAAAAGAAAAGAAAGAGGAAGCTACAACAGCACAGCTCTCCGTTCCACGCACCGACGAGAATCCCATCCCCAAAACTCCAATTCCAACGTTTTCCGCCCACTCCTCAACCAGATCCTCCACTAGATCTTCGGTTGTGCGAGAAACTAGAGCCTCGGCTGCAAGAGCAGCTTCAGCTAAAAAGCCTGCTTATTCAACTCCCAAACCAAAGGCCACCCCAAAAGTTCAACTCCAACCCATCACATCCGCAAGCCGCTTACCTCGGCCACCCCATATACCGCCTCAACAAAGCCCTCTTACCATGGCTAGTATAGCCGCCAAACTAGCCGCATCTGAACGTGAAGCAGACGCGGCAAGAGTCAAAGCTAAGTTGAAAGCTGCAAAATTGGCACGCAATGCTGCTGCTACTACTACTACCAGCACAATTGCCCCACGGTCTAGAAGTCCAACTAAGAAAATAGAACCAGAGGTTTCAAAAATCATGCCTCCACCATCTTCGCCTATCAAAGAGGAACCGATCAAAAATGGCGGCGGCGGAAACACAGCTACGAAAAGCCCGGAAAAAGACTTGACTGCTGTGTCTAGTAGGAAAAGAAAGGTGAGGGCAAGTAGGGATAGAGAGCATGGAAGAGCGGCGAGAAGAAGAAGTACTTTGAGCCCTTGGGAACTGGAGAGTTTAATTTCAGGTGGAATAGGATCGCCGAGAAAGGAGGAATGATGTGCTTGAAGATGCACGGTGGGGCGTTACGGATTCGAGCTTTTGTTATTCCCAATTTATGAAGTTATGAAGGTGGGTTCACTGTATAGAGATATCTTGCTGGTATTCTGTCTTATAATACCAATTTTTGATGTTTTATCTGTACGTATGCGTGCTGGTGGCGCTTTGAATACCCGGTCTACACTGATTGTTTGTTTATTTTCTTTAATTCACAGCATTGTGAAGATGCATATATCTATCTATATTGAATCTAATATATCTCCTTCCTGATCCAGAATCTTCTACAATTTGACATCTCTTGTCTTCCCCTTAACCGCCATTCCAATTGGTACTTTTGGATGGTCCCCACTCAACTCCAGCCCGGTGATCTTCTCTAATTCCTCCACCGCCTCATACGCACGACCTAAGTTTACCTTCAGAGTACGAAAGCCGGCTGTCTTGGCAGCTTTGAGGTTCTCGCCTATGTCGTCCAAGAAGAGGATATCTGAAGGGGAGAGGGGAGGAGAATTGGGAAATTTAGAAGAGTAGTGCTCACGCAAGGTACGGAGTGTCAGGTCGTATATCTCTGGGGATGGTTTGCGCATATGCACGTGTGCTGAGGATATAAATACATCGAAGATATCAGGGATGAAGAAATGAGATTTGGAATATGGATGTGTAGGAGGGAAGATGACGGTGTTGGAGAGAGCGCCCAGGGTGTATTTCTTGGAGGCTTTGAGTTTTTGGAGACAGGGATACATCCTTAGTTTATGTATCAGTATTGCGATTTTGACAATCATGGGTTGGGGAAGGGGGAAATACCAAGGATCAAAATCGCGTGAGTTATCCATCATAGACCAGAAGAGTGCTTCACCGTCAATTTGAGGTATGGGCGGAACGGTGGATGGGAGAGATTGTTTTTCTCTTACGGAGTTGTAGAAGCTGGTCCAGAAGGAAGGGTTGTGGAGGTCGGATGTGAATCCGGTGAAGAAGGTGGAATTTAGTTCTAGTTCGCCGCGTTCCAGACGGTGCCTGGATGATTGTTAGTGAGAGAGGTGAGTAGATGTGGTAGATTTGGAGAATATTATGGTAGGGATAGAGTCTACCGCACTACTTTGAATGGCTAGATAGAGAGATTGAACAATGATCTATGGAACTTATGCTCACCAGAATCCGTTTGGTTTGTTTTTGGAGAGGGCATAATTCACCCAGCCTGGAGGTATATTGTTGGATATCTCGAAATCGAGAATTGCTTGCATGGGGGAGAGAACCTAGGAGGAGTTAGATGTTGTATGAGATTAGAGCGAATTGAAAGAAGTAGAGAAATGGCGTATGATTGAAGACAGTGAACCTCGACTAGAGACGCGTCGCTATCCGACCGAAGATACCCTATCTCATGGTGTATATGGGCTTCTTTGTAGTAAATCATTCTTTCTAGAGGATACCAGAGAAATTTCTCGTCAGCTCTTTTTCAGAAAGATACTGCCATCCCAATAGATATTGAAATCCTCCTCCGAACACCCATCTCATAATTTTGAGTTAACACTCCCAAAGTTCAGGTGCAGCACCGCGATGAAACATAAAGGAATGATTACTAACGCAGACTCCCCCAATGTCAAATAAAATGACCTTCGGCTGGGTTTCTGAAGTCATCATGATCTCGATATTGTCTAAAACAAGGTCTATAGAGTAATCTTATTGTGACATTGCATTGGGAAGGGAGATGTTCTGGTGATATCCATGGATATTGGTTCACGAAACTCTATCGTAGACCTCGGCATCCGGGTGGTTTATCTAATCGCCAGTGCCGAAGAATACCCTTGATATCATCCAATCATCTACAGCCTCTTTTTGGAACAAATAGTGATAAAATTCGACTGTTTATTTGTCCCCACAAAGATTCCATATCATCACTGGTTCTTCACAAATCCACAAATTGATACATATCAATTCGCGTCTGTCCATCAAAGCTCAAAGCGCGACCATCCATCAACACCTTCCATCGACAACTATACAATTTTCCATCCACAAGTCAATTTAAATAGATAATATGCCTCCTGTTTATGATGAAGAGGAAGGGATGGGACCTTTGGAGAAAGGTCGGCATCGTTACCAGAAGAAGAACTATCAAGGCGCATTAACTGCATTCGCAGAGGTATGTCTCGTTGGCACGTGCCAGTCATCTAGATCAGTATCAGTATCGATCACTGACTTTATATCATGACATAGGCTGTGAAAATTAGTACTGGCTACCTATTGCTCACTGCTTTGGATCATCGCGCTGCTACATATGAGAAGTTGGATCTATTGCAACCAGCTCTTAAAGATGCGAAAGAAATGCTCGAACTGAAACCAGAACTATCTAAAGTCAGTTTTTCTTGCCTTGAGAATAGCTGCTTCAAAAGTCCTGATTGAATCTCTAGGGATATCTTCGATGTGGGAAAGTTTTACAGCTTAAAGGGGAGCATCAACTAGCCTTGAAAATCTACGAGCGTGGTCTCAGAAAGGTCAAAGTCGATACTGACAAAGATCGTTTAGTAAGTTCTACCATTCTTGACATAATTTTATCGCTATGTTGACATATCGAGTTAAGACCCTCCAATCAATGTTCAATAAGTTACAAAAGTCACTGGCGCCTAGTAAAACTCTAGATCCGCTCTCATACCTACCAGTTGAATTGGCAGAAATGATAGCTCGGCAGCTTAGCATACGAGAACGAATGTATGTAGGGAAGGCCTTCTTTATCGATGTTTGCTAACCACAAGAAGGATATGTTTGAGTGTGAGCAAGTCATGGAAGCGAGTATTGGAATCTTCTCATAAGCTATGGACAACCTTAGACACTAGCATTACTAGAAGAGGCCTCTCTCAAAAATCGCTGAGGGCATACCTTAGGAGATCAAATTATACCGTCGATGAAGCTATTCTTAGGTACGATACTATCGACGCCGCAAAATTGCAGTATCTCATCAGGACATGTACAAAGTTGCAACGCCTTACAATACACAACAAAAATAATGCTGCGATTGGAGAGACCTTAACTTCGGCACTTCCCTTTGCAAAGTCATTGCAATATTTCAATTTGCAGATGTTTGAAATTTCTTTTCGATCCGTAGTCGAATCATTACGGCATGTTCAAGCAAGTATTGTTGAGGCAGAGTTTATGGGAGTCTATCATGCTTCCCGAGATGCTAGCTGTATGTGGCCGAAGTTAGAAAAGTTGCGCGTCTTGAGTATGTCCAATGGAATCTATGTTCGCAGGATATCTTTGGTAATAATATTAACATAACTTCTTTTATGCAATAATTCTGATACTTCCTACAGGGCAACCTAATCGAATCAATTCCTAATATTCAAACATTGTCATTATCAGGATTTGACTTGCAAAGTCTCTCTTCATTGGACTTGGCTGGGCCCCTCAAGTGTCTAGAAGTTATCGAACTCACATCGTGTGATTTGAGAACGATTCCATTGCTCCCTTCAACGCTCAAAATACTTCGTCTTCATAAAAACCTGCAGCTATCAAATCGAAAAGACAATAACGTTCTTTTTCCCTTCATGGAAATTCTCACGTGCCAGGAGACTGGACTCAGCGATGAATGGGTCGTTTCCGTTCTCAAAAATGCCCGCAATCTCAAGCATCTAGGCATTGGAAGTCGCCTTGTCGGAGATTACACTATCGCGCATCAAAATTTTCCTATATGCGAGAACGTCGTGATATTGAGTGTTAGCTATTTACAGTATGAAGAAACAGACTTTATACGTGTAGTCGAAAAATTTCCAAACTTGGAAAAGCTGCATATCTGTGGTACGAAGATCACGGGTGTTGCTGTGAAGCATTTTGTTGACCAAGGGGTTAAATTCCTGGACCTAAGGGATTGCAATAGAATCAGCACGGATGCCATTCTATATGCTCGTGGAAAGGGTGTGGAAGTCAAATGGGGTCTTATCGACCCCATAACCGCGCCAATCTATAGAAACCGAATGATGGCCTTTTGAAGAGTGGTTGAGCTCGAACTGGGTAAGGAAATCTCACAGACTGCTATGTTGGCGGAGGAAGGAATCTGCGAGACAATTCGCTATCAAAGTAAGGCTCCAACAGTTTGCCAGTTATAGGATCATACCACCTTTCATCACCATATGAGCTATAGTACGATTTACTACCGCAACACAAGTCCATTGCTTTCAGGCCACATCAATACAGGATTTATGTGCATACTCTGCTGTCTTACTGAAACCCCGATATCCCCACAACTTGAATATCCCAAATTGCCAACACCTATCCCCATTTTACAATCATCTCCCCTCTCCAATCTCGCCATTCAAGCAAGCGCCCAAAAAGCAAAACATAGATCCATCTCGTCTCATCTCACTGTGCACAATCCACGAACTTGCGATGTAATCGTTCGTTCGTAACTTAGCCTAGCTTCGACCGCTCTGCTTCACTTCGCTCTCTAGATTTCTTAGAGGTGTTTTCTCCAGGGGAGTGGGGGCGGTGATATGATATGATGCGATGTAACGTGCCAATGAGCATCATTCTTAACATTTCTGGCATCGATACCTACCTAGCATTCTTCGTCTTTATTTCCTATATTCTGGGGAGGTACTTTTGAAGTTCCGTGGAGTGTGATTCCTGAAATAGTTCGAGGGTCTAGGTTTGGAGTGCAGTAGGGTTGATAGATCTAGAGACGAGATGGATGTATAGATGATTTCGGGAAATGTTTCGTTTTGGGTGGTGATGGGATGAGATGAGATGGAATGGGAGGATATGTATTTGTGTGTTTGTGTATTTGTGTATGTATAAGTTTCCATACCTGCATAACGATTTGAAGTTCCTTACGCTTCCCAAAATCTTTCTTATATATCTTATCTATGTGTTTACAGCCATCTCGTTGTATAAAATTTTGAGAAAATGGGTTTCTCTCTGGGAGAAATTATCTAACCTGCAGGGCGTCGATTACAGAATCTATTTTTGGGAAGATATTTAGGTACCTAGGTAGGTAGCTAAAGATTTCTTGATCTGGCTGTGGTTCTTACTCCTAAGTTTTTGGATTACTTGTTTCGTTCTATTCAGACATGTAGATATAGTGATATGCTTGCTTGTGTTATACAATGATTGTGCTTAGGATTGAAAGTACATGACTTTTATAGGCAATAATCTTGCGAGTTTGTGAATTGTGTCATGATGTAACGGGATACTAGATTGCTATGGAGATGCTTCCTGATACCTAGACTGGGCTGCAGTCCAAAAACGTTAGATTTGTTATTACTGAATATGATTGGAATGCCTGAATCGTTTTTGAAATGTGTGAATTTATTTCAATATCTCAGCATGACTTACTTACGTCTAATAGTGGAACTCCGTATCGAGGATGCTACGCCGAACATCTGTACATACTGAACTTTACCACAGCTCCCTCCGATGTCTTCATCTGCGTGAGCAGACCTGCGGGTACTGATAAATATAATCCAACCAAGACATGTTTACGTTCTCGTTTCGTCTCCTTGAGTATTTATCATGTTAATCTCCCTATATGTGTGAATTCGACACTTGTTATTGATTGACCAGACATTCAATTGACAAACTAGTTACTCGAGAGACTGGTATGGGGGTATATCTCTTCATTCTAGATTTCTCATGCTCGAATTTTGAGGGTTCCTAAAGTCGGGTACGAAAGAGAGTAGGACATACCTCGATCTCAACCATCTTGTTCATGGACTTTGAGAATCTAGTGATAGAGACCCTATCTCAGTTGTCACGACTTGCGATGTGCATGAATGACATAACAGTTCTTGAAGGATTTGGGTTAAATAAGCTTGATTCCCCTTTTCAATTGGAGATTTTCGATGATGAAACGTCTCGAAAAGATGTTACGTAACCGGTTTATCCAGACGCTTCACTTGGATATCTGATCTTGGCTACACGAGAACAGAGATAAGTTATGTAAAATTGTACTCCTTTCAGCATGGCATCCATGTTGTTCTGACACGTTGGTCTTCGGGCTGCTGAGTAGAAGCAAGATATAAATGACATAGCACAAGAAAGACGGGAATGAAATGTATTGGAATGGAATTATCAAAAGAGCAAAAGCGAAATCTTGAAGACACTTACCGCACTTGTGTGTGTATGTTAATGACGTGACACAGGAATTTGTATTGCAGAACTGAAATCTACAGATAGCTGTCACCAGACTCAAAGAGATACGAGCCATTGGGAAGAGCAATTACAACTGCCGACATGGGAGCATCCCGGACCGTTAGTATCAGTTGTACTCTCTGTAGGGAATCTCCGGAGAAACAGTACAAAATTAGCTACAAGTAACGAACTAACGTACAAATAAACCAGGAAGTAGCAACTTGTTATCGACAAGGTGTTCGTAAAGAATGCACGGATATCGGATGATTGTGGAACCAAATGAATGACTGATATATCAGTCTTGCATCTCAGCTCGAGAATATAGTTGAGAAAGCTGAATAGCTGTGCATCCGAATCCGAATACAGGAGACGACCGATATGCATGCATGCCTTGATTTAATGCGCGTATGTAACGCTTGGTGCAATATATCGGGCTTGTCCTCAGAATCCAATTCGGACTTTGACATGTCTGATGTGCTCTAGGCTTGTAACACCTGGCGTCTAGCTTTTGATGGATTTGGAAGTATGGTAACATGTTCGGATGAGTCTGAATATCAGGCCAAATATTACATATGCGATGCAATGTGATGCACGACCAGTAGACCGGATCTATGTAACAATCGGTTCTTTTCCGTTCTAGGATAATGGACTGGGGTGTGAAAGATCCCTGGTTTGCGACTGTGGCTGAATGCCGGCTCGCCGTTTCTTTCGTTTGAGCTGTCATGTTATGGATCGTTGGTGGATCGTATTTCGCATGTGGAGGTAGGGATAGTGATAGGGATAGGGATATGCTGTTTGGGGAACGAGATCGTTGGTACAGGTAACGGGAGTCAGTAGAGAGAACTTTGGGGAATTGTGCGCGCGAGTGTTGAGCATTCGATGAAACAAATTCCTTCAGTCGTAAGCAATTCGTATCGAAAATGCCAATGACGAAATCTTATTGCAAGCGACAGAAGACGACAATACTAGACTCCAATATGATATCTGGATAGGCAGGTACCTGGGGGTAATCAACCCGATTCCGTGCTCACATGATACCTACGTATACTCGATACGGTTATCTTCCGTATTAACATTCGAATTATAAATTCTTGAGGCAGCAGTTCTCATCTCGTCCAATGTCAATTGATTCCGAATGCACCTTGTCGTCAACTCTTCTCTCGTGACGAAATCTCGGAGTCCCCGTGATAGATACATGACCCTAATAGTCGTACTCCATACTCGTACCCAACTAGGGGATTTAGATGACATAACAAGTTTGTCTTACTGTACGGTGACGATATCATCATTCTCAAGCTTTGACACTTGAAATGTGGGTGAGATTGTGTGAATGGCTCGACGGGGTGTCAAAAAGAGGTGAGCAAACACTAAGTAAGTCACAGGTGAGCCACAATGAGGCAGTGCTAGACTTAGTTTGCCATTGGTTTGCAGCGGGGATGCAAATGGGGCGTCGCTTCAATAGGTCGCCTTACGAGATTCGGGTTGGTTAGTGCGAGGCTGAATGATGTGGGTGCAGGAAATGGGGGTTCTTGCTGTGAGGCAGATTTTGGAATTTTTTGATGATGTTTTTGGCTTTCGGAGAGAGCTTTGGAAAGGGTTTAGAAATGGAGAAAACGGGGAATTCCACAAGCCCTCTATGGGTGGTTTGATGAGATTGAATGAATTGTATTGGAGGGAATCAGGCGAAGGAAAGAGTTAGAGTTTCATTTCTGTTATCGCTGATGAAGACCTAGATCTGAATGCCATGTTACAGTATCAAAATACAGCCAAGAATCTGCCAATTAATGTTTCAGTCGCAAAAGTACAATATCAAGCTAATAAGCAATTGATAAGTTTCAAAAAGAAGCTTTGTGTTTCAATTCGTACTCCACAGTAGCTATTCTAGATTCCAAGATGACTCTTACACCGAGATCAGACGGCCGCAGAAGGATCCTAATGTCACAACCTGTAAGTCCACCGGTAGGCAGGAAATATCTACTTCGAGTCTTTTGATGTATAACCTTATTATGGTTGAATGATGGCTTGAAATGTGGTGAGTAAAGTAGCCCCAGTCCAGCTGAGCACAATGACATTATCCGAATATGGCAGAAGGGGTGATGTAGCTTGCTCTCGTTTCCCCTGTTGCGACGAGAATCCTTCCGATGTAATTCAAGGTTGATGGTCAGATATGAGGTGGTTGTCGTTAATATTGATATTCATGAGTGAACAATTTTATAAGTTTTAAAATGGGGCTTGATGTGTGAGTCCTTAGGCACCCTTGGGTGATATAAGTGATTGCGATATAAAATTATGAAAGGGGTCGTGCGAGAAGATCGAAGGGTAGAGACTAGAGAAGGGGGGGGGGGGTTAGATGATTGGCAATTTTACGGATGTATCATTTCGGTATACGACAAAGGTTCAAAATAGAAATACCTAGGACTGATAGTTACCTAGGACTAAGACCTGAGTATACAAGAATAACTTGAATGAAAGTTTAAAAAAGGAAACGAGAAACCGATCAAACTACATCGTATAGTCAATCCCGTTGACATTATAGATTTTCCTGTACGAGCATCTAGCCGTCTGCGTGGCCATATTCTTGTTGATTACGTACAGATAGATGGCAATGATCATCTAGTTAAACCGGCTATCATCAAGATACATAGAATGGGGATATCTAATTCTCATTTGTCCGGTAGTTGAAATGATGAAATGTTGATCTGACAGATCAATTATCATTATCTACTAGGTACTTAGTACAAACTGTACTTCTCAGTCTCTCTCTCTCTCTCTCTCTCTCCCCCCTCTGTGTGTGTCTCTCCAACGGTTTCGATTAGATTATCCCATTTTGTTAGGTATCGGACATTCAACCTTCTTTGGGAAT